CTGACCTGACCTGACCTAAAAGTCAGGGACCTGACCTGACCTGACCTAAAAGTCAGGGACCTGACCTGACCTGACCTAAAAGTCAGGGCTGTTGTATTATATAATCAGTCAACCTTAATTCAATTGACTAATCAACCCCTGGCACTGCAGACAACTGGCTATACCAACTGCAGTTCAATTAGACTGTAGGTCTAATCGCACTTCAATTAGATTATAGGTCAACTGTTGATCAGCCGTTGTTTAGACTGCAGGTTTAACTGTAGATTAACCTTTGTTCAATCAGGTCAATTGACTTTAGCTGGTCAAAGGCCGTTCTTACGTAAGCTAGCCCTTTGGAGCGCTAACCCCACTAAAAGGAGCGATGCACCCAATCAACGACTATAAAAGGGGACTTGCCAAGAATTCGTCGGTTCAGGCCCACTATTCCACCCCCTACAACCAATCAACGCTCCTACAAAGTGATTTGCCAAGACTTTGTCAAATCAGGTCAACTGACTTTACCAAAAATCTGATTACATAAGCCGGATTTGGACCGGATATACCCAAGGGCCCACTAAATCAGAGATTCTAGTCAATCAAAGCCCGGCGATAAGCCGCTATCTCAAAACTGCCTATTTGAGTAATTTTTCGAAGGACTTCCCAAAGGAAAGAAAAAAATCAACGCCACAATAACCCTTCGTAAACTCAGGGCATATCCATGCAACGCTTTTGTAGATCTATGGTGATACTCTTGTGAACAGGCCAGTTGTGGCTAGTCACCAGCGTTTCCAATGTGGCAAGTAAGGCACGGAACATACCTACACGTACCACTAGGAGACCATAGAAAACATGAATTTCATCCTCGTCGTCTAACTTCCACAGCCCAATCTCTAGTCTTCGATGAGCACTTCGATTTTCCAAGCCACATCCTTGCCCAGTCTGTCGACGTTCGCTAGATCTGCCCTCTGCCCCGGCCAGACGCAGCTCGGCTCCATACTCGATACTTTCTTCTTCTGATCGCGGCCTCGGCGCCCGCGGTTGAACCAGTCCTACAGGTGAAGAGACATCTTGCCTTGTTGTGTAGTCTGACGTGACCGCACGCCCCCCTGAAGGCATGACTAGCCAGGCATTTTCTAGACTTGACGCAAGCTTCTCACACATGGAGAGTATTAACATGGTATATTCCGACCTATACCTACAGGAAACGCATAATAGAAGACCCTCGCAACCAGCCAAGCACGTCTTGAGCTGCTGTAGAAACTCTTCGGCGGTTCCTACTTGGTCCTGTAGAGCAGATACTAGCTTGATCTCGATAGACTCGTGTATGCGAACTGCCCGGCTAAAACAATTGCATGTAGGTACACTGTCAAACAATAGGCTTGCTTTGGCGTCCTGGGCTGCCGTCTGACTGCCTTCTGCGACCTTGCTGCGAGATTCGGGCTGGAAACCAGGACTGGAATCGCTATCTAGAACGTCCAGCGATGGCATATCAGACGCGAAGCTATCAAGGACTCCTTCGGCCACAAATTGAGTATCAAAGTTAAAGACATACTCGCTGTCCGTGTTCGAGTTGTGCCGTTGGCTCCACGCAGTCGTATCGATCATATCTGACGCCTCAGAGATCGTGTCAGGCCCCTGAGAGACACCGGTAGTTGCTCCTACGTTGCTTAGGGAAGTACTAGAGACTTCGGTATTTTCAGCAACGATATGGCGGCTACCTGTATCAGACATCAAGAGCGAGGGCGAAGTTTCGGGGTATCCCTCGGCACCTCTTTTCCCCAACTTAGAGCTCTGAGGGGCTGGATAGCGACACTGGATGTTTTTCGCCAGGCATCTCTGACATCCACCTGCTTCGCCAGTGCATTTTGACTACGGAAAAGAAAGGGGCTGTCAGATATAGGGCGAGATTGGTGTTTCGAAGCTGTTTACCTTTCTCACACGACACTGCGCACAGGCACTCCTTGTCAAGGCACATTGGCGTTGCTTGTTGAAAGGAGCATCTGTTGCCTCCAATAGGAGAGAGGATGCGTTTGTCGACTGGTCGTACCTAAGGGTGCCGAACATGGTGACGATCGAGAAGATTCAGATGCCAACCTTGCCGCCGGGCATGTTTCGCTGTAGTATAGCTATATTTTTATATTCCAAGTCACATTACCTACTACCTTATTATCTATATGTTGGTAAACACGTACCTAGTAGGTACATACAAGTACATCACTGGCAGTACTCAGGTTACACAACCGATATAAGTATCATGTACGCTTTCCAAAATCATGCTTTCAACAGCTATTGCGGCAGTGTAACCAACGCCTGAGCATACCTAGCGCATGAAGATACAAAGGCATGTACAAATGCATACCGGACCCTACCCTGCCTACCTAGATAGGTATATATATAGGCAACCAACCAATTATCAATGATTTCAGTCTTCCCCGCTTCCAACTGACACAACAACATAATCGAGTTTAGTTTAGGAAACTTTCTGTAATTGGGTATTGAATCATATCCTGTGTTGACTATGCAGCTTCATTTCTCATCTGGTACTGCAAGTCTCGTGGGCTTGTCGGTCGCTCTGATTGTAGTCATATGGCTCGCTCAGCTCATCGGCCGAGGCCTTTCGGTAAGGCTCAAATTCCGCGCTATGCGGTCTCGCGGTCTTGTACGCTACCTACCTCTTCCTAATAATTCAGACACATCGTACTGACAGAAGAACTAGCCTGTCCCTGAGCCACACTCTTTTCTGTATGGCCATATCCCACTGCTGAAGACTCTAAAGGAAGGCTTGCCAAATGATGCACACGACACCTATGTTCATAGGAAGCTTACCATGAATTGGCCTAAATATTTCCCTAACCAGAAGAGTTGCCCTCCTGTAATTTACTTAGATCTTTGGCCCCTTGCCTCTCAGCCATTCATCTATGTAACGAGTCCGGAGGCATGTTTTCAAGTAACCCAGCAGACAGCCCAACCGAGACACCCCATGTTCTCATGGGCTTTATTCCCAGTAACTGGCGGTAAAGACCTGATATCTATGGATATGCCGACACATCGCATATGGCGTTCCAGATTGAACCCGGGTTTCTCACCAAAGAACCTTTTATCGCAAACCCCTATCCTTATTGAGGAGGTGGGTACTTTTGTTCAGCAGCTAAAGGAGAAAGCGGGAACAGATGGGAATTTCGGAGATTTATGCCATCTTTACGATAGGACCGTGGCGTTAACCTTTGATATCATCATGCGGGTTTCCCTGTAAGCAAGTCTTCGAAGTTGGGATGCTAGGGACTGCTGTTAATGCAACCGCGTTTAGTGATCTACAGGTCAGAGAACAGACTCGAGGTCCAACGCCGATTCTTAAAGCGCTAAGAGCATTGATCCGTCATGTCAAAGGTCCAAACATCTGGTCTGAACTCGAGCGCTGGACGCCGTCATATCGCCAGGATGTTGCCCTCAACTCCAAAATATTACGTGATAGTCTACTACCCCAAATAAAGTCCCGTTTGCAGCCCGATGCTAGCAGTGAGAAGACTGTTATAGATCTCGCCGTGAAGGAATACAAGAATGAGTACGGAAATGAGAATCGGCAGCCAAGTCCTGATTTCATCGATACGGTCATATCCCAGCTCAAGCTCTTCATACTCGCCGGCCACGACACAACTGCTCAAGCAATGTAGGTATAGTCTTCTTGCAGTGGGCTTGTGTCTCTGCTGACGTCTTCTGGAGATGCTGGGTCTTGTACGAGATCACCAAGTCCCCCGAAGCTCTCGGACAGATCCGAGCCGAGCACGACGAAGTCCTCGGCCCGAACGTCAAGCTCGCGGCTCAGATTCTTTCCGCGGATCCCCACAAGCTCAACAGCTTGCGGTACACGACGGCAGTCATCAAGGAATCGCTTCGCCTTCACCCGATAGCCTCGACGCACCGCCGTGGAAGTCGCGGTTTCAGCTTTGCCTGCGACGGGACCACCTATCCTACTGACGGCGCCATCATCTGGACGAGTCCGACTGCTATCCACCTGCGCGCCGACCTGTGGCCACGGGTTATGGAGTTCCTGCCCGAGCGGTTTATCGTCGCCGAAGGCCATCCGCTCCACCCGGTGAAGAACGCGTGGCGGCCTTTCGAGCTCGGGACTACCAAGTGCATCGGCGAGGAGCTGGCTATGATCGAGATGAAGCTCGTGCTGGCGCTTACCATGCGCGAACTGGACTTCCACTTTGATTGGGAGGGTTGGAACGCGCTGCAGTACGTAATATCGTTATTAGACTTTTCATTCCCTGCCACTTTTGCAATTCTTATGTTGCTGTTGCTAATGTTTACTAGGGGACGCACAACACCACCGGATTCTGTGGGTGGAGAACATATCTACCGTGTGGGCAGCGGTATCGGCTCCGTCAAAGACAGGCTACCTACTCGGATCAAGCTTCGATAACTTCGTTAGTAGTATTTTTCATAGGTGAAAGTAGCCTTGGATTCGGTATTTGGACAGACTACCCAGTGATGCGGAGTTGGTGTCACTAAATATGCGTATCATTATGGATATCGATCTGATTTATGATATCCCTTTATACTTCTTGGAGGTTTGAGGGAGGTGTACATTGAAAAGGGGCTCTGAGGGGCTGAGAAATACGTGCTGCTTACCTAATGCGATTCACATGTAAAAAGCACAGACCATGTGATGCTAGGATGTGCCAAGCTTTCGTAAGGCGTCTTTCGTTTTCTAACTCTGAACAAAAATGCGAAAAATTCAATTCCTGAACCATTTTCACATTTCGCATCACGCGAGCCTATCATCTGTTATTTTAAGGCTCCCTCACTGCGCCGTTTGCGACACCCGCCATACACCACCGCCACACTTCGTCACCAGTCTGACCAGTTCAGCCTGACCAGTTTTAAACTGTCCGACGGAAATTATCTATTTCGTATGGGTGCGAGTATTCACCCGAGCCCGGTTTCCAACACCACCTTCGGACCCACGACCCAATTCATCGAAGCAACGAGAAACACAATGCGGCAGGGCGCGACTCTGCTGCATCACCAAAATTCTTCAATCTGGATTCGGTAGCGCTTCTCGCTTCGTCTTTTTACAGCACACCTTTGTCGTCTGCGCATGAACGCGGACGTGAATCTAGAAGGGATAAGCACATTCATTCTGCCCTCTGGCCTTTGCGATTCTACGATTTGCGACAGATAGTTACTGGCACCGTCCCCATATCGCCTCTACCTTTGTTTCCTTATAATATGGCTTTTCGCGGCAAGCCGATCATCCCTGCCCCTCCTCGTGTGATATCACCGAGCCCTACACCCTCCGAGACCCAGGACGAGATTTCGCAAAATTCCTATCTTGGTCCAGTCACACGTTCTGCAGCGAGGCGCCGACAGCTAGGCAGTGTTGCGCCCCAATTACCTCTGCACGAAAACATCGACGAGGAGTCAGATCCGGAGCTCCGGAGGGCCCGGAGTAGATCGAGAAGCCCAATAAAATCTCGCAACGTCGGTGCTCTTGCTTCCGCCAGGTCCGGTCGCGCCACCAAATCGAAGCAAAAGGATAAAGACGAGGCAAAGGTCAAGGAAGGGGAGACTGCAAATGGTACTTCAAATGGTCATTTGGCGCCTCCCACTCCGGGATATGCACCCACCATCGCGGGGTGGGACTGGCGTGATTTCAGCCGTAGCCCCAGTCCGCTCGGCCTGATTCCGATACATCGTCATTTCAAGATTTTTATCCACAAGCACGAAGTACCGCGCAAGGTGCTGCATGTGTCGATCGGCTTTCTCGTGTACTGGCTCTACGTCAGCGGCACCCAGACCTCTTCGGTCACTCCCTTTTTGATGGGAGCCTTGATCCCTATTGCGACTACGGACTATTTACGTCATAAGTATGCTTCTCTAAATCGCCTCTACGTGAAGTGCCTTGGCGCTTTGATGCGCGAATCCGAGTATAACGGCTGGAATGGAGTCGTCTTCTACTTACTTGGCGCCTGGACCGTCCTTTACTTCTTCCCTAAGGACGTCGCAGTAGTGGCCGTTATGCTCTTGAGCTGGTGCGATACGGCTGCTAGCACTTTTGGCCGATTGTACGGAAGATATACGCCAAGAATTCGACGGGGAAAGTCCCTAGCTGGATCTCTGGCTGCATTCATCGTCGGTGTGGCTACGGCCGGTTGGTTTTGGGGCTGGCTGGCTCCGAAGACAGGCCCTTTCCCTGGAGATGAACATCACCCTTTTATGTTCCAGGGCTTCTTGCGACTTCCGGAGTTCGCCTCGTCCGCGCTCGGACTTTCTGAGTTGCAAAGTGTCGTTGGTGGTCCTATCGCTTTTGGGTTGTTGAGCTTATGGTCGGGCTTCATCGCGGCGGGAAGCGAGGTAATCGATCTCTTCGGCTGGGACGATAATCTCACAATTCCCGTCCTCAGTGGCATCGGAATCTGGGGGTTTCTCAAAGTTTTCGGATAGGCATAAACTGGTCAGACAGTGTAGCCCTTTACAAGGCTTCGGGGATATTTGCAAGGCATTCGGCGTTACGGAGGGGGGATTGGTGCGGAAAGGCATATGATCGATTGGTCTTGGTAGGCAGGCTACTAGGTATGACTAGACAATGACGGTTACTTGCGATTTCGATGACATAAACTCACTCCTCTCACGATTGGAAATTTTCTAGAATTTTCTCAAGACATTTCTCCTTGACAAACATGGAATCTGGGCAGGGTCACACAGTTCTTTGGTAATTTTAGCCGCCCCTATGAAGTTTCTTAGACGCAATTCAACAAGTCTTAGACTAGCAGGCCATAAAGTAGGTCAGTTGAGAAGGACCGACGTATTCTGCAGGTTTGCCACGGGCGTTGGCCAGATCTGTAGGATCAGCTTGCGGGATGTCGTGCATGCTTCGCTTGGACTTAGTACAAAAAGAGAAAGGGAGGAATCGTTACGCAGGCCCTATGGATGCGGCCAGCATGCTATTTACCTCCGACTTACACAGCATGACCGACGAACTGTTGTCCAAGGCTAACGATCAGTCGCGTTCAAAGATTTCAATAAGCTGGGACGAACAGAAATGAAGGTTTCTCGATCCCTTATTTCAATACACGAAAATTGACTGGATCCCGTTCCTACATGGAGGGAGCTGGAAAGAGAACTCTCATGGTTAGGAATCCGCCACTCTAAGACGCAATCGAACCTTTAAGGTATCGTCGAGGCATACTCCGGCTCATCTTCCATCCTATTAGAAGATGCCCCATCATCATCATCGGCGCGCAAGTCCTGCTTGACTGCATACCAATCCAGCCAGGCCCTGTCACTTACTTTCGCGACCAAACAGCTTGGATACATCGGATAACTTGTATCCACACATTCTGCGCCGCCGATACACTTATCAGGTACATAATACATACACTTTCTACATTTTCTACATTTTTCACATATTTCACATTTTCCCACGCAACCGTTAGTCTCTCCCGGAATCTCTATTATCTTCTTATTCGTACTCCCCCATCGCTGATCGGTCCGTTGGCAACTTGGATTCCTGTAGGCCTTGGGACCCACGATGAGTTGTCTCGTGGGTGATGTAGTATCTTAACCCGACCCTGCATATTCAAACTTATAAGCTCCATGTACCAATGCGCCTCACGCTATGTGCAACCGTCCATTCTTCGGTGGTGATTACATCTGACGCCTCGAGCAGGAGGCCTCTTCTCTAGGTCGTTTTACTTAAAACGTATATCGTCAGGTCTTTTCGATAAGGTCGCTTTACTTGAAGCAAAGTGCCTACGGACCTAGACGACACCGCTAGATGCCGTTTTCGTCGTACAAACAGGTCATTGTCTACCGGACGCGACGGAGCTAGTTGCAACTAAGTAGTTCGCTAGCCTCACGCTGTCTGGACTCTGGACCCAAGCTCTTGGGATATTCCCTGCGACTGGTCCGAGGCATATGGTATCCCGAAGCCATTCGCATGCCGTGAAAGTCACGCCTCTCCACACCACCTCCCTCCCGGCAACAACTGTTATGTACGAATGAGACATTCTTTAGACTTGATGTCGTCTTAGTCGCATTATCCTAGCTTCTCCATACTGAATCTAGAAGAATTGCCCCTCTGCCCCGCTCCCTGTAGCTCTTTGTGTCTATGAAGAAAGGTAAAGGATTCCGGCTTGTATAGTCCCGGTTCTCATGAGACTGAGCATAGCATTACAACGTACTAATACGCAATCAACGCCAGCATACGTAGTAATTGATCACGCCTAGCCAGACCAATTGTATTGAACACGAGCTCGGGAACATTTAAACCCCATAACATTTACCGAACGGCGACTCGGTCTATCGCAATTCGTCTCACTGATGAAGTGTCTTTCCGGCTATACCCTGGTATCATGTACGACTTAGTCTCTATAAGTTTTCATTCTGCCTACCACACGCTTTTTGCGCCTTTGACGCTTATTCGTCTAAAAGAGCAGACGAAGAAATATGCAGCCAGGTATCTCAGTTCGTTTCGTAAGACATATCGATCAACGGAATCTAGCCCGAAGAGGCGAATTGCTCTTTTCTCACCCTACACATCTGGACATTCGTGCCAGCTCATCATGCCTCAGTGTACATGTACGTACCGCCCCGGTCAGAACCACTTACACCGGAGCTTGCCTATTCCTTTATCCATACTGTGTGCCGTGTTTCTAGGAAAAGCGGAAAAGCTTCGGTGTATAGAGGATAACCTGTGACATTCTCATATCCAATCCATCTCTTCTTAGTTCCAATGGCCCATTTTAGAGACCATTAAGTTCTTCGAGAAAAAAACTAGCTATCAATACATAGTCGTATATCTTACTAGTATTCTGGGATTATGTATGCCAAGACTATTCTTGATAACCAGGGTGGTGGGGCATAATGCATTTTGTCTACCATCCATGGTATTTGACGACCCCCCTTTAATGGAGGGGCAAGGCGAGGCAAGCAAGCGGAGCACTTCCCCTTTCGCCGTACCAAAGAATAGAGCGCGGGTACGTAATAGCATGTATTCTCCCCCGTCAACTATTCCCCTTACCCTCTTCTAAATTCCCTGCCCATGACGGAAATTCTACGATTTTGGACCAATGAGAAAATTATATTGCCGAAACTTTTTAAGAATTTCTGTCATAAAATTATTAAAGGACCATACAAAATCCACGATGAACATTCCCAATGCGGAAACATAAGGTCGCCTCAGAAGGTATTTCTTGCATGACGGCCCCGGCTTCTGGGAATTTGGAAGAGAAGAGGGATACTTAAAGGGTTAAGTGTCGTCGGAATAAAAACTAATAATAATAATAATGAAAGTAAAGCGAGAAGGGGCGGAATTGACAGGCAAGATAGAGGGAGAACAGCAAATAAAATAGAAATAAATAAATTTACTTCCCAAATGACGCTCTCATTCTCATTCGGCTGGTCCTGGGGCTTGACAACACATCACACAAAATGCCCGATCTTGCTGCACTTCTGCCTGACTGGCCAGTAGCTAGCAACGTTGACATTATTCGAACGTTTGTTTTCTGACCAAGACCACCCTACGCCCTTCCCTCCTTTCGACAAATTTTTTTATCTTGCTTGCTCGGTTCTTCCCAAAAAGTTTTTTTCTCTCTTTTCTTTTCCCTTATTCCACTTTTAGAAAGCCGATCTCGACCAACGAGCTCGTCAGCCTAAAGCTACAACTCGCAGAATATGCAATCCGCTTCCCACGCTACCACCCCCCTTTCGCCCCCAGCCGGAGCCCGCTTTCTTTTCTTCACGAGCCATGGATCGGTGGATTTGTCGATGAAACCTGTCGCTGCTTTTGCGACCTCGTCTTGCGTCTGCCATGTTCCTGTCGTCAGGTACTACTAGTTAGCGTCAGCGCTCGTGTCGTTCGGCTCTCTAAATAGGCTTAGACGGTACAACCGGCTGGGCGAGGGTCGAACGGGAAAGCGGTCTATTTACACTATCTACATAGACGATAAATCGCGTCGAAGCAGACGGGTCTAACGGTTATCCGTCTATCTACACGCCCCCCCATTCAATGACATGATGGTATAGACACTTATACGTACCACGTCCAATCCCGATGGGCCAACGTACACCCACGCCCACCCTCTAGAGGCTAAGAGCCTTCTCGGTAGAGTTCTGACATTCTGATATATTCAGGGATATGTTCCATCATCTGAATTCTAGAAAATCCGTCTTCCTTCCACTTACTAGGCTCCTGGCCTTCATGGGACAGAGGTAGATTTCCTCTTCTATGCCTACAGTAAGGCGTATGATATCTACTTATAGAAACGCCTTTTCTGGCTCTGTTCTCCTTGTCATCATACTCTCATGGCCTCCACAGTCATCCGCAGTAGTCTGCTTGCCTACCTAGCACCTCGTTCTTATGTCAACTATGATACCCTTATTCATCCTTTCGTCTTACTGCCGCAAGAAGCCGGTTGGTCTCATTCGTCGTTTCCGCAGCCGCTTCCCCGATATTCTTCAACCCCCATGTCCCCACATACTTACATACATCCGCATCCACGTACATACATACACTCATACATATACTTATACATATACATACACTACATTGGCCCTTTTCTTCCTCTCTTTTCCTGATGTCGAAACAATCACTGGACGTACCAAGGTTTTGTATTTCCCGAATTACTAGTCTGCCTGCCTGTTTCCCCCCTGTCCGCAGCGCAGTAGCACGTCTCCCAGATCCTCCTGCATCTTATACTCGCACTCCCCTTACCATCGAAGGCTGCCTTTCCATCAAAGGGAAAGACATAACCCGTCCTATCTTTCCCCCCATAGCATGTCGTTCCTGGGTGGAAGTGATAGTCGTCTCTTTTCGGCATATGGCTCTTAAGCTACCAGAAAGCTTACCAAAGTTCATTCTCATGTGAATCGACTTATACCATAAGCGAAAAGACCGAACCGATGGACCCCGATCCAAGTCCCATACGTGTTGCTGTATTGTCATTGTTGCCCCTCGTCTGGACCAAACATGCATACGCCCCCGTGGAGATCTGCCCACATTGACACGGCATGAAGATGGCCAGACTGCCTCATCACGTATGCGTGGTCTTCCTTATACATATCTTACTTTTATTTCATATCTTCTACCTTGTTTCTCTTACTCTCCTCGTACCTAGTTCCCCTGCGTGACTGGCTGGCTCACCTAGATGGGGTGTGGTTCACGTAATACCGTACTTCGGTAGACCAAGGCATTATATGCCTACCTAGTCATGTAAAGTAAGTATGTATACACGTATATGTATATCACGCTGGTAAGGACCAGGGTCTATCGGAAAAGAGGCACATAGTACTGGAGCCCTATTATCATAGCTTGTCGATACATACCAATGATCGGTCCTATCTACAATGCCATTACTGTACCTACACCGTCAGTCCCATGTGTAGTTGTACTTGTGATCTGTCATGCTCTTGGATAATTCTTCCTAGTCCATCAGTTCGGGGAAGCTAGAGCCCTTGCCTCCCGCTCGCCTCCCCCATCCTGACTCCCTTCGACCAACAACACTATATGGAGCGGGGTTACTCAAGGACTCACTCGTCGATCGACGAATCGTGTCGTCGAGACTTATCCCCTATGGACGGGACTAGAGATGGTCCGTCCCCTCGTCGTTTGATCCGGACGAGGGAGTTTTCCCTTCGAGAAGTGAGTATGAAAAAGTATAAAAGGGGGTGCTGTTGACGGGTTGAGCTCGTCTTCTTCTTCTTCCTCTTTTCTTTCTTTCAAACAACTCTCAACTCCTCAAGTCTTCTCGGTCGTGATCTATCCAGAAGTTATCTTTCTACCGGTGACTTAGTTTGTCAAGACATCTTTGCTCTTGACTCACATACAACACATACACCTACCTACCTTCACACAAACAAAGGACTTAGAAGCCTTGCCTACATAGTCACACGCACATCTTGTCTTGCAAGTTTCGTTGCAAACACTCTATTGCTGTCTTACTTATCTAGAGTTTCTACTCTACTACCACTGATATCCCTACCATCACTCCACCTCTTACCACACTCTACCCACAATGGCCTCCTATAACACGCAGTACTACGACACGGCGGCGATGCCCATCCCGTCCAAGGCGGAGCAGTACCAGCAGTACTACCAGAGCGGTGGCAGCAACTATTCGGTCTCTCCTACAGAAGATGACCAGCGGGAGCGCGACGCCTCCGTGACTTCCGGTGTACCATCCTACGGCGGCAGCACTAGCAACGCCGCCAGCTACGCTACCAGCTATGCGAGCGGCGACTACTGCGACAGCAACCAGAGCGGCGGTTCCGCCAGCGGCGTTGACTTCAATGACTACATGCAGAACCGGTTTGACGAGTCCTTCGACCCTATCCCGTTGGACCGGAGCTTGGCCCGTCAGGCGCAAACGTGAGTTGTCTCCCCTTTACTCCGAACTCCCCAATTCCCGATTTGTCCATTTTTCGACCCCCTAGCTTCTCACTTTTTAAGCGAGCAAAGCGAACGGGGCGCGAGAAATGACAAACTAGAAATTTTAGAAAATTCGCAATCAGGAAAATAGAAAAAAAACTAGCTAACAGCAAACCTACAGTTCCGGCAAACTCAACAACAAGCACCGCGAACTCCTGGAGATGCAAGCGGCGGCGCAAGCCCGCCTCGCCCGCTCGCGCGCCCGGTTCCAGCAGGGCCTGAACGACGCGCGGGAGGTGCACGCGGATCTGGAGTGGACGTCCAAGAAAGTCTCGTAAGTAATGCAAAATCCCTAAATTCCAGGTTTTCTACTTCTTCAAAATCACGCGGCAAAACAATTAGTGGAGTTTGCATATCTGCATAATTGCGGGGGGCGGAGAGTGAGAAGAGCCTCAATTCAAAAGGGGCAAAATCTCCAAACTCGCAAATCGCAGTCTTTGCGAGAACACTCCCATCCAATCCCCTAAAATCCGCAAACCAGCGAAAATAAAAAAAGTCAGAAAATCCAGCAAGCTAACAAACCGGTGCGACAGTTCCCTAAAGAAGAAGGCGGAGAAGAAGCACTCCAAGGAGTACGAGAAGGCGCGCGAGCGATACCCGTCGCCCGACTACTAAGCTCCCTAACACAATCGTTCGCCCTGTGCCCTGATCTGGTTCGCGCGCTCCGTACACATATTTGAGCCGCATCTAGAGGGTGGCGACGCGATAATCTGCGCATCATTTCCGCCGGTGAGCCTCAGCCGAAAATAAGGGGGCTCATCGGAAAGATTTTCCTGCATTACACACATACACACGCGCGCACAAAACCTAACCCACGTATTTTCTGCAACATGTCGTTTATTTAACCTTTTTAGCGGCCGATCGCCTCTGCGTTTCCGGGCGCGCCATCCCTTTCCCCCTGTTCGTGTACGTACATCATGTACATCATGTACGGCGTGCGGGTGCGTGGTTGCCATCACGCGAGATCTGGGGTTGCTTGCTGCGAGATCCCTCCGGGGAAAAATGTCTCTCATATGCACACCCCCCCTCCCTTTCCGCATTTTTCACTTCTCTGTTTGTGTGATTCCCAGAAAAACTTGTTGCTGCGCATACCCCTGTCGTTTTTTTCTTCATATAAGTTGGGTGGGAAAGACAAAAACGCAAAAGTTTCACGTGGCGGAGGACGGAGCTGATTCGACAGTCTTGTTATTGGCGGCGGGGGAAAAATGACAAAATAGACGCCCGTTATTTTTATGCATCGCTGCTTTACGGCCGGGGCAGCGTGGTACGTATCGAGAAGGTGTGTGGGTAGCAGACGCAACGCAAATCCCGTTCTCTGTTCCTGCATTATCCTGCTCGCTACTCACGCGAACCGCATGTGCTGACGCACAGCGCAAGCGGACCGGCGGTTAGCTAGTCGAGCAGGGCTTGTTTCACGAGGTTACGAGATATGATTGGACGATTTCGGGCGATCCGGGGGTACCATGGCTTAAAAGCACACCATCTTTTGTCTCTAGCAGGGTACAGACGACGGGATGACGCAGGTCTGACCGATGAACCGGTTCCTGCAAGTTGGGTCGACCGGGGAGAGAGAGAGGGGCTTGGGGTTAGAGTAGCGGCAGTGGATCGAGCTTCCTAGGGGCACACTCTGGGGCGCGAGACCAAGGATGTACTCGTAGATAGATCGCACACTACCTCCGTAACCTAGCGGCTGGGACGACACTTGTCCGCTTTAGGGTATGGATATTACCCCTTTTGTAATAAGTCGGCGGCGGCGTAGGCGGTGGCTGTCCATTTCTGGGCCCAGAGTTTCCTTAGAGAGTATTGTTAGGTCGGTAGCGTGCTTCTCCCAGACATAGTATGTAATACAATGATTCCCAGTTCGGTGACCCGTCCCAACATCGTGTATATGTGTGTATGTACCTCCGTGTGTCTAAGACACAGTGGACCGTAATCGCCCGTAACCCCCTTGGACCAATGAAAGCCAGGGGGCACAACAGTTTGATCGGTGACTTGGGACGCTGAGATGAATCCACCGTAGACCGAGGTAGGTAGGCACCTTCATGTAAGTCGATGGGTGTCACGTGATATAGTGATGCCCAATTATTGTTGGGTGCTCCAAACGTGTATACCAAATATCGTGTCTGGTTGGGTGTTAGTATACCTGCACGAACGCAAGAGTTTGTTAGGTACCTAGGTAAGTCATATTTCTCTTTGCCCCCTATCTTCGTCCTTCGATGAACGATATGGACTGATTAAATCATTGCTCGCCCATGGCAATTCAACTAACCGACGCCTGACCAGACCGAGACTTTGCCTCCTCCCATGACATCCAACTGCCTACCGGCTCCAAGCCACTGGCCTTCTCCAGTGCCTCCCATGGGTTAGTGTTCGTACTCGGGTCATAATAGCCCTCCCACCACTTCTTTCCTGGCTCATGCCCTTGACCACCTCCCCGTCCTCGACCTCGACCTCGACTGGCTTGATGACCGCCACGACCACGGCCACCTCGATAACTTGTGCCTCCGTCGATGCTTGTTGTTGAAGATGGAGTTCCCCAAGCCTGATCAGAGGAGACTCCAGTTATACTGTCAATTTTAGACTGAATGTCGTCATTTAATTCAGCCATAACAGCTGTAGGTGGGCGCGATGTGTCCATGTACTGTGGCCCTGGATTATCGTTACTCTGGTCGTTGAGGCTATCACGAACATCGCTTTTGGAGACATTGGGTTCATCTTCGTCCTCTTCGAGGTCAATCTCATCTTCGTTTCGAGTTCTTACACCTAAAGGTGTTGTGTTTGATCCTGTTCTGGCCTCCTTGACAGTACCGCTCTGGTGAAGGGGAATGGTGGTTGATGCAGTCACAGCTTCATCGGCACGGGGGTTGAATTTGCGTCGCTTGTTAGCATTCTGCATGCCGAAGCTTGAGAAGCCCATGGCTTCTGCCATAGCAGCAGCTGTGTCCTCGTCACTTTCCATGGTGAACTACCCGGGGTCCGTTATTGGTGAATATTATGGGAATGAAGTCGATATATGTGAATTCCTCAAAATTGTGTGGGGAAAGGAACTTAAGACATTCGTTGGCAGGGTTACATGAGCTAAGTGCTTTAGGGCCTACTCTCTTATCTGAAGCTCAATACGAGTCACTTGAATCGAGGATCCGACTTTTGTTGAATATGAGAGATGATGTTGGAAAAGGGCTCTGGCTCTAGGAAGAGGCACGTCGAAAGTTAGCACCGAATTTGCGAACGAAAAGGAACTTTTACTAACATTAAACAAGTGTAAAAGTGAGACAAGGATATTGGCTGACTCATCATGACGGAATTCTTAGCGTAACTCGATTTCTGCATTAACCAGCTAGAGAATCACGAATCACTTTAGACGTGAATTTTATAATGGAATATGCACGGATCGGAGCGTAAAGCTTGGGATCGATAATAATATGAAGTTAGTGAATAATATCTGCACTTAAACAGACTTCATTGCTGCTTATTGGACTTCTTGAGCCCCTCCATGAATTGTCTCTCTTCCAAAGAACATCTTAGCGATATTAGTAGGCTCAATATTGCCTGCGAACATCCATAATGCCTCTGTAAGCACCCCATAATTGACTTTTACTATATAGATTACCTCCCTAATACGTAATTTTACAGACATCTACTAGGCAAGAAATCATGGAACGTCTACAACCCTAAGAACATCGAGCGCGTGAAGCGCGACGAAGCAGCCGCCAGAGAGCGCGAAGAAGCCGAAGAGCAACGCCAGCAAGAAGTAGACGCGGAACGCCGTCTGGCCATCCTACGTGGCGAAGTCCCACCGCCTTTGCCTCCGCCCGAGCCAAGCGCCGACGACGAAGCCCCTAGCCGGAAACGAAATCGCGATGAGGAGCCAAGGAGAGAGCGTAGGAAGCGTAAGCGCGTGGGCGAGGACGATACAGATTTCGAACTGCGACTTGCGCGAGAACGGGTGGATACTGCACCAACGACGAGTAGCGCGCTTGTGAAGAGCAGTGACGCCCCGCTCATGGATCACAGGGGTCATATCGACTTATTCCCCGACGAGCGATCTCGCATGCCATTGGAAAAGAATGCGGAGGCGGAAAAGGAAGCTGCGAAAAAGAAACGGGAATATGAAGACCAATACACTATGCGCTTCTCGAACGCCGCGGGCAAAGACGGACTTGTTGGTCCTTGGTATGCGAAAGGCGGTGATATGAAGGATATTATGGATGGTAACCTAGAAGCTCCAAGCAAAGATGTGTGGGGTAATGAGGATCCAAGACGCAAAGAGAGGGAAGCTGCGCGAGTTATCTCTAGTGATCCCCTGGCTATGATGAAGAGAGGCGCTGCGAAGGTTAGGGAGGTCGAGAAGGAGAGACGACAGTTGAATGACGAGAGGGAACGAGAATTGAAACAACTTAGGAAAGAAGAGAGAAGAAAGGAGAGAAGGCGAAAACGAGAAGGAAAGGAAGATCATGACGACCTTGAAGGGTTTAGCCTAGATGGCACCTCGTCGAGCAAGCCTCAGGATCGATCGCAGGATGATGACGGTCACCGGCAGAGACGGCATCGCTCACCTCGGAATGAGGATGACCGGTCCAGGTCAAGACATCATTCTGAGCACAGGGAGCGCCGGCACGACGACGAACACCGGCGTTCCCGATCGGATCATCACGACCGAAACTCAAGCAGCTCAAAACATGACCGCCGGCGATTAGGGAGAGCGGATCATTATTAGCATTGCATGGTTTGTTTAGTAGTATGGAGTTTGTCTTTTGAGTATCAGATACCCCCTCTCGCCTTGCGAAGAAGTCCATATGAATTGAGTATTCATGGTTAAAACTTTTGGATTATTACTTGTCGCCTTCCAATGTGCTATTGCTTCATGGGTATCATTACTTTCAAACTCCCAACCGTGACCAACTTTGCCTATTTTCTCTCTTTCCATGGTAAGCTGATATCAACCTCTTGCATATGCTTCTCAACCAGTTCTACAACCTTCGGCGCATCCTTCAATTCCTTCAATACCTTGATAATTTCCTCCGCCGTCTCTTTGCTTAGACCTTCCTTTCGATCACTGTATATATCAACGCCCTCCTGCGTAAACAGCGTCGGCGCAAACCACGTCACAGCCCAGCGCTCAATACCTTCTCCTTCGCCCCCTCCCTCCGCCGCGTTTCCTTCACCACTCGCACCACGCAGCGGACGTTCACCCCATCCTAAAACCTCCCAGTGGCTACTCGCAATAGCCAGCAACCCCTTCCCTCGCCACGTCCACGCCCCCGGTATAACCGGGTCCGGCTTCTCAATACCCACGACAGTCTTGACGCCACCCTTGCCGCTCCGCTTCTCGTACTCGACCAGGTTGTCGTTGGCGCCGGCCACTGGCTTGTACGGCGCGTACGTGATGCGCACGTTACGCGCGGAGCGCCACATGCTCAGCGTGGAGTGCGTTACAATCCACGTGCGCCAGAGCCATTCGAGGGGCGGAGAGACAAAGGGGGCGCTGGCAGTGGTAGTTGGGTTGGCTTTGGAGGAGGGGGAGAGGTATTTGGAAGGCGCGCGGAGGTTGATTGCGGTTGGAGGTTGCGTGTTAGACGCTGTTTCTGTCATCGTGGGAGGAAGCTTTCGTGGTTTCGTGGAGGGGTTTAGATAGTCAGGGGTAGTTATATGGTTTTAAGTCAAAACAAAGAAATGGGATAGGTTGGCGATGTCTGTCGGATATGCAATTCGGACGCGTAGATACCTGTAGGTAAAGTTTTTATAAGAGACGTCAAGAAGGTGTAGAAAAGCAATTGATTATTTGATTAGAGCTATGGTCCAGGGAGCTCCTTTCGTCATATTCATGCGTCAAAGCTCGGGAAGTTCTTATCCGGCGCATATTTCAAGGGTATAATTGCACAATTGGAACTTGCATAGAAATAAGCTGAACTAGAAGTGTCATTTATAGGAAGATTATGGTCAATAAGATCAATTGATAAATAAGAACAGATAGTAAGTACCTCTTATTACTATATTTCCAAGGTTATCTCTTGCTTGACCCATCGAGGATAGAAGAAACTAGGTAGATTTTGCTATCAATGACGATGTCGAGCAGAAGACGCCTGCTATCTAATTGACACGTGATCTTATAAGTTTATGTAATATATTTTGATTAGTATCATCTACATTTGAAGTGAGACATAGTAAACCTTTCCAATCTAGAAGTCAAAATGACTGAACGAATCTTCTCATAACTTCATTACTCTAAACTTGTCTTTGAACTAGATCAATATTATCTACAATGTATATGTCTCATCCCCAGTCCATCTCCGATATCAGCTTCCTCCATTTCAACAACTTGTTCATGGTCATAATACATCACATCTTGCTGATCCATTGAGTCTCCTCTGGTGCCTTCCGCATGTCTCCGTCGAATCCTATCCGTATTGTGGGACCGCGCCGGTCGGAACAGTCGGGCAATGTTCCGCCTCATACCTAAAATTTGGCCATCCCCTGGATTCTGAGCGATGTCCGCCAGCGGGCGATTTCGTAGCTTGAGCTTCTGTCTAAATGTAGAGATCTCTAGCTCAACCCGGGCTTCAGATACGTCATCTCCGCCTTCAAACGTATCATCACGTCCTCGGGGATATTGGACTTCAGGAATCCAAACCCACGTGATGAAGGCCCCTAGGAGCATCGCTGGGCAGAACCCTAGCAGAAGCGCCGCAAACTTATGACTATAGTCGCCTGTATAGACCACTAAGTTGGTTAGTAGCAAAATTGTGATCACTCCGAGCTTCCCGGAAGCTGCCGCAACTCCGTAGAACGTGCCCCGATACTTTGTTGCGAAGAGCTCGGCCGGAAGCATGAACGTCATGATGTTGGGACCAAGGTTAAAGACGAATTGCGCAAGCACATACAAGGTCATCGTCAACGCATGCTTATCCGTTTCAAAATTAACGGAAAAGGTCCCGCCGTTGATCGCGAAAAGCGCTGCGAGCGCAACGAACATCCACCCCATCCATGTGGTTCGAGGCAAGTAGTCGACGGCAAACAGGATAACAATGCTCCCTGGTAGAGCTCCGCTTGAAATAGTCATAATATTCCGTATGCTGTCTTGCTGGAGCATTTCGTATATCGTAATGTTCGGCCGGGCCGGATCAGCTCGCCATGGAACATTATTGCACGCTAACTCTCCCAGCGACGTAGAAACATTTGATTGGGGCGGCGCATCTGAAAGCCAGATTGTGGAGATAAGTTTCGGGTTGTCAAGGCCAAGCCCGTCTAATGATTAATATTAGCAATTACTCCATTCGGGTCGAGAGTTCAGAAAGAACAGACGTGTTGCAAGGAATCAGGGGAAAAGTCAATGTGACGTACAATAAGCTAGGTCCAACAACCACCAAGTGGCCATAACGCCAAGAAGAGCACGCCAACGCCCTTTTTCGGCGAGATGCTCCTTTAGTTCTCGCATATAGTCAACAATTGACTCCCACCGACTCTTTTGCCGTGTTCTCAAATTGGATATCGGCCTTTTCGATGACGATTGAGCCATAGGATAGCTGTGATTAGTAGGCTGGAGAGCTGCGTCAAGAGGAAGGACTCGGCCTACAGCTGCGACAGCGTTCACAAGTTCGCCTTTTTCTACAAGATAGTGAGGGGTTTCGGGGATTATCCGTCTTAGGAAGAGCGAGATAAGAGCTGGAACTGCCCCGATTCCAATTATTGTTCGCCAGACAACATCGATAACCGGTGAAGCGACATCGTAATCTGTCTCATCAGGGGACAACCCAAGCCTGATGCTAATCCCCCGCAGTATAGCTAAACCAAAGGCGTATGCAGCAAATTGACCCAGGGACTGCATTAAAAACACAGCCGCTATCATTCTACCTCGGGACTTCGTCGAAGACCATTCCGCAGCTATGATCGTAGAGAGTGGGTACTGTCTCGTGTTAGCATGTTCCTATGTTTATCTAGTTAGGGTAAAGCCAAGCAGTATTTTCTAACCTCTGCTCCAAGTCCAATCCCTAACATAGCCCGCCAAAACCCGATCCAACCGTACACATTCATCGAGTTCAGATGACCCGAAGAGGCCGTCGTCATCCCAACTGTCGCAACCACGACAATGCTTAGCTCAAGACCGTATACAGCTTTTCGACCATATCTGTCTGCCAGGTGGCCGAATATGAGCATCCCGATCATCGTCCCCGTTAATGTTGTCAGGTTGATGACCAATGAGTTCGTTGACCACCAGTGAGTACATTCTGGATAGACGTAACTCAGGGCTGGGCTAATGACGTTCACGGCGAATATGCTGTAGGATGTTGTGAAAAATCCCGAGGCAGCAACCCACCACACCTTCCACTGAAACTTATCCAGGCCTGGATAGTCGATCACGGACTGGACTGCTCTCTCTGGGTCGTGTAGGTCCTACATTGCATCCGTGTGTCAGATGAAATTCTCGAGTGGGCAATAATTGGAAATTCTAATACATACGCATTCAATCTCGTCTGCAACGCGACCAGTTGCAGCATCTAGGCTGGAGAAGTAACCACCCATTACGTGCTACAGCGCCCTTCGACGCTTCTAAGATATCGTGAGAATATCTTCAATCGTTCACACTCCAGAGTTAGACAATATGAGTTCGGATCTGATCAAGTCTACGAATACCTAACTATTTATCCCTTAAATTACGAGGTTTCGTATATCGAACTACGCCCAACCATTTCGGTTAAAGTTATTACATCGCCCTGAATCTTTGATTCGGTCAAGATAATATGCCTAATGTGTAGTAGGGTCGTATTTCATGATATGAGATGAAGCTGCAAGCAGGTTTTAGAACGACTCAGCCGCATCCATCTCGTTGTAGATTCCCTCGGTGAACCCTTAGACACGCCGACTACACCCCGGCGACTTTTCTGGGCCTATCTTAGGCCTTCGACCAAGCACGAGCGACCCCCTTTATCTTGAAAGGCAGTCTGATCAGGCAGACGCAGCGTCGGACTCTGTGATCTCTCAAGCTGTCAGCAATCTGGAAGCTACAGGAAGACCCAAGCTAGCGGGAACGTCGGACATGACCTACATAACAAAACGCCCTAAGTAGGGCACAGTGCTTCTTCTCAGATCCATATTAGGTGCAACGAAAATCAGTTGCCCTATAAACCCACCTAACTGCAGAGCAACGTGGCAACGTGGTTGACTTGATATAAATCCTCTAACGGTCTCTCAGGAACGTGGGCGAATTATGGCCTTCTATTGGACGCCTTTAAAAGACCCCTGTTCAATCTCCAAATCACCAATTCGCTACATATGCTCGCTTGTTCGAACCCCATTGGAAATAGCCCATAGAAGGGCCCTCCCGTCGTAGATCCGGGCAGTGATACCGGTCTTACCGTAAGTAAACCAGAGCCCGGGGGTGGTTTTGAGCCGCCCCCACACCAGAGCTCCCTTATGTGAGACCGGGTTCCAGTCTGTTGAACGCGGGCTTGCGTGGTAGTTCCTTTCTTTTGGGACTAACGGATCCCCTCGGAAAATGGACCCTGGGACAATTTTATCGATCGTCCAACTTTCATTGTCTGCTTTCGAACTGGGCTCAAAGATCGCACGCGAGTTCTTGAGTAGAAGTGATAGAGTCCCAGACAAGCTCAAACGTCTTAACGATCGTCTTGGGCGATTTCACACAGTTGTTAAAAATATAATACAAGAGCCCCAAAAGCATAATGCGCCTTCTAACCTTAAGTTCCCCGGGGCTGATGACATTATCGAAACCCTTTCTGAATGCAAAGAATTTCTCCGTCAATATGAATCGGCGTTGTTGTCACATTCAACAGTCGTGGGTGCAAGCCAACGGCTTGCCCTACTCGTTGGTCCGGATAACTCCAAGGTAGATGAACTGGATAAGAGAATAATGTATCACTATACGGAGCTTCAGTATTGGAAAACCGTCGCGGTTGAAGATGCTGTCAAGAGACTGGGCGAATCGTAAGTTGTTTCCTGCCATGTTGCTTTTTCTGGCGCTGCTAAACAGGTAAACATTGATACAGAATGGTCGCGATGCATGTTTCACCCCAAATCCCCAGTTTGACAGGGTCGCCACAACTTGAATCATCCACAGGCTTTGCCGCAGGGCAATCAAATGACAATCATATGGCACGGAGCCGGTCCGGATTTCCTAGATCTCCTACCCTTAAAGCAAATCCCCGGAATCCTTCCCTTTCTCCAATAAACGAGATCGAACTTCCTTCTCCTCGAGCAGGCAACAACTACACTTTCGATGTAGCAGCGCAAAGACAATTGTGCCGAAGTACGGGAACTGGCCCGGTTATGGCTTACATTGGCCATGATCGTCAAGATACAGCCAGTTCGGCTTCGACGCTTGTCGGGTCTGAATATAATATAGGTCCATTATCCCCTTCTCCACTGTCGACAACACCACCGCAACAGTTCCAGGGACAGGGGTACTCTGTGTGGTTGTTTGTCTTCCCTATCTCCTATATTATACAATATGTTAACATCATTTATCCAGGTACATTGGCTCACGACGTTATCAATTTACTACTACTTGTTACAGGATCCTTGATAGTGATGGTAATAGAGTAGCCGAATGGTATAATACTAGCTCCGGGGTAACAATTCAGCATTTTGGTCAGACCTAACTTAAGCATCCATTGAAAGATAAATAACTAACTCAGTCCAGTCCCGAGCGGATGTTGTATACCGCATACGAAACCTACTGATGAGAAACTCAGAGTATCCTTCCTCCCACCAAGCACCAAGCACCATTTCAGGATAACGGAGGCCGACCAGCAAGCAGTGGATCTGGAAGACAGAGCGCAATACCAATTTGCGCGTAAAATGGACAGGGATATATTTCAGCAGAACCTTCGGGGTTACGAGTCTCTAGAAATCATAAGAGCTTCGAAAATACACAGCGCGGCGAAGAAGGACATCGCGACATTAGAACACCTGAAAGTTTGGCGCCAAACCGACTATGACGACAAGCCAACCATCTCCTTCGCGGCTCACGGAGTCGGTCGTCCCCTTCACCACGAAGAGTTCTACATCCGATGGTTCAAGAGAACTCCGGAGTTGAAAGGAGACACTAGGTTGATACTGCGAATGTATTCGAAGGAGAGTGACCATGAAAAGTTGCTGGAAACGGAAGGAGCAAGGAGACGATCTTCAACATTCGGAAGTAAAGTTAGGAAGCTATCGGGAAATTCAAGCCACGGAGGTCCTTCACGCCCAAAGTCGCGGTCGCGATCATCCTCGAGTAAAGCGCCTGCACCGGTTCTGTACGAGTACTTTCAAGGCATAGAACCACCAAGCGATATTAGGAACCTAGGGCATCTCGAGATTGAGTTCAAGGACTCGGAACGTAAGCCGCATTTTAACTTACCCACTTACAATTAAGGATGCATTTCTAATAGATATTTGGTGTAGTCCGGAGAAGCTTCATAAAAGCATGCTACGAAGCCCACCGTCCCGCCATGGCAGCTGCGAGAAATGGCACACCAAGTCCCGTTTTATCACAGCAGAAATACACCGGGCCTCCAACTCTAATGCTAGGACCGCAACAAGACCCATACGAGCTGGGGGACTCGGCTCGGTACGAATTAATGGGGGACTTTGGCAGTCATGAGATGATGCATAAAGCAGGAGTGTATGAAATGGGAAGTCCAAGTTTTCAAATTCCATCCCCGAGCCTAAACACGCCGTATTCCCCCGAGGAAGTCCATTTTAATACCGAGACATTATTTTTGCCGTCGCGGACGGCTGCTAGTGGATTAGTGAAGGGGGTAAATAAGGAGTACGGTACAGAGTCGCTTACACGCGAACCGGGATCGCATTTTCTCTCTGCAAATGAACCTTCCTGATGGATTTTGAAATCGACTTATGATCGACCATCATTATTGTACTATGACGACAATCTTCTATAGGCATAAGTATATTTGGGAATGGAGGCAGCATAAGGGCTGGTCATGGTTAATATGAGATATCGATGACTCGCATGAGGTTGACACGTTGCATGCTACGATACATAGGGGATAAGGTAGCCATGTCCTAGGATCTTGATCTGAGGCCGAGAGAATGGGGCGTGAGTTACAGATGGTAACGGCGGCGAGGTTGTGGGACAACCATCATACAACATCACGACCCTTAACATGTAATTACTAAAACTAAATAAGTCCTTAAAGTCCAAGTAATCATATGATTCATAACATCTAACTTCTAGGCGGAAAGTTTAGTGGATTATCGCCATCTGATCTTCCTCGCTTGAACTTAGTGTAGGCTTCATCTGGTTGATTAGAGAGCAGCAGTGTGAGCCAACGACTTTGGTTTAAGTATTCATTTTCTACGACTCGGTTTATGGGAGTATTATTAATCTCACAACCTACTCCTGATAACAATTGAAACCGAAATCAAAATCATTCCTTGGTTAATATCTGGTTTCATCTCACAGAGAAGAGGTTAATTTCTCGAGAAATGAAAACCACAGCTCTTCAACTTGCATAAGAAATTCAATCAATTAGATGACTTCCTAAATAGGCAACTCTATACAACCTCAAGCAGGCCAAAAGTCAAGTGTACATCTTTGCTCTAGTTACTTATATAGAAATGGGAGTACCTTCTCTTGTCCAATGATTGGCCAGAGAACTTACCCCGCCACCCAGGGCAGAGAGCGGCTAAGCAATATTAGGGCTAGCTTGATCGAATTCGCTTTGAAACGACAGCTGCGACGTAACCGACTCGCTTTGCCCGCTGACGTCCGATTGCTCTAGACTATGTACAGCCTTACAGCTAACAGCTACTTGTCTTTTTTTTACCTTTAAGCTGCAGCCTAACCTACAACTTTCATCACCTGGATTTATAAAGAAAGAGATGCCGTAAGATCTGGAATGCTTACCACTCTCGGACTTATCTACTGAAGTTTCTACAAGTTTGTGCGGTCATCGTACATATGTAGGTGTTTTCTCCCGTTGACGTAGCCAACTCTGACGTCGGTGACCCTCATGACCTTCATGCTGACCGAACACTTTGCTTAGCTACTAAACAAGAACACCCAATACACTCAATCAACCTCTAACGACCGCCTCTTAATCGTAATACCGTAACGATGGATATGCGAAACAACCTCTTTGGAAGAGGACCCCGCAGCGGATTGCCCGGGCGTCAGGTCCAACAAGACCAAGGCGGCTACAACCAAGTGCCCCAAAGCCGGCCAACGCGCGACTACTCCGGCCCTCCTGAATACGATCCTCGGGGCGCCTACGGTGCGCCGTCGCCAGGATACGGCGGGGGCAACATGCCGCCCCAACCGAGGAACACGCGACCCAGCGCTCCTCCTGCCGGCCGGCCGGTACAACTCAGACTAGCGAAATTAGAGAAGGGCGACATGGCTCAGCAATACATCTTCAGCAACCTCTGCGCCGTCTCCCCACAAGACTTCCCTCCTGATCCGTATGGCAAGGACTTGCATATCATGTTGAATGGAAACTTCGTCGTGACTGCTCGCCCGACCGAATATATCCCACCCGGATGCATAAGTCTGTCCGATCCGCAGCGAACATGGTGCGGTATCAGCATGACGGACGTCGTCATTGGTGAGAGATACGACCATAAAGTTCCTCTCGGTGCCATGGATATTGAAGTCGGTTTTGCGTCCCAGCGGAAGACGACGGATGTACCATATGACCAGGACGAGCTTGCAGACAACTTTACCAAAATGTTCCAGGGCCAGATATTCGCCCCTGGCCAACGGTTGTTAATGGATTACAGGGGAATACCATTGATGTTTGTCGTTAAGACGGTTCAGCTCCTTGAACTGCTCGGCGGCGAGAAAGGCGAGACTGGCGAATCTTCATCAAGACCTGATACCCGGGGTTTGTTGGTAGCGGAGACGTCTGAAATCAACTTCTTCAAAGATGCTAAGAATCCCATCAAGCTAAAGGGCTCGACGAAACGACCCGCCACCAACGCTATCCTTCGACCGGACTTCAAGTTCGCCGACATGGGCATTGGTGGTCTAGACGAGGAATTCAGCACGATTTTCAGACGTGCTTTCGCATCTCGAGTTTTCCCTCCGGGTCTGGTTGAGCAGATGGGCATCTCCCACGTAAAGGGTGTCCTGCTCTACGGCCCACCAGGGACGGGTAAAACGCTGATTGCCAGGCAGATCGGCAAGATGCTCAATGCCAGAGAGCCGAAGATTATCAACGGTCCGGAAATCCTTAATAAATACGTAGGTCAGTCCGAAGAAAACGTCAGAAAGATGTTTGCGGATGCGGAGAAAGAATACAAGGAGAAGGGCGAGGAGAGTGGCTTGCATATTATTATTTTCGACGAGTTGGATGCCGTCTGCAAGCAGAGGGGCAGCGGAACTGGCGGTACTGGCGTCGGCGACAGCGTTGTCAATCAGCTTCTGTCGAAGCTTGACGGCGTGGATCAGCTTAACAATATCTTGCTTATTGGTATGACTAACCGGAAGGACATGATCGATGATGCGCTGTTGCGACCGGGGCGTCTCGAGGTGCATGTGGAAATCTCATTGCCTGACGAACATGGCCGAGTACAGATTCTAAACGTGAGTTGTGACGGTCCTCTCTACAGTCCTTTCTTCCCTTATTCGATTCCCCTAAAAGTCACGATGTCTTCATAAAATTTCTGGTGGGAATTATTGTTTTTAATACCTCAAATTATCTATGTACCCCGCCTGAGAAAAGCGTCCACTAATTCGTTGCAGATTCACACTTCCAAAATCAGAGCTATTAACAAACTAGGTAACGATGTCAGCTTGGATGAACTCGCTCATTTGACCAAAAACTACTCGGGTGCAGAGATTGCTGGTCTCGTCAAAGCGGCCCTTTCCTATGCCTTTACCAGGCATACGAGGGTCGGAGATGTCACCGGCGTTAGCGGCAACCCTCAAGACGTTATGTTGACACGGGCCGATTTTGTGCGAGCGTTAGAGGACGTCAAACCAGCCTTTGGTGTCTCTGAGGAAGAACTGAGCGGCGCCGCCCCGTACGGAATCATCGACTACAGTCCACACATTCAATCAATCTTGTCCACTGGTCTGAGCTTCGTCCAAGCAGTCCGAACATCCGAGAAGTCCCCTCTATTCTCCGTCTTAGTCCATGGGCCACATGGAGCTGGAAAGACGGCACTGGCTGCAGAGATCGGTCTGAAGTCAGAGTTCCCGTTTGTTAAACTAGTTAGGCCGATTGACGTTGGAACCAACGAAGCTGCCAAGCTTGAGCACCTGCGACGCACGTTCTCTGATGCGTATAAATCAGCCCTCTCTATCGTAATTCTAGACAGTGTGGAGAAGATCATCGACTGGAACCCGATTGGCCCGAGGTTTTCTAACGCCGTCGTGCAGTACTTGGGCGCTGTGCTCGAGACCCGCCCACCCAAGGCAAGTAGTACGCAAGCATGCCTCATTCATTATGCTAACAGCTTTATAGGGCCGCAGACTTCTCATCATAGCGACGACGAGCCAACGATCTATGCTCGACCAGCACGGCGTGTTTGCGTGGGACAGAGAAATTGCGGTCCCAGCAGTCAAGGACCACCGGGAATTGCAAGCCCTCCTAGCCGCCTCGGGCAAGTTCAACGGGCCTGTCGACATCAACGAAGCACTAAACGAGCTGCAAACTCTGACGGGCGGACAGGAGGTCGGTATTGGTGTTAAGGCGGTGTTCTCGGCGCTTGAGACGGCTGCCGTGAGGGATCCGCTGCCGATAAGTCTGGCGGAGGATATCAGCGCTATCATGGCCGCGCGGAATCCCCAGGGGTACTAGGAGGTGCTAGAAGGCATGCTCTCAACGGCGTCGTTAGATTCACGGAGTAGAGTTAACATCAATGTCGATGTGATGTAATTGCAGATTTGGTCTGCTCGATAGAATATAGATAACATAGAATATCTATGTATGGTACCTCGGCAATTAGGTACATTGCCCATCATCCGAAGGAACAATTCCAGGCAATGATTTATTTTGCCAATGATTCTTCTCCGGAAAGCATGAGCGGTAATGGGCCCAACGGGCTTCTTAGTATTCCTTCGTTGTAATAGTCCTCAGCGTTTCCTGTCTTATTCCCACGAAGACTATAAATCTTCTCTCCTCCGCGATCCTCGTTGAGGTTCTTGGTAGTCCCCCCATAAGTACATTGAAAGTACTTCCAGCCACCAAACTTGCTACCATCCTGGCTGCGGGATGCTAGGTTAGCGGAATGTAGGGAAGAGAGCCGGGGAGAAATCCCTTCTTCCGCAACTGATTCGTTAGTAAGGTTAACATCTCCCATCGCTAAGATGGGAAATTCACCAAGTTGGCTTGGTGTTATGGCTTATAGGCCGAGGCCATTCTTGGTGAAAAGGCAGGTTTGGCTTGCCGAATAGTGTAGAGATGGTTAGAACGTGTCTATGTCGATACCTACGGTACCTACGAGGGATGTCCCCAACCACCGCTGCAGATTCATCCAGTGTGCGGTGTGGTTACCGTGTGAGCTGACGCGGTATTGGTTTTCCTGTCTTTCTCCCCCGACTGGGCTTTTCGTCCCCATGTCGTTGTCCTCACTGTTGCTAAGAGTGGAATATTTTCCTCTACGGTTCTCGTCGACGTCCATGATAGCCATTAGCATTGCATCGGTAGTAATGGCGATCGCCAATTTCACCATCCTCCCCTTTGGCCGCAGGCGGGTTGGTCAAAGGTGCGTGGTGATTGGATTAAGCCAGGAGTGCCGTAGAACATCAGTATTCCATGCTCACGGTTTTAGTCTCCTCAGCGGCTGTGTAGGCACGGAGGCAAATCTTCTCCAGTGCTTGGGTGTCGGCTTGGTTGACGCCCGTCGTCGCTTCCTTCGCTGAGGTGAGTGCATCTCTGCACTGGAGACCACCAACTACTTCCAGAGTAGCTTGGCTTCACCGTCCTCCGCAGAAGGGAGTGCATCCTCCCAGGTGCTTGATTCCGCCCCCCTCTGAGGCTCAGCTAACGCAGTATATGCCGGTATATACGGTAAGTGTTGTGTATCATCGGCTATGTTGGCCGCACCTAAAACTGCTAGGCAACTGGAGGGCTGTTGAGCACCCAACAGTTAGTCTAGAATTTGTCCACGCTGTGTTGTCACGTGGCAAGCACGCTAAATATAGGTATCTCGCGTGTAGTCTTGGGTTCGTATCTAGCGTGTGTACGCCATTGTAGGTCAGGATGATGGGAGTCTCTTCAAGAGTAGAGAGGGCCGAAGGCTCTTCGCCACCTCCATTAGGCCCAGTTTCCTAGGTTAATGGCCAAGATACACCTTTGAGGTGGTGGTATTGACGTATTCTGGCGTCAGCAATGGTATATTTGGCTTACCATGGATGCGTGGTCGATGTCGATTCTGCTCTACTGGGGAAGTCCTGACACGGCTGCTACAGCTAGCCGCCACCCAGTGCTCGCTCTCGTAGAGAGTCTCAGGGATACAGCCACATCTGTGCAACTCGTCGTCGATCTTGTTGACCACGTCTGCGACTACCTTACACTCTGGCAGCGAATTCGTTAGACATGAGACCCAACTACGACGTGAGCGGAGAGCGCCGTTTAAAAGGGATTGAATATAGCCATCCGTCGGCAGTGATCAAGATCCCGGATCTCTGGATATCGGTGTTAGAGTCTTCCAGACTTCGATTTGGCTCCATGTTTGTTGGTACAGCATACAGGTGACCGAGTATATGTAGTCTTGTGCGAAATGGACACTAGGACTTGTTTGGTGAGTGCCCCTCCTGTTCTCGGCCATATCATCAATAACGTAGGGGCTTTCATCGCAAATTGCGCACTTGCGTTGATTCCCACTTGAAAGGGAATTGTCATGATTGTGGATTGTCGAACCCCTTCTATGTCCTTCTTTTGAATCGCTCCAACGCAGAGCGGGTTTTGACTGCCGTTCGTCAAAGTCGTGGACGATATGCCAGCCAACAGCTATATGTTGTTCTTGATCGGGGTCGATGAGTTTCGGCCCACCCCCAAGGTATGGAGGTTGAGTGATGCGGCAGTTGTTTCTCCAAATATCTTTCTTCGAATGTTGTGTCTGGTCAAGATTTCTCTCGTAATTCCAGGGTATGTCTATAAGAGTCGAGACCATTGTACATGGCTAAAACGCCTTTGATCTTCGGAGCATAGGGGTAGTTGCAAGGTCTCCAACGAGGAGCTTGACATCTTTGTCGAGTTCTTTCCCCCTAATAGATGCAATTACCACCAGCCTCCTTGAGGCTTTGGGGCCGTCTGTATGGTTTTTGTTGTAGAGCGAGGAAGTGTCATCTGGTCGCCACCAACAATGGTCTAATATTATAACATGCAGGACATCTCGAAGTAAGGAAAGTAGTGTCTGATATCACTGGTACGAGATATTAGTTAGCTTATGTATGACATACCCGAAAAACAACGCAAGAAAAGATTACATGCCTGTCCAGTGGACCCGACAAGAGAGCCGTTTCCAGAAGGCCCATCCCCAACAGGGATTACGTGCGTAAGGATAGGGTGGATGGAGAGCGAAATTAAACTAAAACTTACTATTAAAGGAGTGGACTCGGAAGCCAGAGTATTGTTGTCATTGTTGTGGTTGAGATCTAGTACACCGGTACTCGGCGTAGGAATAGCGGCCTCCTGGAATTGATTCTGTATCATATCTCATTAGTTTCTATTCACCACAGTCAGGTATTGCTTGCTTCCAATTACCTCTGAGCAAGACTAATGCTCGTGCTGTACCACGAGAGACCTGCGTTTTGGCTTTGGCCTGGATTTGGACTTGGGCCTGGGCCAAGTCACGGCCCGTTCCTATAGGTAAGTAAGCCCTGTAATTTGGTTGTTAGTTCATAGGATCATGTTTCCTTGACGCCATCGCCCGGGAAAAGTTAGGAATATATGCGTACCTGTTGGCTAGAAGGGCTGACTTACGTCAACATCAATATAGTTAGTGAAGTCTATATAGACTAGAAATTAGAATCGATGAATGTGTAGGCCAAGATGATGTGGAATATGATGATATTACAATGAAGAGGATGTTCTTTACCATCCATAGCGGTCTCTGGGAAAGGATCTTGGTAGGTGAATGTTGTAGAGGAGAAAATATATTTCTTTGACCCCCGACAAGATATGAATCTGCTCAGTTAGCTACCTATCAATAAGAAGAATTCAAATGGAACTCTAACCTACACCTTCATATCCGGCTTAGCCGAGAATGGCGTGATGGAGGGTATTATGACGGCTACATGTATAGACTTCAACCATATATACCTGCGCTACAGGTAGTACCGAGGCATACAATATACCACATACATGTATAGCCATGCCCTCTACATGATGGTACACGTCATAGTAACCAGATAAAGTAGATACTTGGCGGTACACCTGCCTAATGTGTAACTGGTATAAAATTAATAATAAAAAGTTAGAGGGAATAACGACGAGGAAAGTTTGAATATTCGGAAAGAGGAGGGTTAAATATAGAACTTTTATGCCCAAGTATATAATTAGAATGGAACTGTGTGAAGTTATGTATCAGTAAGGATATTACAAGAACTGCTAAAGAGTGATGAAGAATGATGAAATACCAGAAATATTTTCTATGCGTAGGCTACTAGTTCAAAGGAATATCTGATATGTTGCAGCGTGTAGAGAATACTACCAGAAGTACATCTATACCTGTATCATATCGATCTCGAGAAATACATTCTTACGACAAGGTACAAAAAAGGGAGCTCTTGTGATGACTACTAGCTTAAGGTTCGAGGCGACATCATACATGTATATAGTATATAAATTATGAGTAAATTCCCTTGAAAAACATCTCTATCATGATCCTTTCCTTCCTAAGCTGTTGTCAGAGCACTTGAAAGATTGAACACAATGTCTGTCATGAATCATAGGTAGTTTGGAAGTCGCTATTGTGTGAACTCCCCCCCTATTAGATGTGCCTGGGCCTAGGCGGTCACGGCTTTTGATACTGTTGTGGGACCTGGATACCGCCTGCCTATATTAAATGTTCAAGCATTCATGTTATATAGGTGGCCCGCATTTTATACATCTAGGGCAGAGGAGACTAGATGCGTCTCTTGTTAGACGGTGACATGGTGTGCTATCGGTATGCTCACAATGCAAACAATTTAAGATAACGACAGATAGATTATTGCTCATGATCTATAATTCTAGCCGTGGTCTCTCATTGTTCTCTTAGGTGATCCAAAAATACTTACCTACTGGACCCGCTTTAGGGGAAGTCGTCCCCACGAGAATAGCCCCTGTATGTGTCAAGATTCCTTTTTAAGGAAGTTTCAACTTTGAACAAAGGTACGCTATTGCCAGTGTAAAATTATTCCCAGTGACATCAATGAACGTTTGTAAGTATGAATGTAGTCATATAGTTTAGCAATCTTAGAGCATAAACACCTATTCTTTATAGTATTGAGGTAGGTACGTAGTCTTTTAAGTATGTAAGTGTAATATAATAAAATTTATTTATTATTTCTTATTCCGTATGTTTATTTTTATAAGGAATATACGGTATTATTATAAAATAAATATTTATATATATTTAACCGGCGTAAGTTTATTAATTATTTATATATGTTACGGTTATAATTGGTGTGAAGTTTTTTTATTAAATTTATTTTACTTAAAATAATAAAAAGAAAACTTTATAATAATTAAAATAAAAAACTTTATATTTTTTATATAATAATTTATTTTATTTTATTACATTTTAATTAAAAACTTTAGTTTACGGGTTATAAAAGTTATATTTTATTATATAATTATTTAAAAAAAAAGTAATATTAAATTAATTTTTAATTATTAAAAATATAATAATATATTTTTAAATATATCGGTTTTAAGCGGTAATTATAAGTTTTAATAATTGCTTCGATAAATTTATTTTATTATCGGCAAATATTTAAAAAAGGGCGGGTATAAAACGAATAATATATTCTTTATTATTACTAAAGTAATTTATTAAGGGTAAAACGAAGCCCCCTTATCACTTTCTTTTAAGGCGAGAACAACCCGTTTCCTAACCGTTACTTATCCGTTAATAATAGTTTTAATAATTCCTTAAGCTTTAAGCTTTTAAAATATCTAGCCTTGTAGTAAATTAAGCAGGAACATACTAACGCTACTTCCTTAAGCTATAAAGTAGCAAGGTCCGGATTTTATTAGGGATAAAATCTGTAATAATTAAGGGATTTAAACCCCCTCCCTTGAGTTAAAACGGGTAGTTAGCGGATCGAAAGCGGACCAGACGCTGGACCATTGCGCCAAGTTACCAATATAGCAAAATTGATATAGCTTTAGACGATATTAATACATATATGAGCTATCTTGAGGAGTTCCCGCCAAGTTCATAAGGGCCTCTTTCTGTGTGCAATTCTGCCGGACCAACGAACTGGCCATAAAGTCGCATAAAATCATTCGCACTAGGAACCTCCGCAGACAACTCGGGTTTATTGTACCCTTCGGGCAAGTTCTTGTCGGTCTGGGAGGCGGAAGGCTCGGCCTCTATATGTGTAGTATGCTTTGTCCTTTTGTAGGCCCAGAACACGAGAGCAGTCAGTGCCAGGACGGCTACCGTAGTCCCCACCGTGACACCAACAACGCCGCCAGTCGCCAACCCAGATGTATTACCAGAGTTTGTTGAGGGTGTCGGCGTGGGAGGAAAGCTACAAGAAGTTACAATCAGCATTATATCAATCATCAAGTAGTACAATGCGGGTGATGTGTGTTTTATCATACCTTGTCGTTGACGGTGTGGTGGTAGTCGATTGTGTTGTTTGCAACGACGAGAAGGTAGTCGAAGATGATGATGAAGTCGTTGTTTCGATGGGTGATGAGGAGGAGGACGAGGACAACGCTATGTGGAATCTTCCTTCGTATGTAACGCTACATTCGCTCGAATCTAGGTTTATATCGCAGATGGAAAGATAGTAGTCGTAATTCCCTGCGTATACACTAGCAGGAGTCCACACAAAAGTCCCATTATTATTACTAGATGCTATTTGTATGTTAATACTCGTTGGACAAATAATTACGATAAGTTGGCCCACAAGTAAGGATCACTGGTTGCTGATTATAATTCAAGGTGATCGAGACAGGGCCCTGAGTGTCGTTATCCCATCTTATTGTGTATGGTAAGCCTACAGGAACTACTTCATTCGCAACCAGGGCAGTTATAGGCCAATTTTGTACCCCATTGACAGCATTCAACACTCCTAGGGTAAGAATCAGAGGAGAAATGTGAAGCATATTGTAAAATAGAAAAGTTATCATTAGCCGAGAAAGCTGACGAGCTGGATTCAGCCAAGATTTTGGGACATATTTCTTGTAAGATAATCAATCATGGGAACGTGATAAGACATCCTCTCACTGAATGGCTTATGGAAGGGCTAAGAACTTATTTGTCCATATATTGGGGGGAACCCCTGGACATGGGATGCGATTCCTCGAAACGAAGGTAATAATCATCTAGGAAAAGTAACAAGCAGGATTGAATAGGGCGTAGAGCCTGCATACATGGCTGGAAACGCGTTGTCTTATACGTCCAAAAGGTGCACAACCGACGCCACCCTTGAAGTGATTGAATGATACTAGGGTGCCTGTCTATTCCTCCATATTATTGACTGATAAGGTTGATTACTTTGTTTGAGGTATGGCCAGGTTTGGGCCGGCTAACTTCCCGAAACGAAGTTTAAGAGCTGGATGAATGCATGTTGAAAGCATGCTCTACCTATCTTCTACTAGGAAACTAGCAAGAGATATCATGTACTTTAAATATAATTGCACCCAAGGGCTAGTGCTCCAGTTATGCAAAGTGTGTATCCACGGCTCACATGTGGATGTTACACTAAAAGGTAGATCTGACGCCTCTTTGGACGAGCTGCATGGTGGCTTACAGGAGTAGCACTATAAATGGATGGAGGTATCATAGCCAAGGGTATTCGGATAGATTAGACATAAGGGACCCCACGATCTGCGAACAGTGAATACCTAAGATGCAAAAGCCCCAGAATCAAGTCTTTAAATCGGGTCTCAAGATATGAATCGACTATTTTCAGATAAGACCCGGAAAAGGGGTTTTCATGTTTGGTTTCAGCAGTGCCGTAATCTGCTCCTATACGAAGGTTCCGGCCAAAAGTTTGGACCATGTGCTGATGGGCCAAATGGGCTGAAACCGTGTAAACTGAGGAATCCTGCACCGTGTGGCGTCTTTTTTTTCAGTGGCTTTATTGCCTAAACTATAGCAGCGTTCCCCTGGAATATAGTAATCAGACCACTATTAGGTCCAGGCTTAGCTTAATGCTAATACAGTGTTAATACACTGGTTATTTCATTTCGCACTGGGCAAATGGATGTGGCTCATGGTCCAAATTTTTGGCCGGAACCTTCGTAGCAGATCCGAGTAACTCTAATTAATTAGGTATTAAAGGTAGTTAAAGCCCTATATTTGAATTGGGGTGTGTGGTCTCTAACCTGAGAGAACGTACACTATATACATGGCCGATACTGCCCATCCGATCAGATAACCTTCACCATTCTAGAGGGGAATGCCTCAATGAATCCGTCTAGACCAGCCTTGTCCGCATAATAGCAGGAAACTGTCCCTATCCTTTCATACGTAGAGCTTTCTACGCAAGCACGCAGAGCTAACCCAGATGCCTCCCACCCTCGCGATGCTGCGGGTTGGGTAACCATCCAGAGGCAGAAAAACTCTTCCATCAACTCTTCCATAATATCGAAGATGACCGTTGACTTACCGAACCAACCGTCATGGCTGTCATAGCATCCAACTAACTGCTGATCACCAGGCGTCCGAAATGACTTTACTGTGCGCCGGTTATCCGAAGAACCCTCGGTCTCGATGAGGCATGTTGGTCCCAATAGTGTCAACCACCCACTTCCTACTTCTCCAGTATCGTCTTCGCCGAGAAAGCCCACCCTACTAAACACAAGACGGCTGAGCTTGGTTATTTCCGTAAGAAACTTGTCTGGCATAATTATTTGTCCATCAAGACTAGCCCATGACCACGATGGTGCCCGGTAGATCGTAGGCCGGCTGGCACGGGCACCAACCTTGACATACCATAGCAATGTTTCTATGAGGACATCTTCCCAAAGCCCAGCTAGGTACCTAAGTTGTATTAGTTTGTCGCTTCGCAAATTCGTTTTTATGTCTTGTGCTAACCCGGAAACGGCCACAAGTTTATCGCTTGGGTTAGTCAATTCAGTGCCTGAATACGCACTTATAGCAGCGCTCCAGCTCGCAAATACCTGAATTCGCCAGTCTCTCTCGGTACGTTGACTTTGTGGTGCGGCAATGAGTTGCTTCCATAATCTGAAGCGATCTTCACCGCGTTGCAAGTCTTTGTTCGGGTTGGAAGAATCGGTTACAGGAATGAACTCCTCGAAACCAGCCGGATGCGTTTCGCACGCATGAAGCTCTGCGCATTCCCAATATACTTGTTTCTTTCCGAAATAAATGGTACGAGGGGACATTAGTCTTTCCTGATGAACCCATCCCCGCTTGATGAGAGGCTCGTTTAGAAAACTTCCACGCCACGCCGCATCTTCAACATCTGCTCTGAATGCAGTCTCCGTCCTGTTTAGATTTAGATTGATGATCGTAGGAGCGACTAGTGTCGGATCGCGAATAAAAAGACAACCACCTTCGTCATCTTCAGAACTAAGCGCCGAGATGCAAAACTCCGCGTTTCGGTAGACGTCTCGCACTGCGCGGGCTTCGGTACGCCAATCTTCTGGGGAATCTTGATAGATGCATAGCCGGTCAATCCATATATACCGGATATTAAAGCGAGACGCAATATACATCGCGTCCCTGAAGGTCTTCGGTAGACAGTCAATCGGGTTCGACGTCTGTAACCAATCTGATGTCTTCTTCAAAAGTCGAAGTGTATCATCCAGAGGTTTGTTGCCCCAGCGGTAACTGAGAGTAACGTATGGCAAATTACTGGGACATTTATTTCCTCGAACTAGTCGAAAAGTATGAGATTCTCGCCCGTAGAGTCTTCGGAAATTCGTCTGGAGCAGCCGTGTTGGTTTATAGCGCTTGCTCCGAACCTCGCTCTTGCATCGTTCATGGTTCGAGCATTTCTTCATCCAATCAAAGATCATTGACCATGTCTGCGAAGAATCGGTGGAATCACGAAGATCGAAATTGAGTGAACGGTACGGCAACGAATGATCTGCAATTATTCTTGGTATGACAGAATTCAAAATGGAACAGAATTTGGAAGAGAAGAAAAATAACTTCGCCTTACTTTTAAGTGGAACCAATTCGATCAGCTTGGACCCATAGCTCGATTCGATCGTTATATCGAACCTGTCGGCACCACAACAGGAAATCTTGAAAATGGTACAGAAGCCAAGTATCTGCCCACCACTTTTCTGATCCTCTCGGTTGAAATAGAAGGGAATATCGCTGCATATAGCACATCCTTGTTTTGCAGAACGTCTTAATGAAGGTGGATCGTAATGGTGCCCAAATGGGTGTTGCTCGTACACACACAAGCAATTGTATATAGGGGTTTCTATCATATAACAAATCAAACGTCAATTTTGGTGTGAAGGGTTAAACGGATTCCGAGTACCTTGGATTTTCAGCTGTCGTCGTTTTATAATGTGGCTTTTGTTCAGACAACGTCGAGTGGATTTTCCAATGCTCTCAAATCCGTCTTTACAGACTTGGCAGAGCATAGCGTGTCTTGCGAATGAATCATAGGAAGTATCGTAAACTCGTCAGAGCGAAGCCTTCTCAAGCTGGAAAATAACTCGGGCTTCATTTCATGGATACCAAAGAATAGATTGCTCTTAGGAACACAATAATTACAATTCACGACAGGAGAAACATAAAAAATACATAGTGTCCAGAAAATAAGACAGAAAGAAATCAATATGAATTAAAAAAGTTTATATCCATTATAATAAGTGAATCAAGAGCTTGCCTCACTATCTAACATCGACTCCAAATTATCTTCGAAGTAAAGTGCAGGTGCTAGAACATGCTCCGCCCCCAACAATGGCAACGCCACCATGCAAGTGGCTACTGCTTGCAGCAAGTGGTTGCATCGGAAAGTTCCAATACACCAAATTATCGCGAAAAGTCCGCGAACAAGCCACGTACGAGTCATAGATAGTCGCGTTTCCGTGATGAGAAGTGAGTCAGTCAGTCGCATATCCTACCCTTTTAATTGGCTCGATGTCACATATTCTTTTATCTCCCATTCAATAGACATTGCAGATCAGAGTACCGCTGTGTAACAATAAGTGTATTGGCTCTAGTTCATTTAAAGGCTCTGCAAGACTAAAGTCATTATGCCGGTAAACATGAAATGCACACTTTTTATTTGTCAATTTCAGGTCGGACGGTCGCGATGGCATCTTCCCTTCTTAACAATTTGCCAAGGTCTCAGTTCTGTCAGGTATGCAAGTCATCCATGGATGCTAACATACATGTGTAGGGAAGCTACCCTGCCACATTTCACCACCAATCACCTTCCTCATCCATGGAGTCAAACTCTAGAAGCCCTTCGTGCCTCGATATGTTCTCCCAAATCTTTGCAAGTGTGGGAATTGGTTTCAATGACTGTGGTCGCTCGCCAGAGTATATGTCGGTAAGCTTTTCAGAAATCTGAATGATTTCCAAGGGTGGAAGATTTGCCTGATCAGGTAGTTTGTCATATGCCGTCTTGATAGCCTCTTCTTGGCTACTTTTCTGGGTGAGGGCATAGACAACTCCACCGCCGAGTGTCCGTGCTAATTGCACGTTAGCTTCCAGCTGTCTGTGATCAGCAGTTTTCTTGTTCTTGGCCTCGACAATATAGGGTCTTCCATCTTCCACATAGACCATGTCCAGCTCTCTGTTGCCGCCGTCCTTCAGGGGTACCAAGATCATTTGGGCGTCGCCTTTCTGGAGGCCTCTCTCAGCCGGAGTCAGAGGGCGAGAAATCTCCTTTCCATGGTTAATCTTATAGTTCTTGACCAGATAGCAAGCTGTCATGATCTCATGGAATAAGCCTTTGTCAACTCCTCCATTCTGCCCTTTGGTTGGTAGACCGGCGTTGAATATGTTGATCATAACATTGATGCGTACTCGTGGGTCTTCCTCCCCCGATGGAACAGTGGGATATATAAATAGTGTGTTTGGTGATCCTTCCATCTCATGGAGACACTATAAGTAGGACTGGACCTGTAGCTTCAATAAATACCACTAGATAGATGAGTTAAATAGCTGCAAGCCCCACAGTTAGAATACTGGGAAGCAATGATCTTCAAGAGATTCATGGATGCCTACCTATGCTACGTCGAAATCCCCAGGGTGTCGGTGTGCGGCCTGTAGTTGGAGACAATGACACAGACTGAAAGATAGTAGCGTGTAGCTTGCTGTAGACTCGCTTATAGGTAGTGATAGTTGAATGGCTACTGACGCCTGACCTTCTCCTAAGACTCCTTGGGGCCTTTAACCCCTTTTATATTCGTCTCAAAGATTACCAGAAATGCTACTAGGGTGCTGCTATCTCACCTTTCACTATCAGCGCCTGACAAAGAGCTAATATACTTTTATGTATGTCAGAACAGTGTTGTAAAAACGTTTGTTGTCATTTGCTATGCAACGCCTTTCGCGTGTGTAAAGGCTCGCGAAATAAAGCCAATAATTTCGGTAATATAAAAGACGCAATTCTACTTGGTAATTAGTATCACATCAGTTTCTTAAGGACGTCCAATCAGGCACGATCATGCTAATTTCTGGTTCTGAATGAGTTGCGAAGGTCTTTGGTCTAGTCTTATGTAAGCCATGCTGACCTTTTCATTGTCCACTACAGAACATGGCTGAAATTAAAGCGAGTAAATCACATGAGAAGCAGTCACTAAGAATAGACTTATAGAAATGGATCAAAACTTTTTCATTCAGACTTTCCAGCTAAAAACATCGTGTCTTCAAGTGAATTCTCCCGCCCATCCAAAGTCGTCCACATAATCTCGTTACTCGAATAGATGCCATCCTACGAAATAAGACTCTACAAGAGAAGAGCGGATGCGGTAGGTCCATCCATCAGGGCGTAGCGAATGATGAAGCAGCAGCCCCTTATGCCTTGGTGACTTCGGTGCTGCCGAGGATGACGGCACGCGACTTGGAGCGGTCAATGAACGACTCCTCGTCGGCGGAGATCTTGGCCTGGGCGTCGCCGGAGTGGGTGGCGGCGGCGTAGGCCTGGAAGGCGGCCTGGTCGGGGAAGCTGAGTTCGACGACGACGTCGTAGTCGAAGTCACCCTGAGTTCCGAGCAGGACGTGAGCCTGACCCTCGGCACGGTGGATGTAGTGGCGGGTGTGGGTCTGGGGGAAGGCGGCGCCGGCAGCCGCCTTTAGGAGAGGGATGTGGGTGTTCTCGTAGTGGTCCTTGAAGGCCTCGGGTGTGGTACCGGCCTTGCGGGTGGCGAGGAAGAGAACGGAGAAAGGCATCTTGAATTTGGATCGAGAAGGATTTAGAGTTGGTGATAGAGTTCTGATAGTTTGTTCTGAGATTGGTAGAATGTCGTGAGATGAGATGATGATGATGCTGAGATAAAGTCCTGAAGATGAGTCCGGAGGAGACTATATTAATACTCGAGCAGTTTCCAGCAGACTCAATACAGAACGGCATCTAGCCCCCGAATCGTACCATCACTCGCACTCGCTACCGTCGACGACATCGACGAGGATTGATAGTCACGTATAATCACCTAATTGTCTTGCCTAACTCGGCCCATAGCGTAGAGACAGAATAGGCAATGTTTGTGAATCGCATGAATAGCCGGACCCATCGTTTCGAGACGAAATAGGTAATGTTTTGAACCGCATGAATTGGCTTGCGGCGTAAGAAATGTTGCGATGTTAGGCCGGGCTTACGAAATACCTAATTAGGTAAGAAAGGATGTATCATTGCCTTCCACCCGATTGTTTGATTGGTTCAACTTCTTTCGTGCATAGCGGTAAAATCCTTCAAGATACATGTAAGCTTACATACCTACATATGTATCCAAGAACATAGCTGCCGAGGCAATTACTACATTCGCTCTCAATCTAACTCGACCGGGCTTGAAACTCTTCAATTCAATGTTTCAAAGAAGCGGTCAGAGGATTATGGGTTCATCATGGTAGTATTAGCATCTCTTGGTATTATGAGAGCTTCGCGGGCTGCCGTATAGGAATTTGTGTGTGTAAAGCATTTCCGTATAGAGCATTCTAACGCCTTTGCAGATCATCACCGCATCGAGTAACCTAGAGACGGATGCGCACATCGAAGCCTCGGTCCTCGGCGACCATGACTGCCACTTCCTATGGGCGGTGTGATGGAAGCGTTCTATTGTGTTTATCAACTTATCAACATGCCATTTTAGTGAAAGGAATATAATCATCACGACAACGCCTTAGAGTCATGTCGTCTTTGTAAGGTAGCCGCTCCCCTTATTTATGGAGACTACGCGGATGGATATGGAGGAGCGCCGAGGACCTAACTAGTCTACCAAATTTGACAATACTCAATGGCTACAAATAGAAGAAGTCTGATCTAGGTAGATAAATCTGCTATATTAGAGATAGGGTTCTTCTAATGTGAGTTTACCTAGGTATTTAAGTATTTGAGAAACAGATCCAATCTCCGAGCCCCCCGCCTCCAGAAGAAATCTCATCATTAGGTAGCTCCCTTACACACCCTTCTTCTATGCAGGATTTACAGTGCTCGCGTACCCAGTCAGTATACATAAGGAGTGGTCTTATGTCTAATGATGCCCTCACTTGGCAAGGCATATAGACCACCACGAGACTCTAATGCATTAACGATCAACAACCAGGTCGGACGCAATGGCCGGAGTAGTATGGCGGTGCTTACAATCGATCTCATTGCTAGAGCTTTGACTTCTCTGGTGTAGAATATCTAACTTAGCAGTTCATTTCTTTAGAAAAGGAAATGGATCTTAGTAGGATGTTGAGTCGCCCAGTGCTTTACTACGTTGTATAACCAAGGGATTCGGAGAATTTGCAAGATTGATAAGATCTAGCCTTCATAGTGGGTTGGTGGGTATAGTGACATGCATGGAGCCAAATGGGTCAACGGCATAACACTGAGATTTAACGTTATCAACCTACATCTTGCAGATCAATATGAATATTTGTAAAAAGTGGAACTACAAGTCAACAAGGGGGTGATAGTCATATGCAGTTACGGAGCCATTCGATAACTCTATTCGGACTTCTCATACTACGCATTTACCTAATCCCACTAACCCCTTAACATATCAGCCAACTTGTAACTTACCTAACATAACTCTTCAGATAGTTCAAAAAATACCTAATGTATCAACTACCTAAGAATCATTGTTACTTTTTCGATTATGAACTATATTCAACGATAAAAGTTTCCGAAACATAGTGCCTACCAAGATATATAGTCAAGGCCCCGCACCAAATCAGAAAAGGGGCAAGACGAGTTACAGGGGTAAAAGCAATTCAACATTATGCTATTTTCACTTAACCTAAGGAGTGTCCGTATAACCTACACCATTCCACCCAGATGCCACAATGCCAATGCAATATAAACGAGAGAATCGAAGGCCCACGTATCCCCAAACTCCATACCCCAAAGCCCCTAAGTCAAACCACCTAGACAAACATCTAGTAGTACCCAACGCTCAACCCATTCGGCGCGTTAGGCCCCACCACATTGGCAAAGTCCTGCGCGATAACATCCACGTCGTACGAGCCCACCGCCACGCTCTCCCACTTCAGCGTGTTGCCGGCGGGGCACGGGAAGCTCTGGATTTTAGGGTTCGCGAAGCCGACGGTGTCGAAGTCGAAGAACCCGGTGGCGGCGTCGAACTTGACGCGCGCGAGCTGCTCGTTGCGCTGGTTGCCCGTCGGCAGGTTGTTCAGGTCCGCGAACAGGTTGTTGAAGATGTCGAGCTCCTGCGTGCCTTCGATCTGGTCGGCGGACGTGGCGTGGATGACCAGCGCGCACGTCTTGCCCTGTAGCGAGGACGGGATCGGGATTTGGTACAGGGTGCTGGTCTCGACGCCGTTGGCGGCGCGGATGGTGGAGGTGTGGACTGAGGGCGTGTTGACATTGTTGTTCACGTTATGGATCTTGAGGACGCTGGGAACGATGAATCCAGCGAAGGCATCGCGCTTGGTGGTTGGGGCGGCGAGGGAGATGGTAGCCGAGATGAGGCAGAGGGCGGCAGTGGTGTACTTCATTTTGAATGATTGGGGTTGAGATTATGCGTTGAGCTTTAAGGCTTGATATTGTGGACTACGGAAGTATTGGGTTTGCTAATGTTGCTGGAGTTGTTGGTATTCAGATTTTAGTGACGAGGATGTTCCCCCTTTTCGACGACGAGAAGCCATATTATATACTTATTCGTACGAGGTTCGACACTCGCATCTCATCTCATAGTAGTCGGTCCTAGGGATTTGGAGGTATCCCCGGATTGGTTCTATTTTTACTCACAAGCTTTCCCAGCTTTCGGCTTACGCTCTTGAGGTCTTAGTTGCTGACACTAACAATGGAAATTTTCGTCTATCTCATTGGACGCCTAACACCGCCGGTTGAATTCGATCTAGACCGTTAGCTCTGAAAAAGCGACACCAAGGAGCTAAGGGAGAGAATTTGATCAGCACTGCCACAGATGAGGCTTGAGATAGCCTGATGGTGAGCTAACGGACACCGGCTGACCGGCGCAGTTTTTATCCAGAGCACGACACACGTTGTTCTCACCAATGATAACTCGATGAAGGATGATATCGATAGCCTATATCTTAATACTCCCTTAAGCTAAGAATGTAAGCCATGCGTCTTGAACTTTCTCTCAGCCTCAACACCATCGGCATGGTAAGCCGTCCGGATCTGCCAAGCCCTACTAACATCATGCCAGAGGATCAAAATTCGATCATGTGCGTTGCTGGCACCAGTCGGGAGGCATCATTATGCGAAAGGGCTGCCTGGGAAGTGGCTGTTAAAGTATTTTTGGTGATGTTTTTTGCGCTTCACCGGCTTCGATTGACAGTGGTATGGTAGCAGAAGGAGGCGTGGCTATTAGGCCGAATATGGTGTTACTGCACATATGTTGATGGTAAAAGCAATTGGCAGCTGAAATATGCGTACATATAGTCTTGAAGAATATCGTATTCAATTGCCTAGTCTGCTTAGGCGCTGGTAGACTGGTATGTAAGCAGATGAGGTCTTACGTAAATAGTAAGACGCCTGTTCGTATTTCGGCAACTCTTTTTGTAAGACAACATCTGGTAGAATTCGTCGCTATTCGCTTTTATACCACACAATGGAAACCCCTCACCGCTGTCAGCGGCTCGGAGGTTGCGGTTGTTGGACCAGATGTGATAGGTCAAAAGGCATTAAAGTGTTGGAAGGCGGAGGTGTGGGATTGGGGTCTCTAAGCATCATGGTTAACAACCAACCTTGTATATATCAAACTAATTTTATTCATTAACTCCTTCAGGCTGGCAACGGGTATCCCTTGGAGTTATCGCGCATGGTGTCTCGATTCACTTGCTTCTTCTCCTAACTTTGCGAGCGCCGACTCGTATGCAGCTACCTTCTTATCAAATTCGTCCTCCTTCTCTTCGGTAACCCTTATGCGTTCCACGTTTCCGTTCCTCTGAATGGCGGTCTCGCTGGCTACTTCGTTCCAGAACCATCTTGCCTCTCGATTTGTAAAAAGTGTCCAAGCCTTCCCTTTCTTCCCAGCTCGGGCAGTACGACCTACTCGATGAACATATGAAGCTACGCTTGACGGGACATCATAGTTGATAACATGGTCTAGTGATGGTAGATCTATGCCGCGAGCAACAAGATCAGATGCTACCAGGATTCGTAATTTCCCGGCTAGGAATGATTGAATGGTACGTCTTCGAGTCGCATACTGTGTCGTAGAGGTGAGCGTACCGGTAATGTTACCTAGGGCTGACGAAAGTAGCGATAGAAGACGCGATAAACGTAGAGCTGTTTCATTTGACTTCGTGAAGATCAAGACGCTGGGCAACTCCTTTCTTGCAACTGTGGCTCCGGATGGCTTGAATGCTTCTACCTCTGAGTCCGACTCTGTATCAGAATCAGACGACGAAGTCTCATCATCGGATAGGCCTTGTCTGTATTTGGAACTCAGCTTCCCCAGTATGTGGTTGCTTTGTAGCAAGTCTAGAAGGAACAGTGGTTTCAAGTTAGGGTCGCTAACTTTAAGGGCAGCTTCTTCGAGTAACTCGGGGAGCGCAAGTTCAGCCTTGCTTAGTGTGGGCTCCGGCTCATCAACGGTTCCAGATCCTTCGAGCATAATTAGTTTTGGCCAGCGAAGCTTCAGCCCTTCCAGACGATCGAGGTCCTTTGTCATCGTAGCACTAAGGACGACCTTTCGAACTCCTGACAAGTTGGACTGCTTGTGGTTTCGAGAACGCATACTATCGGACTGCAACCGGGGCATAACTACATCCAGCCACTGTTGGAAGTTCTGGCCTAGTAGTTTATCGGCCTCATCGACAACGAGCCACCGAACAAAATCTAGTGAAAATCCGAGGGTGCTTTTGATATGATCCACAAGCCTCCCGGGCGTGCAAATAAGTATATCCACCTTGGAATTGTAGGATATTACGTGGTCTGGCAGAGTTGGGATATCGTCCTCCCTTTTTTGGATAGCTGCTTTTTCTTCATCTTCAGTGTTGTAACCCTCGTCGCTGTCCTCTCCCGAACCATACCCACTCTCAGAAGCCAGACGTTTTTTACGTCTAGCGTAAGCTTCGGGGTCATATTTCTCCTCCCTTTCAACGAGGGTAGCCTGTTCTTTGTCTAGCGACTGACTCCCCATTGCAATTCCAATTCGAACTCTTCTTTTTGAGCCATCTAGGGAAAAGACCCCTGCGCATTGCTCGCATACTTGCTGGACTTGCCTAACAAGTTCGCGAGTTGGGAGAACGATTACTGCTCGTAATCTTGTTAGATGGCGATTACCTTGGCTAAGATCTCTTATTATGGGAAGAGTGTAAGCTAGAGTTTTCCCTGAACCCGTCGCAGCCGATACTAGAACGTCTCCATGCATTGTCTTGTCGTGGTGAGGGAGAAGGAGGGGTATGACTGCGGTTTGTATGGCAAATGCTTGCTTGTATCCGTTAGAAGCCAACTTTTCGGCCACTTCAGGGGTAATTCCTAGGTCTGGAGAGAGCCCAAATTGGGTAAACGGCGCAGTAGAGTGTGGGGAGACACGGATTGGCTTTGCCAGCCAGGGAGGCAAAGTTTCATAAGCCGGTTTGGTCTCATCGGGGATGATCGGTTTAGGTTGAGGTAATGGCTGGAGGCCATGAACTTCTGGTACTTCATCTAAGTTCATAGCACCGTCAGGTTTAGTGTTTATGGCATCGTCGCCGTTGAATACATCTCTCATTTCCGCATCCTCCCGTTGCTCTGTTTCAGGTTGCGGCTCAGGAGCTCGTATGGATTTTGCGGCTTTTTCAAGCACAGATCGATGTCGTACTGGGATTTCATTTTCAACATCATCCGGCGCTGCAGGTTCACTCTTCTTCTTTGCTTTCTTTTTGCTCTTCCTTTCTTTCTTAACCTTATCAATCAATTCGGGAGAGCTCTCTGGCGCCGATTCCTGTACCACTTCCTGTTCCGGGAGGTCTGATTCCACGGAAATATCATTGTTCACTGACGCATCTTGAGTGACCTTCTCATCGCTTACTTCATCTAACTCCTCAGCCTTAGATTCCGTTTCTTTCTTAAATTCCTTAGACTTTTTAGACTTCGTTTTCAACTTCTGGGAGGCATCATTTCCCTCCGCTAATCTGGCCTTCTTAGCTGGTGGTTCATTATTATCATCATCTTCATCAAAATGGACATGATGAGATGGTGGATGATGATTGGATTGGACATTGGTCGGTTTTATGGGTGGAATGTATCTGGCATAAGCGGTAGGTTGAGAGTTGACGGGGAGGGTTGATGTTGATTCTACGGCGTTTTGGGGCTCCGGGTCCTTCGTAGCCCCTTTTGGAGGTGGCACGTATCGCGCATACATTGTCGCAATTAGTGAGGCTTGACGATGTAAAGTTTAGATGGCGCAGGAGCTTTGGTTTTCTAAAAAGATTCTGCCGCCACATGAAATTGACCGCCTTCCCTATTAGTCCTTATCTCTTATCAATCGTGCTATCGATAATCTGGTACGTAACACTGGCTGTTCATGCAACTTTAAATCGCCTTCAGACACTCAATCATTAACATCATCCAATGCGACAACATGAATTGAGATGAATCATCTGACTTAATGAAGCCTCTTATTTCTCGTATAGCTACGCGAGACCTAGTTATAGCCTTGAATTGGCTTACGAACGCGACGAACGAATTTATTCAACATAATGCCATTCCTTGCTAAGCACCAATGACAACTCTCATGGTTTCTAGTCGTTCCACTAGAACACGCTTGCGCTTAACGCCCCTATTCATACATTAATCATCGCGCCTTGACCGTCGTCTGCTATTATAGCAACGAAACTGTAAACGACGGGCAACCGAGCCCAATTCCATCATTTATACCCCACCGTGGACGCTTTTTCCCATTTTTGAATATGACTCGAATTTTGCCCGAAAACTGCGCTCATCACCCAACACGATGCCGCACCGAACGTATAATATCGCTATGGTTAGCGACTTCTTCTTTCCCCAACCAGGTGGAATCGAGAGTCACATCTACCAACTTGCTACCAAGCTAGTCGACCGAGGACACAAGGTCATTGTGATCACCCATGCTTATGAGGACCGGAAGGGAGTTCGCTACCTGACCAACGGCATCAAGGTCTTCCATGTCCCATTCGCTGTCATATATCGATCTGCCACCTTTCCGACTGTCTTCTCCTTCTTTCCCCTTTTCCGCAATATCATACTTCGGGAACGAATCGAGATTGTCCATGGCCATGCTAGTTTGAGCAGTCTCTGTCAGGAGGCTATGCTGCACGCCAGAACCATGGGACTGAGGACTGTCTTCACAGACCACTCGCTATTTGGTTTCGCTGATGCGGCAAGCATCTTAACTAACAAGCTATTGAAGTTCACGCTCAGCGACGTAGATCATGTTATATGCGTCAGTAATACATGGTGTGTTATATTACCTCCTTCATATGAAGCTCCGCACTTACACAGTTAAAGCAAAGAAAATACGGTCTTAAGAGCAGCGTTAGATCCTCTCATGGTCTCTGTCATCCCTAATGCTGTCGTTTCGGAGAACTTCAAGCCTCTTCCCCGCCCGGATCCGAGTAACATGACATACGTCCAGCACCCGCTACCTGCGCATCCCCTCGGGCCAAACGATACCTTGACAATCGTGGTTATTAGCCGTCTCTTCTATAACAAGGGAACAGACCTACTCACAGCGGCCATCCCGCGAATTCTCGAAAACCATCCAAACACTCGATTCATCATCGCCGGTTCGGGACCCAAGGCAATCGAACTGGAACAGATGATCGAGCAAAACGTCCTCCAAGACAAAATCGAAATGCTAGGACCAGTCCGGCACGAAAACGTGCGAGATGTGATGGTCAAAGGACACATATACCTGCATCCCAGCCTGACAGAAGCATTCGGCACCGTCATTGTCGAAGCCGCCAGCTGTGGACTATACGTCGTATGCACGGCCGTAGGCGGCATCCCCGAAGTTCTCCCCTCGCACATGACGGTATTTGCGAAGCCCGAGGAAGACGACCTGGTGGCGGCTACGGGGAGAGCAATCGCGGCGCTCCGCGCGAATAAGGTCCGCACGGAGAAGTTCCACGAACAGGTCAAGGCCATGTACTCCTGGACCAACGTGGCCAAGCGCACCGAGCGCGTCTACCGCGGCATCTCGGGCGATATCGGCGAAGCTGAGTTCTACGGCTTCGACGTCGGCCACGATCCGCACTGGCATGCCACGCGCGGTCGCAATTTTGCGCTCATCGATCGGTTGAAGAGGTACTATGGCTGCGGTGTCTGGGCTGGCAAGTTGTTCTGTTTGTGTGTTATTATTGACTACCTGATCTTTGTGTTTTGCGAGTGGTACTGGCCCAGGGATCAGATTGACATCGCGAGGGATTGGCCGAGGAAGCATTTTGCCGGGGATGATGATGACTAAGTTAGATTTGGAATGGGTTTATGAGCGTATGGGTTTGAGGAGCGTCTGAATTGGGCAGCGCCATAGCGAGTGATATGAATATATAAATTAGAATAGATCACAGGTCTCATTGCGGAAATACGTTTTATTAGACGTAACAAATACTACTGAGTAAAGACCTGAATACGTGTAAGGAACTCATGCCCCGCCATGAAGTTACATGATTTGAATCTCGTCTCCATATAGGATGCTATGGATATCAGAGGTTCCAAATGCAAAATTTCTAAGTTCCATTCGTAGTTACCTAGGTATGTGGCCTCTTGCATTTCCGAATTATCAGTGTTCTGGAATATTTTACTTTGTGATCCACGGCCTCTCATTGTGGCGCCCTTCGTGTTTAAACGTATCCGCTGACTATTTTAGTTGAAGAGACGTCAAGGTACTGGCCAACCCCTTATGAAACCACATTTTCCTTTTTCTTGACTAAACAGTTAGGAGAGCGCCAGCAAGCAGTAAGATTCGTTCTCAGCTCGAACTTAACCGGATGAGTGTCTCGTCCTATATTAAGAAACACAAAACCTATTAGGCACCTTCTACGGGCAGCAGGAATTGCAAGAGATTCTGGACGGATGTATTTGGTATGCTTCGCGCCAAGCTGATCAATCTAGACCGCCAGCCTTGGCGCAAGATCCAGGCCGGATTCTTAGAATCATACGCAGAATCGTCAATCGCTAAAAACGGGAAGAACCGGCCGGGAAGACGGCGTTGTCTAGGGAAGTTAGGTTGATCGTCATACCCGGATAACGCGATCATTACTCAGCTTTTGCAGCTGGCAAGTAGCAGCTCAGCAGCTGCAGGAGCTTTCAATTCAATCACGTGGTGAGCGACGATCTTATGCCCCACCAAAGGTACAGAGACAAATTCTTCACTTTGAACTTCACCTTCGAACTTAAACGTTCAACATCAATGTCAACTATGGAACATCTGCAACAACATTAAGTTAATTTTCAGCATTTCTCAAAAGGATCAACTTGATATGTGCTTCTTATAGGTTGGCTCATCTGTTAATAGATTAGTCATTCATATGCTCAAGGTTCGTTACCACGTTATTTTGCTTTTTGCTATTATTTCCTGTGATGAACATTGATTTAGATAATCATATACATGATGAGCGGATTGTACATCCCTCAACTGATTGTTTAATGCTGATGTATCTGAGGATGCTTCACCTCAAGTTTGAACTCTCCTATTTGCAGACGTACCGTGTTACTAATGCATAATTACCTAGATGAACTTAACGTCTCAGCTTCGTCAAAGGCGACAACGTAGCTATATAATGGTAGGGAAGATCAATATACGAGCTGTATTACAATACAATAAAACCAACATTTCAATATAAAAGTCTGAAAAATCTACTAATGCTAACTACACAAATTCGCCTTACACCTTAAGCGATAGGGCAATGCATTATTTTCACGGGAGGATTCCAAACGGCCCGCTAAGTAGCACCGCGGGTGAAGGCCAATGAATTTACAGAGTCGCGTCTCGCATAAATTGGCCCGGAACGCCTTTTCCTGTGCTACGAACCAGCCATATCTTTCATATACCCGATATACTTAGAGCATTTTATCTTTAATACAGTTTGAGTCAATGTTGAGGGACGTTAGTTTCAACGCAAGTCGAAATTAATATATTATTTAGTATGCGCCAACCTGTAGAGGTTGGAAACAACTGCTAGCCAGTTAGTCGCTCCGTTAAATGAAAGAGACTTGGCCGAAGAAAGGCGTCATGTGGAAATTGGACTCGTTCGTCGGGTTCCACGCGCCGAGGAGCTGGTCCGGGTACGTATCTGGCGACACGACAGTGCGGAAGAAGTTCATCCGCCACTCTGTGCCCGCTGCCTGGCCGTCGTCGACGTTGAAAAGTCCTAGGGGAATCGTGGCGGATGACACCCATGTCTGCGCCTCCTTGTCGAGGGTCGTTTCTGCTGTTAGACCGTCGACCAGGGGCTGAGTCAGATAGGAGGTGTCCAACGGCGCGCTTGCAGCGCGCACTTTTGATTTGTTGAATATCCACGCCTGGAAAGTGACGTTGTTCGGGTTCACCTCGAATTCCAGGTACGTCTGCGGGTCGTTGGTCCCGCGATACAAGAAACCCTCCATAACCTCGTACTCCCAAATGGCGTCGTTAGTCGTCTGGCTGCTGTTGAAGTAATAGTTTGTCTCATTAAATGCCGTGAAAGTGATATGAATTGAGGCGTCGTCGTAGCAGAGATCAACTTGCGTTTTGGGGAAGTCGGCCTTGTCAGGCACGGACTTGTCGTATGAAACGCTTCCCTTCCCGGTCGAGCACGCCGGCACCGTCATGGACGGCACGCTGATGGCGCTTACGGCGCCGGCCACGGTGAGCAGAGACCCGAAGAACTTCATTTTTGACTTGACGACTTCCGCTTTCTGCGACAAAATGAAACTACCGAAGAAAGAAGGAAGGTCTCGGAAGAAGGAGAGCTGTGATTGAAGTAGTCCGGGAATTAAATACTCTACCATCGTGGGACGTCACGCGTATTTCTTTCCGAGACACCAGATCACGCCGGCAGGACTGTTGGCGACTAATTTCCCGATATAGGTATAAATTAAATCCTTCAAATCTCCAGAACAGGATTGCGCGGCTGTGTAACGTAGCAACAGTAAACGAATTAGCCTGGGCCGGTCGAATTGCGTCCCCCTGTACGCTTGGCGTATATCTGATTACCACGTTGGCGGGATCCTGGAATCTGGCGTCGCGACTTAGCGAACCGACGCTACGGGCCCGAGATGGGTCGAGCGCTTGTTTACTTAGCCTTAGCCAACTCCCTATTGCGGAGACGGGATGCAGGATTGCGGATTTTTCTATTCTCATACGAGATACCGTTACCTACTACAAAAGGATAGATATTCCACCGCCGTAGACAATCCAAACTTTCGTGTTGGTTCGACGACCCTTGCTCAAGTCGAAATTAATTATTAGGTTTTTAGATACCGCATCATTACCACTCCATCACGGCTTTTACAACGTTTACTTAGCTTGTTACGATGTGAACTACGCCTCTTATATCTGCCCCGCAGAAATATAAGAATTTATATGCATTAGAGTTGATCGTTTGTCTTGAGAGGAATTAGCTGTCGTATCACCACTTCTGAAGTGTGTGGAATATAATTTATTCACGGTTTCGCATATATACTTCCCGCGCGTTAGAATAGGAGGCTTCGTGTGCATATCCGGTAGACAGAGCCCTTAGAGGGAAGTCAGGGCTTGAACCTAACGGCCTTAATGTAGGAGTTTATCCCTCTCGTTTTTTCAAGCATCACTTAGTCATACTGACATAGGTTATTACGTCTAGATGACTTGATTTAGATCAAACCCGGCCCTACATTAGATCTACTACATAGCTGCGTTTCTATCTATCTTAAGTTAGCTAAGTAAAAGGTACATTAAGCTTATAATCTTCAGGCCTCTAAATGAATCACGCCTTCTTCTTCACCATCAAGAGTACCGATCGCACACGTCCCGTAATCTGCTCCTTTCCCTTCTCAACACCCGCTTCGTGCAGGAGGCGTGCCACCTCTCGACTGAGCAGTTTCACCACATCACGTTCCGTTCCAACAGCATCTGGGTGCGCCTCGCGCCAACGAGTCACCGGACTCGAGGTTTCAAATCGCTTTTCGAATTGCTCCAAGTTCACAGTTTGTGTGCCTAGACCAATAGGGTCGGGGTCGCTATTCGGTCCTTCATCCTTCCATTCTTTACGGACGAAAGTGCTTTGGTCGAAGTCCGAAACGGGGTGTTCCAGAGTCCATGGGAGGGGAAGATCAACATACAGATCCCTAGCGAGTATGTTACCCCTCTCTAGGTACGGCCGGAGTTCTTGTGACCTGAAATTTTCCAAGGCTGCCTGTATTGCCTCGTGGTTTGGGGTGGCTGGAAGAATTTGCACTGATGAGAGGGACCAGAGCGCAACAGACCCGCCGGGTTTAAGCACTTGGGCCGCGCGTGGCCAGAATCTGGACATGTCAAACCAGTGCGCGGCCGTAGCGGCTGTGATTAAATCAACACCGGCATCCGGAATAGGTGGGTCCAAGTTAGACCCGAGCTCTTCTGCGCCAGAAATCTCGTAACGGATAGGCTCAGAAATGGACGTGAGACCCCCAATCGAGCGAGCTGCGCTGATCATGCCTTCCGAGGCATCGATGCCGATGACATGAGCAAAGTGCGGTGCAAGACCACGTGCAGCAACTCCGGGGCCGGAGCCAACATCAAGAACGATGTCAAGCTTGCCGCCGGTTGAAGTGTGGCTGTCGACAATGAACTGGTAGAAATCTTTGTCGTAGACAGGCCGAACCTGGGCATAAGCAGTGCCTTGTTCGTGCTTGTATGCTTTGAAGGTTTTCTCTGACATAACGGCGGATGTAGAATTGGCGATCGTAGAATACAGCTTGCAATCTCGCTAGGTCGTCCTATATGATACCTTGAGCTCGCTTTAAATAAAATTAAACAAGTGCTACAAACGGGACTCGGAAAGTTTTTATATCTTCCGTCGGCGAATTCGACCCACCTACGGTTGTGGCTGTGACTCGGAAACTCTGACGATACGATACCTAGGTATCAGCTTGGGCTTTCCCCAGGAGTTTTCACAATGGGAATGCCCTGCCACTGCCACGCGGTCTTACATATAGGACTTATAGCGGGATTCAATAAACTAGGGACATAGGTGCGATTGTTACCGATTGTTACCGGCGCTGATCATTTCGGTGCGTCAACACCTTATTAAATAAAATGTTCGCTCACTGAAGGCGTCATATTGCATCATATCTGGCTTCCTTACTACTCAGATCCGGTATTTGGTCGAAAAAGGATTAACTTAGTCTAAAGCGAGTTCTGCCTGCATTTTCTTTAGTTTGAGTCCCGGATTAGTCATCACAGAAACATTTAACCCCGACCCCTGAACCCCTGAGTTGACAAGTACGTACTCCTATCTGAGGACCCCGGTTTTGAGCCGTGAGAGATAGGTAAGTGTTAAGGGTCTAGTTTGCCGGAGAGTAGGTTGGAGTTCAGCCCGGAGTTGAATTCGGAATTCGGCCCTCAACAGCCCCTCCGAGGGCTCGGTCCGCTATGTAACATAATACATACATAGTTACGATCCTGAGATTAGGTAATTTATATCCATTATTCCATTAAGAAGAGTATATTGTTCGAAAAATATCATTACCATTATTACAATATCCGCTACTTCCAAAGCACATTCCCTGTGTACTTCAAAGCTTCAGCAGCTCTTCAGCCTCAATAATTCGATCCTTGTGGCCATTGATGACAATCGTCAACATGGCTTTGGCGAGATGGTCTACCCCAATGAAGCCAGACGTGTTGGCAGTGAGTATGTTCACCAAACCAGCATGCCTCTTCATTATTGCACCAGGCCGCACAGACCAGGTTTCGAACCTTTCCTTATTGGCATCCGCAAGGTCGCATAAGCCTTTCTCGACTTGTCCCTGAATCAAGATCGTGATTAGGTAATCGTCCAAAAATGGGGGCCATAACGTGTTGAAAGCGCAGCACTCACCTTAATTCTTCTAGTGTCGGCGAACATTCTCATATTCTTCTTCTCATCCCACTCAGCCCCCCTTCCGCTGCAGAACAGAAAGCGGAACTTTTGAGGCTCCGGTAGCTTGGGCGCCAGCTCATCGATGAAGGCTTTCGCCGCAGCGAGAGTGTAGTCTACCGACACTTTCCTCGCTGTTTCTACATCCGGAAATTGGTACGCACGACCTCCAAGGGTCCTTCAGAAAATATTAGTTGTTATTGAAAGCCATATGTCGATTATGAGAGGCTTACCAAATACAAGCCTCTGCGCCTGCAAGCTGTGCCAGAAGCTCAGGTGGATAGGTGGAGTAGTCTTGATGTTCGACGACCGTAAGCTTGGGATTCTTGGCGAAATCTCCAGCGAGTGGCTTGCGGGTTAGAGCAAAAACGTGCGTGATCCTCTCGTCGGCGATCGCTTGCCGGATTACTTCACCCCCAACGAATCCGGTAGAACCTGTGACGATAATCTTCATCTTGAAACTATTTTAAATGAAGGTAGGATATGAAGTTTATGGTTGGAGTTCCGTCATGTCTTGGAGAAACGGGGAATATCGGCCTTTTATACGTGCACTGTCACAATATCGTCAAATCGTTGCAGTGCTACCTAATAGGCGCATGCATATGCTACGTCAATTAAGGCTGAAACTTAGTCAGCTCAATTGGTAATGCCGGACTGAAGGCAACCATAAAAGTGTAGGGAACGCTGGGCACGGGAGAATGTCGAAGATAACGATGAGATTTATTCGGAGAGTTTAGCATCTGGATGTCTGGGCAAGTTTAATTATCCCTTCCGCTAACAATTATCTGCAGATAGGGATATCTAATGCGCTGGAGCTTAGCCCTACACGTGGCGGCTGAACTGCGCTGACTACCTAGTAGCTGGGAATAGTTGTCAGAATTTCTTCATCCGGAATAAATTCTCGAGGCTTTAATTGAATGAGAATGCCGTATATGCCCGCTTCATTCATATGACTCAGTATACCTAGTGCAGCAAGCCAATGCTCGTGTGCCTCTTTACTTATCTATTGAATTCTAGATGCATGGTTGTGGTCATCCTTATAAACGACCCCATCCTTCATGACAAAGCTGACCTTCCTCAACGCACTAAGGTCTTCAGCTGGATCTCCTTTTACCGCGATTATATCCGCAGCAAACCCCTCCTCCAACGCTCCAAACTTCCGGCCGCTAAGGTCTCCACCACAGGCTTCCCATCCGTGCAGCGTTGCCGCTTGTAAAATAACAGGAACGGGAATACCCGCCCTCGCCATCAACTCCAGCTCAAACACGTTCTCACCATGCGCAAAAGCCCCCGTGTCGCCTCCCGTAGCAAGCTTGATGCCCCGGTCAAACGCCGCTTTCGTATGAGCCAAGATAGCATTCATCGCCTGGCCCTCGTCGCCGAGTGAAACCTGCAAAACCGCCAACGTCGGCACAAAAATCGTCCCATTCTCCTTCATCGCCCGCAGCGCCTCCTCGCTCGGCACGAACCCATGCTCAACCGTCGTCACGCCCGCCTTCGCCGCCATGACCACGGCCCGCGGACTCTGCGCGTGCGCGGCGATCGGCGCCCCCTCGCGCCTCGCCTCGGCCACCATCTCGTCCATCTCCTCCTGCGTGAACAGGAGCACGTTCGGGTTGCGCTGGCCGTCGAACACGTCGGCCGACGGCGCGCAGCAGATCTGCCTCGCGCCCGGCCACGCGGGCTGCGGGAACCGCAGCGCGCGCTTGCGGTAGTCGGCGTAGAACTTGACGACGTCGGCGCCCGCGCCGAGCCTCCTGCGCACGGCGGCGCGTACGCCCGCCACGCCGTCCGCCGCGTCCGAGATGCGCGGGACGCTCGTGCCGACGCCCGGCAGCCCGTTCTCCTGGCGGATCTCGTAGCCGCCGCTCGAGGCGATGCACTCGGTCGCCACGAGCAGCCGCGGCCCCGGGATGATGCCCCGGTTGATGGTGTCCCTGAGCGCGACGTCCGCGTCGCGGAGCCCTTCGGTGCCGAGGTCGCGGTAGGTCGTGTACCCCGCCATCAGCGCGGCTTTCGCGTGGTTCGTCGCCCGCACGATCCGCTCGACGAAGCTTTCATCGCGCATCTGGTGCAGCGAGGAGACTTCTGAGTACGGGTGCAGGAACACGTGGGTGTGCGCGTCGACTAGACCCGGCAGGACTGTGAGGCCGCGGAGGTCGATTGTGTATAGGGGTAATTCTTCATGTCTAAGTAGGGATGAGGGTGTTTGTGCAACTTTGGTGATTAAGCCAGTACTCGGGTCAATTGTGAGAGATACGTCTTTAAGGAACTGTTTCTTCTTGGAATCAAAGAGCGAAGAGGTAAGAATCGTGATCTCCTTGCTCGTAGTTTGCGGCATAGTTTCTTTTCGCATTGTGACGTTTGTGGTTACATTTGCCATCCCACTACACGCCAATTGCAGATTACGGACGGGCACAATATTTATATGTACCCGTATGTTGCTAGCGTTGCGATAGAAACGGGCGTGAGTGGGTATGATGTTGATTGTTCTAAGTAGGCTTTTCTACAGCAAGTCTGAAATTAGATGCTAAGTACCCTTTCCCAGTGTGAGTAGCACCTTCCTTTGGAGTAGACCCCGTAAACTTTACTCCGCCGATGATAGGCGAGATGATTGGAGGGTTCTGTACTAATGTAGCAATATGCCGATACAAAAGTCGCCCCAATTACGCTCACATTTGACATCCGTTGCACGACAAAATTTGTGATATGTGCCTATCATATGGCTTCAGAACATTACTACTTGAGAAATCACTTACAACAAGATACTTAGATAATTCGTATATCGAATAGGTATGTTGATTTGCATATTATCCAAATCTAGATAACTTAGTCTATACTAGTTACTAACTATGTTTTCTCCAGTGTTCAATGCAGCATCTGGTCAAGTCGAACATTACGTCTCTGTTCTGTGCATTGGGCAGTTTCCCGGCACCAACTTTCGTCTGGTGGGATAGGGGGCCGAACATCTAGCGTTGGTACTAGTATGCACAATTCTAGGGGGCGACTTTGCGCAACCGCAGACGCTGTATACTTCTTCGTTGATGTAGCACATGATGTTGGTCTTGGTGTTGACTTTAAAGTTACTAATTATATGATTACTGTTTCGTTGGATAGAGTGTTTGCTCGAATGATTGGATCAGTTGGAATCTAGCAGATTCTCTTCCCCTATATATACTCAATCTCACTGATACACAATAATTATTGCACAGGAGTCAGTGGTCATTCAGATCTTGCAAGAGGCTGCAGATCTTATAACTACTCTAAGAAATTGTGTCGTCAAGAAAGCACTACACGTGTGACGGTTCCAAGTTGACAAGGAATGTACATAACAGATGCCTTTGTTATCAGTCAGAAAAGGCTGTCCACAGCTGCAGTATGATTGCAAAAGCACTCAAAGCAAAACGCATACCGCATCATATAAAAACGTCTTTTAGTAGAAATTCCTCGAACACCGTACAGATACCGTGTACTCAGGTAGGTAGGTTACATACCGAAACAGCTCAGTCAATTCCAGAATATCCCAACGCCAAATCTACAACACACAGTAACTCGAAAGACGCTCATCCTCTCATACCCGAAGTCATGACTAGCAGCTTATTGCAATTTCTTCTGCTGTTGCTGTTGATCTAGCAACTTCACAATCTCCGGCATCCGGAACGTCCGCCAGCAAACCGCATCAATCACCCATTCACCCAGACATGTACCCAGCCAGACCAGATCCGCCAAGCCTCCGTACCAGAACCAATCCGGGCGACCAAACCAGCGTCTCAAGAACGCGGGCCTTTCGGGGCGCAGCGAGTCCGCGACCAATCTACGAGCAAACTGCTCCGTCGGGATTGTGGAGTTGTTCTGGCTGAACACGAGCCGCCACTCAAAGATGTCCTTGACAGCCTGGTACAAGCTGTTCTCGGGCAGCTCGCGGTGGCCCTGGCTGGCGGTATTGCTCTTCACAGTGCCGGTCAGTGAGCACATGACGCGCACGCCGAAGGGCGCGAGCTCCATGCGCAGCGTGCGCGAGTACCCCGCCACTGCGGCCTTGCTGGCGCAGTACACGGAGCCGAAGACGTAAGGGGTTAGCGATGAAAGAGACGAGATGTTGATGATTAACCCTTTGGCGGCGATGAGCTGGTCAATGAAGGCTTGCACCATGGCCATGATCGAGAAAACGTTTGTCTCGAATGTTTGGCGAACGTCTGGGAGTGAGATGTCTGTTGCTGGATGAGTGTGGGTTCGGCCGCTATGGTCTTAGTCAGCACGATGAGAAGAAAGAAGTGAGGTGGACGAGGTGAGCGCCAATGGTGGGTACTCACGCGTTATTGACGAGAATGTCCAACTTGCCGCCTGTGAGTTTCGCAACCTCTTCGTGGCATTGCTTGATGCTTTCGGGGTCAGTGACGTCTAGCGCGACAGCGCTCATGCCCATTTCCGCGAGATCAGTCAACACCTCGGGTCTGCGTGCCGTGGCGATGACATGAAGACCTGCAATCGCATTAGTCTCACAATATCTTCCCATAAGAGTATAATCACTTACCTTGACGATGATATTCTACACATATTCCATGTCCAATGCCGCCCGGCGTACAGCTGTAGATTCCACGTTAGTAATTCGCGGGGCTCAATCGCTAAAATAGACCACTCACCCAGTTACTAGCACCGTCTTTTGGCCTGGCTTAGGTCCCGCCATTTCAATAACTGCGCTGCGGCAAATGTCAATTGGGTTATTTTGCTTCACAATTGTCTTATCGACGACTGGGAAGAAAAAATTCAATTGAGGCCTTTGAGAAGTGAGAACCCCACGTTGTCCTCTCGCACAAGGGCGTAAGAGATGGGAATGGGTGAGATTTCCATTCTCGGAATATTCATATGTACATATCCCGGATGATTCCCTCCGACTCCGGATGCCGAGGTCTAGACAAATTACCGCTTTAGGCAATTCTAGGTGGTTGTGTACATTTTGGGCAAGTGCGGAATTCCGAAAGAAGAAAGGGCAAGTTTTTCTATATATACCCAAGCACAAGTACACCTATTTTCTATGGTAAATGTAGTGTAAATTCATCACAAGTCATACACATGAGTCGAGATTTATTAGAGATATGCCAATTACTATTTGCTTCATACATGGACCCCGAAGGTTTGGCAATGAACTTTTGAGGTCACTTCCTGGAGAAGGATTCCATACGTGTGTACTAGATAATATGTACCTGTTCTAATTGAAGGTGATTACTCAGCGTACAGTTCAATCTAGATCACCCTGATCACACTAGCCCTTATTCATGACCCGCTTTCCAGCCCTACAAGCAGCCCTACAACGTCTCAGGTTGCTACAGCTGTCCAATTAAAACCAAGACCTGACTCAGCTATACCTACCTATGATTCCTATGCATATCGATCATCCAGCCATATGTTAAAGAATATTTAGGCAACTAGTAATTAATTGGGCTTCAGAGCTATGCCACTCCGAAAGAACATCGTTGAGACTATGTGTCATGACGATCGTGTTGTTCAAAAACAGAGAATCTCGTATATATGTATATTCTTTCAGGCAACACGGATTATTGTTCAGAAACAATCTTGCTCGTTCTCCTTTAGAAATTTCTATTAAATACCTTCAATAATCTAGCCCATTCTTTCTCCTGCCAGCCATCTACAGTATATATCCTAGTGACAAGCGCCTATAAGGTAAATAACCTGCTTTTGTCTTTCTCTAGGTAACTAAGATATTCCGTCTATTTATCACATCCAAAATGGCGACAGTCAACACATCGCAGGAAGAAGTCCAATGGACATCTCCATCGCCGATTCCCCCCCCTGAAGCCCTCGAGGCTCAACGTTTGATAGCCTTTCTGGACCCTCATGTGTCTGCTCCGGGTTTTGAGAACCAAAGACTCGAGGAAATACTCTCATGGGACGACGGGCAACTCGAGAATCGGCTTGCTTGTCTAGATTGGGTGTTCCCAGTGGCATTTCAATCAAGTATGCTCGATCAGCAGACACTCATCTACGTTCGTAGCCACAACGGAATACTACAGAACATGAGAGCATCACTTGTCCGCATGATGGCCTTCTACGGGTTTGATGTGAGTTGGGATCAAGATGACGACTTCAGATTTAAACTCAGCTTTGTGCGAGACAACCCTGAGCTAGTGGGACGTTGGCTGAAGGAAGCAGACCAGAACCACACACATATTAAGGGCATTATCTGGAGCCTTCGCCTGTTTGGCTTATCCGAGGAAGCGCAAAGGGTCTATGAAGCATTTATTTTCGCTAATGAGACATACGGAAGCCCTGTTGGCGAAGCATCTCTGGACCAGTGGAGACAAGCCTTCGTCCTTCCTCTGTGCATCATTTCGTACGGTTTTCTTAATTTCCAGCCGAGGTTCTACTCGCTGAAGTTGAACGACGGTAGTCTTACTCCCCAAAGACCACAGAACCCGCAGAACTAAGGCTCGGATATTCCGAATTCACCAACTTCTTCGGATTACGCATTTCTGGCTAGCTCTGTGGAAATATTTAGCTAGTTCTAATCTAGACTCACTTTCTTTAGCATCATGATTTAGTTTCATAACATAGAAATTTTACTGCTATTCTGTTGTTCCCTATTAAGTGGAAGTGATTTGCACATGACGATAATCCTTTGACCTATAAACAATGGGTTTGTGGGGTGTGAATGCATGCTGTTTGAATATCATGAAAATTACATAAGAAGATTTCTTTTATCCTTTCTCTCACCATGTTTTATCGGGGCAACTTATCCAGGTGTATCGTCTAATAGAGGAATCTTTTTAATAGGATGAATATGCCCACTTCCACCGGTGAGCGAAAAGCGGCATACTTTACCTGTCATTCTACGTTCTGTACATCCTGTACCTGGTCCCTCTCATTCGTGGAAACAGATGATGATTTCTCAATCCTTGGCGTTATGGCTATGGATCTTCCGACTGAGGTGCTGAACTCGCAAGTTAAATCATCCACAATTGAGAGATCTCACTTGGAAATCTAGAATCAGCTTAAATTATATCCATAGTCAGCTCTAAGAAATCTTGTCTCCCCATATTAATGAGAATGCAGGTGTGAAATGAAATAACCCCTTGAATTATAGATGATATTGTCACTTCTGGAACCCTTGAGCCCGCCCTTTTGTATTCATGTTAAAGTGACTATCTTGACGATGACTATTACTATATCTACGTTCTTTCCCACCCTTCCTTCACATCGACGGCTGTGATGTTGTGTCTTATTGTATGCATAAATTGACAAGATATAGGTACATATCTAATCGACCAAAGGATAAGAGCAGTGATGACCGAGAGTTATCTTAGACACTTGAACCAAAGCGCGGCCTATTCTATTTCATAACTAGTCCGTAGGGTAGGGGATCCATAAACCTCACACCTATTATTCATAGGAAAGCTAAGCAGATGTGAATTATGTCATTTTCACGTATGGTGAAAGGCTTTGCTCCTTATGGGTGTGTGAGGCGTACCGAGTGGTTACCAACTATCGAACCCTTTGACCGGTAATTGTCCCCAGTCAGGCACCAGCAGGCAAAATAAAGCTCACATGACCTGATGGACCGGATCTAGAACATAGAGCATGAATTGTACATGATTTTATATATATTTTTCTTCGTACAAATTGTATCAGCAGTGCCCTGAGCCGAGCTTTTGCGGGTGCTTAGATGTATTTTGACTGCTAATCCTTGGCTGTAGACAACCGCCAATTGAAGGAATAGTATGTTAGAATCTATCCTGACGTCTAGCCCATTCACCCGGGCTTAGCCTTGTCTTACGATGTATGCCCTACAGGACTAGATATTATTACCTAGGTTAATAATTTACTGCCATAGCCTACTGCCGTCGCTATCATCTTGATTATTGTCGTCTTATTCTACGTATATAATATCTAGTGGACGATAGGATAGCATTAACCTTTTCCCATAATAACTGAATGATGAATATTTTGGCATGTTGCTGTCGTAGTCTTCTTCATCTTTGTATTCATCGTGGTAGACTATATTCCTAAACTCTCGAGGGAAGTTCCCCGGTTTCGATACTGTTGGCTACTACCCCCTTTCCTTGGTATACGGAGGACCCGATGTCTTCGGTACCTAAATCCTTGGTCTCTATTCCACTCGCCTTTCGGGAACGACTAATCGACCGTACACCCCTATCAGTGACTCAAGATCTAATCACCAGCCCAAAGAAAACAATTGGTATCCATCCTCACCAGGAAATTTCCATCCAGGCTTGTACCATCTTCTTTCCAAAACCCCATCATTCAATCTAGAACGCAAGCAACTACAACACTTTCGCAACCACTTAGGAGAGTTGTTGCTTAAACGTTTGATATCGCCTTCATGCTTTCATGAGAATTCTTCATGAAGCATTCTCTCTCATAGGTTTTTGATATCCATATTTTGCGTCCGTTCTACGAGCTACTCTCATCATCACCTACGCAAACCCACACCCACCACAGCCCTGCCATTACGAATCATGGCCTCTTTCAACTTACCCGAACTCTTGCACATTCTCAGCACGGGGGTAAGCAGAAACATAGAAATATAATATATCGTATAGCATCGCTAATACGTGCGCAGATCCATGACCGCAAGACGCTATTCAACCTCTGCCTCGTGAGCAAGGCTTTTAACGAAATCTTTTCGGAGTACTACTACCAAGAACTTTTCTTCTGCGAACGAAACGGTGACTGGCTCTCCGACAATACTAAGTTCCGCCTGCTGGCATTAAATAGAAGATGCCTTAACCATGTCAAGCACTTTACATTCTGCGCCTACGCAGACACAGACTTGAACACGGTCCACCATGTACAAGCTGCTAGCCACCCGAGTAAGTCGCAGTCGATAACCTAGGTATTTGACGGCTATATAAGGATACTAACTAAAGTAGGCGAGGTTTGCCAGAGTCTAGGATGGTGGTTAACTGTTAGCAGCCATGTGACAATCTTGTTACGCCATATGCCTCGTCTAGAGAGTTTCACGTAAGTACTAAGTTAAAGATCTATTAAAGGGAGCGAATGTTCGCTAACATGGGAAGCTAGCTGGGTTGGATATCCTCTCGACGTCCAAGTGACCGAGGAACTACAGGTCAACTGTCCGCGCTTGAAGTCTCTCACAGTGGTGGAACCGCAGAACCGCAACCTGAGACAAGGTCTGGAAGTTGATCTTTTCCATCTTCCCGTGCGCTCGCCAGACCAAGCACAATGGCAGTTTCTAACCCAAAGCAGGGCGAGGGTTCCGGCACTGCTCCCATTCAGAAATCTCAAGCGCCTACACCTACACCATATGTGGGGAGCGGACCTAGGCCTCTGGCGAAATATGATCGTCCAGGTCTTGATCAACTCGCCGGGCCTGCTGGACTTGGGTCTTTCACTGTCTGGCTCGACCCGTTGGCGACTATCCAATTTCAACCTACACCAGAACGACCCGGCACGTCACCCGGCCCACTTCTTACGAGAGCTTTGCAGACTCTACCGCGAATCGGGCGGCGAGCCCCTGAAGCTCAAAGCTCTGCATCTCGGCCATTACATGTTCGTGTTGCGCGCTAGAAACAGCCCAAGACGATACCGACCCGAATTCGCAGACGAGCACGAGAATGGCGGACACCTGGACGCATTGGTGGATAGGTCAAGTGTGCGAGAACTCACGATGGATCTTATCAACGATGGCGGCTTTCCTGGCGACATCCCGAACGCACTCAACGGTTATGACAACGTATTGTGGTGGCCGACCGCGCCCGGTCCGATGCCGAAGTTGGAGAAACTCTCCGTCAGGATGCCGACTAGTTGGTTCGTGAGATGGGCCAAGCGAGTAACCGAGACGGGGGCGCCACTGAGACAGATCAGAGTGAACGAGGCAGCGTTTCCTGGCTCGCACAACTACCCCCTGTACCATGCTCACTCGTCTAATATTGCCGTTAATTGGACTCACCTGCTCGCCTGCAAACCTAAGGAGCTGATGTTCTTTAGAGCCAGCCGTAATGCAATCTCGTTCAACGAAGCAACTGCCTGCAAGTCAATTCGATACCTTGCAACTGATTGCGAACCATTCTGCAAAGATGTCAACTTGTTAGCCTCTCGTATGCCTCAGCTGGAGGGATTGTATCTCATGAGTACAAATTCTAACCAGCATCCTGCGCTCTTCTATGATGAGTCTGGAGGAGATATTACAGATATTCAGCAGGAGAAGGCAGAATGGGAAGCAATCGTGCGAGATGTCGCCAACATTCTCCATGGTCTCAAGTTCATGAGAATCAATTCAGTTACCTGGCGTATCGACCGTGAGCTGGGACTAGCTCTTCATGAGCTGGATAGAATGGAGAACGAACGCGTGATTCCCGACCTGTTTAAGATTGCAATCCCGTACGAGTTCGATGTCGCGCACGCGGCCAAGTTTTGGGTGAGAAACCGGTACAGAGACGATGACGAGATGATGTAGGCTTCATCAGTTCGGGACGGAATAAAGACCAAGCAACAAAGATGTGCTTATCATCCAAAACAATCCGTAGCTTCTTGCAACAATTGATACAAATCATATGATCGAAGTACTCTTCCATATTGTTCTTCTAAGTGAAGACCTTATGACTACCTACAAGTACTCAGTAGCCTATGAGCTAAAAAGGGGTCAAATAGGAGTAATCCTAAAGTATTTCTAAACAAAACTGAACCTTGGCTTAAGAATACACCAGTAATACAAATTGATGTGATGTAAGGAAGACCAAGGCGCCGACATGATGTTATCTTGGTACCCTTATCAACTACTGCGACTCACCTTAGCTGGCGTTCCGTACGTTCGCCGTTCCTGTCTAGCATGCGTTACATCCAAATAAATCCGAGGCGTGATTTACAGTGACTTAATTACCGACTTCGCTCCATTTAGATAATAACGTATCGCCCCCGATCAATTTCGAGTGATCGTAATGATGTAGTCTCTACCGTTCATATCGAATTAGCTCGTCAGGTATGTATGATAGATACGACGGTTCTCCTTGTTACTTGTTAACTGGAGCAATGGATTAATCTTCTGGCAAATAATCCCCTACCGCAGAGAAAGTGGATGCCGTGACGACCAAACGGAACCGATACTTTCGATCAGATAGGGGTTGAAGAACGATGTAGACACGGGATTCCGCAGACTAGGACGGGAAGATCCTCTTTTTATCGTAGCCAAATCTAAAGGCGAGAATCCAAACTTCCCAAACGATCGCGATGAGGGGTGTGGTTGCAGGTACCCGATCGCACCAGGTCTGTCGGGGTCACGCGTGGAGTCTACCTAAGGTCGGCTGTAAAGTTTTGTTTCTCGATTTCTTATAATGAATCCTGAGTTTACTTCTTCAATCATGGCCCGGGAAGATAAATGAGGTCACGGATAACCGATATCTCGCTCGCACAACGGAGCAGGATCCGGCTGCAAACCCGTCTGGGTATTCATCAGGCTTGCCGGCGGTGTCACTACCCTTAATTTCATATTAGGCCATCCCTTCCTTTTACGGACTGGCCTTGATGGCTGAATTGGTAGGCATGCTGTTTTCGTGGCACCAACCACTCGCGGTTCATTTTCATCGGCAATAGTTGCGTCCGTTAGAGATGCCGGCAGTGTTCCCAGGCGAGAAAGGAAGAGAATAGGCGTCGGGAGGAGTCGGTTGCGGATAGGCGGGATTCTTGTATCAACTTGACGAATGAACAGTTCAATTGTCCTTTGCGGAAAGATGCCGAGTCGCTCTCATCATCTACTGAATCCGATTTTCAAGTCGACCTTGACCATTTTCAGGTTCACGATCACGGTATTCGCCTTCATACATCCTTGTCCATTTTGTTTCCGGCGTGGTGAGTAATACAGAGACCATCAATTCAACGCTTGGGATATTTGCAAATTTCTTGATCATCAGACCAAAATTGGTCAGTTGGCCATTTTCGATCATTCGATGGTGATACTGATGGGAATAAAATACGAATTATAATCAATTTAATATCGGATTCAAATCAAAGGTTTAACCCAAAAAAGTCATTAGTTCTTGCCATGACTTCTGCTACCTTTAACTTCGTTAGGAGCTTTCCTTTGCCCCGCTGTCCCGACACAAAGCGGGTTGCCATTGTCGAATTAGAATGGCTTCCCTTGAGGGGTTCTCCCTGTCAATGCGGGGTGTTACCGACTTCCCAGATTTAAGATTTTCGTGGTCTTATTTTTTCGAAGCTACCCAACTACCCCGGTTTTATGCTTTACCTTGGCTACCTGATTAAAGCCCTGTTGCTTGTTCCTGAGAATCCCGGTGGTGTAACCCGGTAGTGTGCCCAGCAGCGGGCCAATGGCATTCCTAATAGTGACGGAATCTTCTGCATCATCACCGCAACTTTACTTTTCTTTTTCACCTTTGATCTTCTCCCCTTCTGCATGCAACACTACAGGCTTGACGAATTACTGCGTTAAGAAGAAGAGAAAAAGAAGAAAAAGAAGAAAACCCATACTAAAAAAAATATAATCGGCTGTTATAGCACCTGATCAACTATAGTTCTGTCATATCCAACCAATACTGAATCCCTTTTCCCCGACACCGTGAATACTATTGTTGTCATTCGCCTCCCGCCATATACCATCTAAAGCTCTTTGCCCTAGAGCATGCTTCCCTTGCCCACACCTACGATCTCGTTATATTGGAAAGTAGCAGGAAAATATGGCACCAAAAACTAACGGCCGTGCCGTCCAGGCAGAGGACACCAAGATCTGCGTGGTCATGGTCGGTTTACCTGCACGTGGGAAGAGTTACATAGCACAAAAAGGTACCACCCCCCGATACCATGTCAAACTTCATATCCCTTTGTGAAACCCTCCAAGACTCTTTGAGGTTCCCAGAAACAAAACAAGAAAAGAAAGGAAAAGAAAAGAAAAGAAAAGAGAAAAAAAGACTAACCTATCTCACTCGCCCTCTGTAGCTCAGCGTTATCTCCAATGGCTCTCGATCGATGCCAAGACCTTCAACGTCGGCAATTATCGGCGTCACGATGCTCCCCAACCGTCAGCGGATTTCTTCGACATTAGCAATGCCGAGGGCGAACAAAAACGTCGGGTTGCTGCTGAGGCTGCCATCGCTGATATGTTGGGCTGGTTCCGGCAAGGCGGTGTGATTGGGATACTCGATGCCACCAATTCAACAAAGGAGCGACGAAAATGGGTATACGACACGTTGATGCAGGAGGGTATCGAAGTATTGTTCGTCGAGTCCAAGTGCGATAATGAGAATCTCATAATGGCCAACATTCGAGACGTCAAGACCACCAGTCCCGATTATAAGGGCCAGGACCCGGAAAAGGCTGCCCTAGATTTTCGCAATCGGATAAAGAACTACGAGAAGGTGTACAAATCCATAGACGCGGATGGCGACGAGAGCCAATATACCTACCTAAAGATTATGGATGTCGGTGCTCAGGTCATTATCAACCGTATAAAAGACTATCTTCAGAGTCGGGTTGTTTATTACCTGATGAACCTACATATTCGACCAAGATCAGTCTGGCTCTCGAGACACGGTGAATCGTTGTACAATCTTTATGGGAGAATAGGAGGCGATGCCGACCTATCGCAGCGAGGACATCAGTATGCCAAGAAGTTACCTGATCTAGTCCGCCAATCTGTCGGTGTAAGTTGAATATTGGTTTAAATTCTATGGTTTCCATCCAATCATGAGATTAACATATATCCCATAGGATGATCGACCCCTTACGGTGTGGACCTCGACCTTAAAGCGGACAATACAGACGGCCCGTTTCTTACCCGACAATTACAATCAACTGCAGTGGAAAGCGTTAGATGAGCTCGACGCGGGCGTCTGCGACGGCATGACCTACCAAGAGATCAAGGATGTGTACCCGGAAGATTTTGTGGCACGCGATGAGGACAAGTACAATTACCGTTACCGTGGTGGCGAGTCGTACCGGGATGTCGTTATCCGCCTCGAGCCTATTATCATGGAACTCGAGCGCTCCGAAGATATTCTCATCGTTACCCACCAAGCCATCCTTCGTTGCATATACGCCTATTTCATGAAGAAAGACCAGTCGCGCAGTCCTTGGATGAACGTCCCTCTCCACTGCCTCATCAAGCTAACCCCGCGCGCCTACGGAACCGACGAGGAGAGGTACCAAGCCGATATTCCCGCCGTGAGCACGTGGCGCGGCAAGGGCAGCACCGCCAAGCACGAGGATCCCGTTCCAGAGGCGAACTTGGGATTTAACGCCACGGCGGCCGTCCATTAAATACGATTTCTTAGCTTGTCGGCCCTTTAGTATCATGACCATAACGAAACAACGTAAACAACATGCATAGGCAATGTGGAATTAAGGGGACGACGGGCATCCGGTTGGCGACAATTGCCATTATTGAAGTACCTAGACGAAATGATCCGGCGGGCTGTCTCTGAAAGGCGCATTAACGGAGGAATTATACGTGTATTGGTTTTTTATTTTGGGGTTTTATGGAAGCCGGCTCTTGTGGATAAAAAGAAACTCCCTGCATAGGTATTTTAATATAGAGTGGGGTGGGTTGCTCGTATGAGATGAGATTCGTGCCCGAGTGTATGTATATGATATATCTATTCCGCGGAACACCGAATTGATTGATTATGACAGTCAAAAGAACATGAAAGTGGCGATTCTCGACTTCATTTCATGTATATAGGGTGCGTGGAAAGGGGTTAGTTCTGTGATACATTCGTATGTGCTCCCCTATTCTACAAGAGTCGCACCACGGATAATTACTGATGTATTTCAGTTGAAGTAGCTACTATTGGTCGAATGGTTGATCGCGCAATACTTAATATTACGTCTAATATCTTTCTTTTTAACTTCGATGTTCTTCTACATATAAATTACCACCAACCCCTCAGATGTGAAGGCAAGATGTGGTAAATTATACCCTATTGTTATATACATACACGCACATAGGTATAGAACCTCCCCCAATAGTGTTAAAACTCACTCGGCCCACGAAGCCACCGAACGTGTTGCAACTCCAGGAGGATGTAGGTATATATAAGAGGGCAGACTAGCAGACATCATAGTCAGGCAAGCCAGCGCCCTGATAGACGAAACCAGCCTGCCATTGGGGTGCGTCTTGGCTAACGATGGTGCCGATCTGGCCGTTGGCAACGCAGAGTGCTTCGGCCGAGATGAGCTGGTTGCCGATGAAGGTGGTGTCTGTGCTTAGGGTCTGGCATAGCGAACAGAAGAAACCCCAGCATGTGCCGTATTGGAAGGTGAGGCACGCGTTAGACGCTACCGTGATAGCTTGGTCTAGAGCGAGCACCTCGTCAACGATGTTGTTACAGTCGGAGTCGCCAGGTGCAGGGCTCTAGGAAAAAGGGAATTATGATTAGTGGATGAATGAACGAGCGGACGTGAGGTGAGACAAACCGAGCTTCTGCACTCATAAAAGGCATTTGCGGCACGAGGCGATATGGAAAGGCTTTCGGGAAGCTGCATTAAGTTCACTTCATCTAACTTGAGCGATGGTTGGATGGTAATAGTCGCGAGCCCGCTTGAAGGTCGCGGCTGTCGTGCTTGGCTTTGGGTACGACCTGATCCCTCCACCACAGAAGCGGCGAGGCTAGTGATCAGAGTGAGGAAGAAGACTGGTTTCATGGTGGCAGAAAGTTGAATTGCGTGACGAGGAGAGATCGACACAAACTACGGGTTCCCGGGAGCTGGTACGAGATTTGCTCCAGCTGGAAGAAAGTATGCATACTTTTATACTGTTTCTCATTGACATATCATGCTTGGCTTGCAGACAAGCAGTGGGCAGATGGGCATATACTCCGACAGATATGGTAACCTTGAGTCTTTAGGACCTGCCGGATGAGGGATTGGGCGTTCTCGCCCATGTGGGCAGATAATATCCCACGGTCGAGACTCGATCACAGCTCAGCTCGTGGTCAGTTTGGAGACTGATCATGATGCTCACATACATGTCCTTTCCAGGCAAATTATATGCCGAGCCTGCCATTGTAAATCCTCTCTGACCTATGCTTAGGGGATTCTGGCACTATCCAATGAGGTAAGGCTTGCTCAGCAGCTTGTAAGGCGCCGAGCTCCACCTCAGCCGTTGCTATCACATCCCCACGCCATGTCCTTACGACGTTCTCCTAGATTTCAACGGAAAAGTCCGCGCATCGGCCGTGATACGACATGGTCCAAGTGATATTTTGAGCTTAGTGACGCCTCACAGCTACCAGATTGAGACGCCTCTTCGCAACAGTGTCACATCACGTTGTAACGTGGCACTAACAACCAAGCCCAATAAGACCAAGAGACGGGAATGCGTACGGAAAAGGGGAGGCATGTAGTTGTGCCGATGAAGATAAGCCTAGTTTTTTGCTACTAGAAGAGTAGGCTGAGGCTCGTTGAGATAGGAAATAGGGGTAACATACTCTGCGGACCTACTAATAAAGAGACAAATTCATCTACAAAAGCACTACCCAGCAGCATAGAGCCGCTTTAGAATCGAAGATGGCCTTCATCTAAATTCAACTAGAGTTGACCTGGATAGCGGATATACTTCTCTGCGTGAAACTTCTCCTAATATAACTGAGAGAGATTATTGGTCCGGCGGTACCAAACAACCCAAACATCGAGCCTCGGTGCTAACTCATCTTGAAATTTCATCTTGTGTTCAACGTGAGATAGATTGAGAGGCGCGTGAACAGCTGGCATGGGAGTTCCATCGTGAGCCAGACCACAAGAGAATAGGGTTGATTTTAGCCACGGATTTATCCAGTGCAACGGTATGCAGCTGTGCTGCAGCTCGCCACGACCTCAGATTCAAGAAAGTTTCCGGCAATTTATAAATGTGTGGGCAAGGAACCCGGCAGCCTGGAAGGATTTCGTAGGTACTATAATCAAGAGCAGGATCCGGTATTGCTTTCATTTACGACATGCATTCAATATCAGCAGCTGAAAGGGTCCAGAGCCAAGAGAAGCATGGGTCAAGTAAGAGGTCGACGATATGAGGAGTAGTAAGAGCGAATATGGATTTTGATACATACAACTAAACAGAGAATGACCGAAGCCAAGAGGTTGCAATACGCAATGCTGAGCGGAAGATTCATGAAAGAACTATGATAGATAAGATCGTAAATTTACTTATAACATTATATTTCTTTCAATGATCGAGACAACCAGTAAATATCATGGTCTATATTTGGTTGACACGTGCTCTATTAAGGATGAATTAAAGAAATAACACTGAAGAAGCACAGTAAGGTTCTAAGTCAGGGTCAGTGTAAGTGGTGTAAGTGGCGCAAGTGGCTTTCGATTTAGAGCTTTAACGGAGCCCCAGCGCACAGACCACAACGGGTAATGGGAAATACGGGGCCCATTTTGCTTATCAGTCTTTTTCTATATCGATAAGCAAAAAAAATCCAGGACGATAGACTCTGAGCGAAAGATTGAACATTATCCAACCCACTTCTAAAAGTTGTAGTTCAACAACTTCGAATACGACCAATTATCGCACTCTTTCCTAGGCAAGATGGAGTCAGTCAAGCTTAGCAAAAAGAGAAAGCTCAAGGATGCCAACGGTGACAAAGCATCCAAGAAGTCAAAGATACCTTCTGTCAAGGCGCTTAAGTTGAAGAAGTCGAAGCGAGTCGAACGTGATATTGCCGAACCCTCGAGCGACGACTCCGAAGTGGAAGTAGGGGATGAGATTGAAGGACTTGATGAACTTGAAGAACAAGACGCAAGCGATGTAGGAGATGGTGGTTTGGAAGAGGACCCTGAAGAAACATCCGAACTGGACAAGAGAGTGGAAGCAGCAAATGCTGAGGATGAAGACGCTGGCCAAAATAACCAAAGCACCGACTTACCTACCGACAGCGCAATATCCGCTCTGCAGGATGCCATAGGCTCCGATGCCCAGAACTTTGCCGACTTGAACCTCTCGGAGAAGACGACGAAGGCTATCAAGGAGGATATGGGCTTCGGAAAGATGACTACTATACAACGGAGAGCGATCCCACCTTTACTCGCAGGTCGCGATGTGCTCGGCGCCGCAAAAACTGGAAGTGGAAAGACTCTGGCTTTCTTGATCCCCGCCGTCGAAATGCTAAGTGCCCTCCGATTCAAGCCACGAAACGGAACCGGCGTTATCGTCGTTTCTCCTACAAGGGAGTTGGCTCTGCAGATTTTCGGCGTCGCGCGCGAACTGATGGCGCATCACTCTCAGACTTACGGAATAGTCATTGGAGGAGCAAATCGTAGAGCAGAGGCCGACAAGTTATCTAAAGGCGTGAATCTCATCATTGCGACGCCAGGAAGACTCTTAGATCACCTGCAAAACACACCCTTCGTCTTCAAGAATCTGAAGTCCCTAATCATCGACGAGGCCGACCGAATACTGGAAATAGGTTTCGAAGATGAGATGCGCCAAATTATCAAGATCCTACCCAGCGAAGGCAGACAGACCATGCTCTTCTCCGCAACGCAGACGACCAAAGTCGAAGACCTCGCTAGGATTTCCCTTCGCCCAGGTCCTCTTTATATAAATGTCGATGAAGAGAGCGCCAGTTCTACCGTTGCCGGACTCGAGCAAGGTTATGTGACGTGCGACGCCGACAAGCGATTCCTTCTCCTCTTCTCATTCTTGAAGCGAAATCTGAAGAAGAAGGTTATCGTCTTCTTCTCCAGCTGCGCAAGCGTAAATTATTATGCTGAACTTTTGAACTACATCGATCTGTAAGTCAACATTCCTTTCTTTGTTCTCGGGAAGTCGAATGTGACGATCTCAATCCGTGAATACATTGCTAATAACATTCAGGCCCTGCCTCTCTCTTCACGGGAAACAGAAGCAGCAGAAGCGGACGAACACGTTTTTTGAATTCTGCAATGCGAAAACCGGTATTCTCCTGTGCACAGACGTTGCTGCTCGTGGTTTAGATGTAAGTTCGTTGCAATAATCTTGCAATGCTAGGTCATTAATCGCCTTTTAGATCCCAGCAGTCGATTACATAGTGCAATTCGACCCGCCTGACGACCCCCGCGATTACATTCATCGGGTCGGTCGAACGGCGCGTGGCGCAAACTCCAAGGGCCGCAGTCTCCTCTTCCTGCAACCCCACGAACTCGCCTTCTTATCTCACTTAAAGGAAGCCAAGGTACCCGTGCTCGAGTATGAGTTCCCGGCCAAGAAGGTTCTGAACGTCTCTTCACAACTTGAAAAGCTCATCTCTCAGAACTACTATCTCAACCAGAGTGCCAAGGACGGTTACCGATCATATCTGCACGCCTATGCGAGCCACAGCTTACGTTCGGTATTTGACATCCACAAGTTGGATCTAGCAAAGGTAGCCAAAAGTTTTGGCTTTTCTACTCCTCCCCGAATCGACCTTACGTTAGGCGCGAGTATGGGCAGAGATAAGAAGACGCAAGGCAGAAGGGGTTACGGAAGTCAGCCGCGGCAGGGTCAAAAGGGTCAGAAGTTCAATAAGAGGCGGTAGTTGTGTTGAGTTGGGAATTTCAATCAATTGCGGAGTCTTCGGTTGAGTTTATCATGATATACCAGCTGGGTACGTTTAAATCCTCAACACGGGAGTAAACAGTACACTCAAGAAATCAGAATTGCACAAAGCATTTTCATCGCGATTAGTTAATTGTATACCCACCGTCGACTACCAATGCGTGACCTTGGATAAACGAGGATTGGCTCGAGCATAAGAATAGCACAGCATCAGCTACCTCTTCCGGCGTCCCCATTCTCCGCATGGGCGCGATGTCGATCGCTGGCCTTAGTCTTTCTGTAACCTCAGGCGATCCCGTCGTCATCGGTGTCTCGATCACGCCCGGGCACACACAATTAACTCTTATTCCATCCCGCGAGTAATCTATCGCGTCGGACCGCGTCATATTTATCACGGCGGCTTTCGAAGCACAGTAAGGTGCTTTTTCGAGTAGTTAGTAAACATGTAAATTAACACATCGTCTTACCCCGCCTATGTTAAATGCACCGTAGGTATTCGACCTCGGATTCGAAGGCAATATAAGGAACGCTTACATGCAGTCGGCCGCGCCACGAGACCGAGCTGACTCGCAATATTCACCACGGCTCCCCTCTGCCGCGGATGCGCATCCAGCGGTTCTTGCGCCAGCATCTGCGCCAGCGCGGCCCGCGTCGAAAGCCAGGCGCCTTTCCAATTGACGCCGGCCACGCGCTCGTACTCGGCCAGCGGCGTCTCGTGCGTGCGCAGCGAAGCCCCCAGGATGCCGGCGCAGTGCACGGAGTAATCGAGGCGCGAGAACCGGGCAACGAGGTCAACGGTGAACGATCGGACGAACGGCTCGCTCGCCACGTCGCCTTCACGCGCTAGGACCTGCGCGCGGGGGTTGATGGATAGGATGGATGACTTGGTTTGTTGAAGGGTTCGCGGGTTGAGGTCGGTGATGGCGAGCTTGGCGCAGCCAGATCGCGCGAAGCCGCGAGCGACGGCGGCGCCGATACCTGGTTAGGTGGGTGGTATGAGTATGACAGTATCGCGATGACGGATGTTCTGTTCCGGAGTTGTGAGAGTAATACCTGTGCCACCGGCTCCGGTGATGAAAGCGACGCCGGGGAGCTTGAAGATTCCTGACGCCATTCTTGTGCACGTTTTACGCCGGGGATTACACGATGTTGTGATCGTGATAACAATGGTATCTTATCACCGACTTGCCAAATCGAATTGTTTTTTTTTTTCTCTACTTACATCCCCCATTCTTGCCTTGATAGGGGATGCGCTTATCAGGGAACCCTCGCACTTGTCTTCGCCACTTCTAGCATGCAACCTAACCTACCTAGGTATATAATAATAGATTTAGGAGATTCCATCCCGAGACACCACAGATCCTAAGGAACACGATTCTCGGAAATATATCTCTATGTCATCATGTGAGTAGATTGTACGATATGGTTCACGACAATGGCAACAATCATGATAAATGAGGCGAATCCCTGAAGTTGCCTGGCTGCCTTTGGCACGTCATGTTTCGCAGAATCAGAGACCGTATTCGCAGTTCCGGCGCCGTCGGTGGTTGCTCCCGGTCATTGACCGGGCGGGCTCTATCTCTCGGGCAGTGTCGTCTTGGTTAGGAACGGCTAATATCAAGGGCACAATGCTTGTGGCCATGGCTCCCTACTGGTGGAGGAATAAGCATAATCCTATTAGTCAATGTCTAAAATACTCATGGTCAAATTATGACTTGATTATGCCGTCTCCCGGACCGGTCGGCGTCTCGAACCGCCGTTGTAGTCGGTGATCAACGCTGCGGCGGAACAAACATTACACCGAAACTGCCGACCATCATCGCCGTAGGACGCCCATTACTTGGGTATATGAATACCTAGGTAGGTAGTACATTTATAAAGTTTCTAATCAAAAGTTTGTGCAACATGTCAAGCAACTGCTAGGCACCTTCCTGTCTTCATGAGCACTTCTTTGTTTCGGGAGGTCTGCGGAACTTTCACTCCTTCACTCATCTTTCGTCTTCATCATTCATCTTATCCGACCTAACAACGCGAACCTTTGTATCTGACAGAACACATATCTCTCTCGTGGTAAAGCTGTCATCGATGATGCAGAAGCTGTCGCCCTTCGTACACTTATACGAACCCATATCGTCCGTTAAAGGCCAGCATACGGACCTAGAAGCTCCAAAGCTCATTTTGGTTGCGTCGTGGATGGATGCGCAAGATTTACACATTTCCAAGTACATCACGAAGTACCAGTCCATCTATCCCACATCAAAAATCTTACTAGTCAAATTTGTCTTAAGGGAATCAATATTTGCATCATCTACACGAAAAGTCGTTGATCCCGCCCTTGTTTATCTTCGATCTCTCATCAATTCAGGGGTCCTATCGCTGTCACCGCCGCGACCTGAAATCCTTGTGGTAAGTACACATCTAATAGTCCTTCATATAACAAGATCTTACAGTATACTGGCACAATGAACTCTAATAGAAACGTAGCATATTTTCTCAAATGGCGGCTCGGCCACTACGCGAACATTGTATCAACTGTTCCGAGATCAAACCGGTTGCGCCTTTCCCCTTCACGTGGCGGTGTATGATTCATGTCCGGGGTTATATTCATTTTCGTCCGTATATAGTGTCTTCATGGTCAACTTCTCAGCCTTCCTCACTCGCTTGATTGCGGCTCCGTTTATCACCGCAATCGTCGCCTGGTTTTGGATTTGGTACCGTCCCTTCAAAATGCTCTCGGGAGAGGATTTCCTTTCAGCCAATCAAAGGGTACATAACGACATGAATCTGGTCAAGCAGACAAACCGGTCGTATGTCTACGGTAAAGCCGATATCATGGTTGATTGGAGACACGTAGAAAGGCATGCAGACCAGGCCGCGGCAAAGGGACTAGCAGTACGAAGAGAGGTGTTTGAACGTAGCCCACACGTATCACACATGAGGACAGACGGCGACCGGTACTGGAAGATCGTCAATGAGACCTGGAAGAAGGGCACGACACGACAGTAGCTTGCGTATTCATCTACCTCATGCAAGATATCGGACGATCGGATTAATTAGACTCAAGAAGCTTAGAGGGAACCCTAATGGAACAGCCATGGTACCGAATCGATGGCTCTAATAGAAATGAAGTTGAACAGTAAGTCTGATTTTATCATCATTACTATTAATTAAATACCTTACAGCCAAATCTAACCCGCCTTTAGTTGACGAATTGGGTATCTATAGACTTCTTCTAATCATATAATTTACATAGCTAGGATTATTTCTTCCTTGGCCTATATATGTAGTATAGGAATACATTGGGATCGAAAAAGTTTTCTCCAAGTTCCGCCAGGTTGTCTCTTCAGTTAATTGGCGCCTACCAGAGGGCCTGATGCGGCCATCGACTATTTCTCGTACTTCCCCTCGACATAATCTTCTAATCCTAATTCATGTTGAGCTCAAGACCAAACGAATGATAATATATGTGCGACTTTATCTACATCTTCCAATCCTTTTGGTGGTTTCGTGGCGATCTCTGGAGGGACGCAGTATTGGATTTCCGCGCGTTCGCGGGAGGACACTTCACGTCATTGGAGACGGCATCGAGGAAGCCCGGGTTGGCCCACACCTGGGACATGTCCCAAATCATGACGCCAGCGAAACTCGAGAACTTCTTGCTGTAAGAAATGATCGGGGCTAACTGGCTGGGGTGCTTGTACGACGCCTTCTCAGAAGTGGTGACGGCGGAAGGACCACCGGGGATACCAAGGAAGACCTTGACGTTGGGGTTCTTGCTCGAGTGCGCCCACTTGTCCCACTGGTCCATGTTGAAGCCCGACTGTGATGGGTCCTCCGAGCTGAAAGCCCGGATGTCGCACTTGGCATTATTGTAGAATTGGACCATGATGAAATCGAAGGCCACGGCATCGTCGCCGTGCAATATGGCCTGGTTGTTTTTATCTGGGAATGGACACTGCGGCGCGGCGGCTAGATAGAACCTCTGGCCCCCCTTGCCATTGGCGTCGTCGATGTGTTGGCGCAGACGTGCGGCGAAGGGTGCGATGTTCTGCAGCGGGGCTTCGATGTCTAGGTCGAAGCCGTCGACGACAGTATTGCCAAAGGGACGTGGAGCGGGACCACCGCTAGGAGGGCCAAACATAGCCCAGATCTGGTCGGCTAGATATTGGGCTTGCTGCGGGCTAGAGGGCCCTGTGTAGAACATGGCGCCTCCGATGGACAACAGAATCGTTTTGCCCGCCCCCTGGCACGCAGCGATTTCGTCGCCGAGGTTCTTATCGTCATCCATGTTTGTCAGACTCAACTGTATAGGGTTGAAGCTAGACAAGAAAGCGATGGGGATGATGTCCACCGCCGCATTGGTGCAATATTCCGCTAAGTTCTTCTGAGGTTGTCCGGCGCTAATTGCACCAGCCGAGTTCTGTCCCCAGTATATCGCAATGTTCTCTGTGACGCCCGCGTCATAGCCGGCAAAGACCATAGAAGCCCATAAGGAACAGGCAATGAGGATAGAATAAGACAGCATGCTGATGTGAGATTATACTGAGAAAGCAGCGACGGTTGAAAAGTAAAGGTTAATTTCAAAAGAAATGTCAGACGCTGTATGACTTCTAAGAAGAGAGAGAGAGGGAAAAAAAGGCAAAGTGCGATAAGACCTCTGCAGTGCGGCAGCGAAGGAAGAAATAAGGAGTGTTATGACGCCTATCGAAGTGGTCGGATCCAACCACCAGGAGAAACTCAAGGACTTAAATATATGCTTTGGGAGGCTTCAAAGCATGAGGGGGAATCGAAGAGTCTAAATACACCACGGACAGATGCATGCGAACCATTGACGAAGGGAGGCAGCGTTCGCGTTGGAGGTGCGGGTTGCATTCCAGACGACGGCTAGCAGGTTCTACGTTCCCACTAGATCGATTCCTACCCCACGATGCATTCAGTGCCTTCCTCATGATTTCGGGTTGGTTCTCATATTTTTTAATAAAAAAATCACGAGGACTACGCTGAACCAGTCTTCATCGAGCCTTTGAGGCAAAACATTAGTCGCATACGGGGTGACCTCTCACAGAAAGGCGATGTCGAGCTTTGACCCACGAAGATTCATCTTAGCGTCAACTAAGATCAGACATCAGATCTACACCAGATCACACTAGTAATCTAGGTATACCAGTGGCCTTCTGCTGTTTGTCAAGGTAAGAGAAAGGATTGTAGGTAGACTTGGCGTCCCTCTTTCCCACCAAGTTCTGATCTTAGACCTCGTCAAGGCTCTTAGCTCGAAAGGGGTGGCATCTAAAAATCATGTGTACCATTATTGCTTATCGAAGATTACAAGAAGGTTGGTGGTTGGAATGTGGTGGCTTGGTATGTAGAAGTTTAGGTCGACGCCCGAGTTTACGATTCAGTCTATATTCCTCATAAGAATCAAACGGTGATGGAATGAGAAGGATGTTGTCATCCGCCGGACTTAACCGATATTATATATATACGTCTATCTCGAACTTGAAACAGTAGTGGACAAATGGCGGGATCTAGCCGTAGGTAAACAAGGCACATTGGCAAACTACAAAGAAACTTTTATTAAGGTTGACGGCCCGCTCTGAAAGGCTCAAACCTTACGTCCCTTCATACTTTCAAGGGACTTGGGACGTAACTACATATTGGCTGCATTATAAGTACCTACCTTAGCACGGAGCTCTCCACGTGGGAAATAAAAATAACCGGTGTCCTAGTTCAAACCTTGTGTCTAATTGGCTCTTTCGTCTTGAAGTAAGGACGGTACTTACCTAATTGGGTGAATTCGAGCGTCTACATATCCATGGATGTGTGTGGCACCCCTGAACTAAGTACCTGTATATGTAGTACCTAACATCAGTTTTGAAATAAGGAGGAAAAAGAAAGAAGAGAGCCACTACCATTTTGAGTCATCCTCATCATCATGTATAGATTATAGACAGACGTCCCAACTGATTCGTTGTGATCGATCTCAAATCATTATTAATGATGCCGGGATATCGAGAGCCGAGTAAATAGGAGGACTGAGAGTCGTTGAGCCTCATGACAAGAGAACGCGAGTCAAGCCTAGGAACATGGCATAGAAGAGGTGGAACTAGTTGTTATTGACTTTGCCACTAGTCGCCTCAGTGGCAGGCTTCTCCCACGAAGCGAGTCATGTTCCTGACGGTGAAGTATTTTGGATCTCTTCGACGGATACATCATAGGTAGATGGGGAGAAGGAGATAATTCATTAACGCTGGCATCCCGTGACTTGCTCATCACCACCTGCAACGGAATCGCCGTGTCACTATGATTCGACAACTAGATCTCCCATTAGTTACATTTTGTTACTCAGTCGATTAAGTGATATGCTATATCCTCTGTGTCTATAATATATAATGTTTGTATACTACAAATGTGTAAATGCATCGCTGTGCTGCCGCAACCCCGAGATCACCCTTTCCGCGCTGCAAACCCCTAATTACATATTTACCTAATGTTATATATATGTCTGTTTATGTATATGCCTATACAATTGCTTTTTGGTCGAACTCCAATGTTATCCCCTACGGTGCCAATCCATGCAAGATCCAAAATATTACCCCCAAAACCCTGGTGAAACGCCGACGCAATGCTTGGTGAATCCAGCAGGTATAAATCCGGCGTTGCTCACTCCAGCCAATCGAGAGAGAGTTTCGCGGAATATGTTCAGCAAAACGGGATAGATAAACCCCCTCAAGGCAGAATGCTCTGCCTCCACCGTTCTACTCTATCCATTTGACCAGGTGCCTGCATTTGCACGCCGTAAGGAGTATTTACCTGGGCACTATATACGGCCGGTGCTCCCATCATCCCGCTAGTCATCCTTCCACTCCCAATGCCGCCGCCAACACCTATGTCTTGATTAGTATATCCGCTTAAGGCTGTGCTGGTTCGTAGATGGCCAGTTCCACCGCCGGTACCATCGTTGAACCGGCCAGCCATGTAACCTCCGGGCCGATTCAAATTAGGCGTGCTTAGGTTAGAGGGCATCTGGCTGCGAAGGACAGCTAGCTTCTGGTCTTGATCTTGTCTATATCGGAAAGCCTCTTCTTGCTTTGCTCTCTCTGCTTGCGCCCTAGGATCGGTCAAGACGATCTTTGATCCTTGCGTACCAAGGACATCGGCAAGCGAGTGTCTCTTCGTAAGTTTCGGTGCGTTATTGACTCCGTCCGAGAGTAAGGCAGCGGTCATTCCGCGATCAGAGGCTTCCCGCTCTACTTGCAAACGACGACGCCGCTGACCTAACGTCTCTTCTTCCTCCTTTGGTTGAGGTTCTCGCTTATCTGGACCTTTGTTACCGCTTTCGCTCTCCTTGAATGCATCACCTAGCTGGCTTAGAAGTTCAGCTGAAAATGACGAGCTAACTGGTCTAGCTTGAGGAAGGGGGTTATCGGCTTGCTCGCGGGCCTTCAAGCGCCGCATGCGTTCTCCCAGCGTTTCGCCCTCGATGTCTTCTTCCTCTGGGGTATGTACGTGAAGTTGTAGGCTGGGTGCTCTGAGACTACCATTCGTGTTATGGAGACCTTGGCCAAGTGTCATCATGCTCGGCCTCTTCATTGGTCCGACTTCTCTCCCTTGAAGTCGATCACGTCGTCGACTCAAGGGCTCGTTGTCTTCCATATCACGCCGTTCCATCAAGCCAAGTGGCCGGTTAATCTCGGCGATAGCGGCTGCTATGTCGTTGCCTTGCCCCCTTGCGACCGCGAGCAACCCTAATGGTGTATCTTCATCGTCCGAATCATCGGCTGGACCTGTATTCGGATCCTCCCAAGCAAGATTTACTTTTTTGCCTTTGCGGGCGTTGTGCTCAATCTGGGCAACGGTATCCATTTCGAGTAGTGTGGAGTGCATACCATTAGGATAAGCCGTAGCGACAGGTCGAGTGCGAAGCTTCTGCTGCTGCTTTCGAATCTGGAGCTCGGCTAACAAAGTTGTTGGGGGGCCATTATAGAGCGGTTCCTCTTCGCTTTCATCTTCTTCTTCTTCGGCTGGCTTAGGCACTGCGTCGCCCTCCACAGAGCCGGACAGCCGTTGTTTCGCTTCATCTTGTTCGCCCCCGTGTTTCATGATCTCGTCCATTCCCGTGCCTCCAGCAATAGTATTGCGTCGCTCTTCTGGGGATTCCGAATGTTTACCAAGAGCGCTTGGTTTTCTGAGGTGCAAAAACGAACTGCGCTTCTTGGGCTCTAACAAATCAGTAGCGCTCGCACGCTTAAGGTGTGACTTGCGTTTCTTATCAGTTCCATAAACTTCTGATCCTAAGGATCCTGCAAAGGCGTGGTCCGTGAAGGCCGAAACAGGCGCCTTAGCGGATGCGTCTAGAATACTGTCCAAAGTAGCCATTGCAGATCCATCTTTGAGCTGGATCGTAGGTAGCTCGGAAGGAAGGTCGAAAAAGGCACTGGCACGTAATTGCGGCGGTAGCCCGTCTAGGTTAGGCACCTTCGACTTTCGCTTTTCGGAATCAAGCATAGATACGCGAGACTTACGAGCAGCGTCGTCTGCTTGTGCCTGGTCAGATTGGGGCTGGACCTGGAACTCGTTTTGACCATCCGAAGCAGGTCGCATCTGCGACTCGGCGTCGGTACCAGTAAGAGGTGCAGGGATGCTTGATTCGGATTTCGACCCTAAAGGCTCGAACGCAGGCTCTGGTAGATACTCTGGTAACCAACCGGCACCAGATTTGTGATCAACTCCGGTTAACTTGTCCGGGAGCTGTGACCTACGTGCATCCCGGGATTCCGACTTCGGTTTCTTAGACAGTTTCTGCGGGAGATTGAGCATCAACGGGACTCGCGCCGGGTAGTAAAGCATGGTGTTGCCGGTTTCAGGATCTAAGTAGGACTTTGGCCTAACGGTCGGTGGGCCGACTGGTCCTGATATGGTAGGCCTTGAATTACCCACTTCATCATCACCCCTCGATGGATCCAGATCAAAGGGTCGCAGGAAAGCGACATCTGTAGATGGACCGTTGAGCGAGGGCAAGAATAAGGACTCCTCTGCATCGACGTCAGACGGACAATGAGCTCCGTCAAAGTCAGCAAAGGCTCTCTCCGCCTGCTCGTAAGTGCCCGTTGACCCGGTAGGAGTCGGAGGTCTGCCATTATTACCATGTTGTCTATTGTCATTTTGCGCCTCGGCAACAGCTTGGTCCCAGTAATCGTAGGTTCCATATTGCTCGGCGTTAGGAGTAAGATCAACATCCTCCATCGGTGGTATATGTAACGTCTCGTCTACCTCCGGCTTCTCAGCCAACCTGTCTGCCTCATCCATAGCCGCCGGGGTAAGAGTGGTAGGCTCCATCTCAGCAATGTCCGTCAAAGTCGGCTTGGAAGTTGACTTGGCGCTTCGTACAGAACTCTTTCCGGGACCATGTCTCGACATGACGTTGCCAACTTCGGACTCTGGTCTCGACAGCGGACCCGAGCCGGACCTCATCCGTGTTGGATTAGACAGCAGAGAAGGGTTTGGCGACATAACAAAACCGGCTGGTGAGTAACCACCGTAGCGTGCAGCACTATTAGTTTCGAAAATGGAGCCAGCAGTGGACAAGGGCTTCGTAGCAGGGAAGGAGACAGCTTCGTTATTCTCAGGGATTGAGCCTATGCTTGCAGCTAGGATTGAGGATCTTCGGCTATCGTTGCGTTTCTGTTCTTCATGTAGATCACGAATGGCGTCCTCGATGGACGATGTCATCGAAAGCTTCTCAGCCGTAGCCTCCAACTGGGCGATATTAGTTGCGTAGGACGATGACCGCGTATTCAAATCGGGTGTAGGATGACGTAGAGATACGCTTTTCGTAGACGCAGTACGAACAAGTGGTTTCGGTTTGACTATAAAGGGATGTTGGGAATCTTGCTGGTGTTGATGTTGATGCGATATATCCTTTATCTGCGACTCCCCTACCGGGATGCTACCCGGTGCTTTCGAGTCGCGTTGATTAATTTCAGCATATTTAGAAGTCAGGTCTCTCTTAAGGACTTGGATGGATTCTAGACTCGGACTAGGTTTGTCTGGGATTGGGCTAAAAGAAGGGGAAGAGGGTGCGGTATCAGGAGACACGAGACCGTATTCGTTACGATGGTTACCGGTGGCTCGTGCTGGCGTCAATGATTGGACCATGCTGCCGATGCTAACGCTAACCCTGGTCCTTATCGTGGCCGTGCTGTCGGCCTTTTTGTGGCTCTCCCTCTTTTGAGAATTGCTCCCGACCAAATCGCGGACCTCTCCACCTTCAGTCCCTAAGCCTACTCCTGAGTAGAATTCGCTGTTCATCGATAAAGGAGTAAAAGTCGACTCGACGGATGGGAGGAAAGGCATGGGCGACGATGAGAGTGCCGGAGAAAGTGACATCGAAGGCGACTCGCCGTGGTTTCGATCGTCGTCATCGTTATCGTGTTGGGGGACTTCGTCGTACATTACAGCCATATTTTGGAGCGCCACTCGATATATTATCTCATTCCAAATTCCCCAAACTAATCAGACGGAAAAGAATATATTTCTCAAATACAGCCACCGTCGCGGAGCATGTACAACATAAGGCGAGTCGTTAAACGTGGTAATAGGTCGTACATATGCGTCGTCGTCGTTGTCGTCGGATATTCTCAAGTAAATAGCTCATATAAAACAAGATACGCAGAGCATAGACGCTTTCGACGCAGATTTTAAACGAGACAAGGTAGAAGAATTAGGACAGATGGAGAAGTAGGAAGACTACTGGCTACTTAGACTCGGATCTGACAAGATATGGTTGCGATAAAGCAGAGATAACAAATATAGCAAATCCGGCATAGAAGGAGAGTCCATATAAAAGAAGGTAAGCAAGAAGCAAGCAAGCAGCTAGATCAACGCGGTAAGCTGCTCCTTACCATGTAGATAAAAAGCAAAAGTAGGTATGAAGAAAAAAAGGTGATAGTGATAAAATAGAACCCAATTCCTAGCCCACCGCTGTGGCGGCTGATAGTCTTTTCAGTCAATCAATTAATCTTCCATGATAGCTGGGATTAAGACCGGGTCATGATCCTTGTCTGGCTTTTGGTGTTTTTTTTAAATATTGTAGTAGTGGTGGTGGACTCTGCGAAGGAGGGAAGAGGGAGTGAGGAAAATCGGGTTGGCGCGAAAGCGGTAGATGCAAAGGTGCGATGGTAAGAACAGACAGGACAGAAATGGCAGGGACTAGAGGAGGAATGGAGTTGTCATTGATTGTACCTGAATGAAGAGTTCGAGATTTTAATAGGCTCTTCCCTGCTTTCCCTGGCTAAGGTTCCCTGTGCATCCTATCTGTCCTACCTTCCTACATACCTCCTCTACCTTCTCTGTATCAATATCTAGCTAGGTACATACATAGGTACATTAATGTAAATGTAAGACAATGTTTGTCCTCGTGCTTGCCAATTGAAGCCCATGTGGCTTATATCCAGTGGCCTCGTCTGCAGTTACGCTGTATTATCTACCTAGGTACCCCTTGGAACCTTGGGAGCTTATTGTGTCGGATACGGGTTGACGGGTCAGATTTTGTTATGTACATCCTGGTCTTCGTGGGGAACTTGGTCACAATCCTAGCTACATTCGTCCCTATTATATTATCTCTTATTCTTTCGATATCAATGCTTCAACATATCCTTCATCGAACAGCAACAATGCCGTACTATACCACATATACGCGTACCATTGGTCACCTGGTCTGAGTAGTCGCTCTTTGATAATTGCGCTTAAGTACCTACCTAGACATTTACGGAATGTGAAAAGGGGCATCCCGTATCAGTGCTATTTGATACATCATACCTACAATATCTCCAGCACTTCTTTAGGAGATGCTAAGAAATGTTAGCTTTAGTCCACAAGTTCGGGCTTCACCGCAACCGCATTCATTTAACTCCGTTCTTCTATAGCAGCTTAGCAAACTGAAGCTAACCCGTATAATCCAAAGATCGCGATCCCTCTTAGTTCTACCTAGGTACCACCAGCATCACTCTTGGAGAGGTTAGAAAATTATGCGCTGCGACGATAGATACGTCATGACTAACTCCATCGATCTCCGTCGATGCCTGTGCGCGAAGTGGATATTTGATTTAGGTCGATATTATCTGTCTCTCTGCCGCATTTCATCCGCATACGATTGGACAGTTGACGCCCCACGCCAGGATAGTGCGTGGTACGCGATTCTCAACTAATAAAAGAATGCGAGCTCGAACTCCATGCGCGCGCAGCTGTCGCATTTACACTCTCCCGTGTCGTCCTTGGGAGCTTAAGCACAAACTACATACAGCACCTATATACTTACTACCTACCTACCTAGATATGTAAGTAAGACACCTCCCCCTCCTTTCCATCACAACCTATAACATACCTAACCTATAGTCAGGTACCTAATCTCTTAAGCAAGATGAGTCATCGCATCTCTTATCCTATTTACCCCACTAGCGATCTTTGTGATACAGCCTCTAATCATCGGCCGCGTAATAAGATGCGGTACTACTATCGCAGCTGCTACTTGAGCAGCCTATAAGCTTAGAAATCGCTAAGATTGAGATGAAGGCATGTTGCTGCCGGTGCTACAACATCATAACATCGCGCCCTGCAAGGATAACCTTTGGTTGAAAATGCAGCCCAACCCAAGACCTGCATGTGACATGTGACGGCGACGGGATGGCCCATGGAGAACCATCCACGTTGGTGGAACTGATGTTATAGTTCGTACTGCGCAAAATTGCGATCGCGCCAATATCCGTCTGTGATAAGCTGGAGTTTGTATGTAGATACCTGCGTTCCCAGTATTACATAGGTCCCTATGTATGTGAAGGACGACAACATTGTGGCCACAGCACAAGCCATTCCTAAATCCAGAGCTGAGCTATAAGATTTGCAAACATACATATCTCGTTGCCTTTGTTACCCTACCCTCTGCCCTGGAGGATCTTCCCGCCAACCCCTGTTCGCACTTATGGGTTAGTTGCTTCACATCAATATACAGTTGTGATACGATAAGACTTGACTGCTTATGTAGGTAGATGGCACTATGGCACATTGACACTATCGAATAGATATCTCTTGGCACAACTAGCCTTACGGGTTACCAGTTAGCATCAAACATTGATCTGCCAGGTTATCAGCGGCAACATATCTGTACCAAGCCAATTACCCAAGATTGCTTCCAGTAAGTAGAGTATCCGATCAGCACGAACAATACAGTTTCAAGCCGGATGGTAAATACCTAGAATAACTTACCGATTAGAGTGATTCGAGGATATTACGTTGATGGAGAATGTCCTACTTCGCGAAATTAAAACGTAGCGCCGAAAACTTGATTCGGGTCCCAACATCTGAACTCTTCCTATCGTGATGTGTTACCTACGCATTGTCATGCAGTGATCCACCACTCCCGCCTCTCTCTAGACGAACTGTGATTTCAGGTATCGCGTCTCTCGCGTGCCTGCGTCTGTTTCTAAGGTGTTAGCCGCTTCCTTCCGGCCACTGCATCTACTCGCGTGACACCATGTCTATCTTTCGTCGAATAATAAGTATTTGTTATAAGGTGCTATACAAGACGCAATATCCTGTGTAACTAAATGCGTTCATTTCAAGCATTATATTTTCTGGCTCTTGTTAGAAATACGCATAGCATAGAAAGCCATAGATTCTATTAGTATTCGGAGGCGAGGCAGGAGTAGATAAGGCAAATTATAAGAAAAAGATCGTGGATGATGTTGGCATATCCCTCCGCAGATCTCTCTTGCGCAACCACTTCGCAGAGCATGCTGGTACCTAGTGTAGATAGGTTGTCAAGGATCCGAGCTTACAGTACCTGGCTACCTGGCCAATGCGGTTGGCGAGCTACAATATCCCGGAGCTGCACGAGGACGGTCCGGAACAGTCGGTGAAGGCATCGAGACCCAGCTACTATGTATGCTGCAATGCTGTCGTTAGAGGGGGCCAGTGATAAAGACATAGCGTTCGGCATGCCGCTTACTTTCTAATTGATGGTGGGAACAATAGAAAGAGGTTCCTAGTATCTGTACAGAAGTAATGGAAGGCTGAATCAGCAATCATACGAGATTTATGGCAATCGTAAAATCAGGTGAGGTCTTTTTCCCCCTTGCTCTCTTAAGCCGAAGAGCGCAGTAATCTACATACTACCTAGGTACCAGGTAAGCAATCAAGGAGAAGCGGAACTGATTAACTCCACATCAGCGTGAGGCTCGTGAAAGAACGGCGTATGGCGTGTTCTTGGTACCCTAAGTAAACCATTGGCCCAACTCCATACTTACTACCAACGTACTATGTAGGTACCTACGCGTAGTTGTGGTTTTGCCGCAAGCGATCCATAGTATAGCTAACCTTTCTAGCAAGAGACCAAGGATACACGTGTGATTTACCTACCTCTTGGATATATTCCTTCCCACTGTCGTTCGATTCCGTCCAAACTATATCAGTTATCCCAACAAGGTAGGCGTATCCGACCAACAGCCATTACGTGACAGTTGGTTTTCAGTAAAAGAATAGAGCGAAATTTCTGAAATATGTAGGATCGAGATCGGTGATACAGAGGGAGTGGAGATGCGTTAATCCACAATTAACTCTTCGCAAACCGACCAAGTTTACTCTCTTGATAATCATCCCTTTATCAATACATTAAAATGGAGTTTGGTATATATATATATATATATACGTAAAAAAGTAGAGTTAAGAATTGTTCGAAATGTTGGAACTAAGGAAAAAGATTGAAGCTTGTGAAGTTTAATGATTTGGTGCTTGTTGAAAGTATGGTAACATACTGTACCTATTGTACGTATGACTGATCTAACCTTAGATAACCTTAGATAAAAAGTGGTAGATCCGACGGGCGGTCCTGTGTTGAGAGGTTCGGTTCTTCATCTGTACATATGTACCTATGTAGGTAGGTACATATGTAAGTTTCCCCAGAGATTTTCCTACTTAAATACTTATCTGATGGGTACATGTACCTACCTACCTAGTCTGGTATGTACTATTATTGTACGAGTCAAGATTATAGCGATTACTACCATTTGTCGTTTTTTTCTTTCATTCCTACCTATTGCATTGTCACTTTTCTGGGAACAAAATATCTATTTAAATAGGTAGAAGCGAAGAATCCGGTTTAGGAAACCCGATATAAACCCGGCTTTGAAGATTAATGCCAAATGCATACTAGGCCCCCCGACACCGCTCAGACATTGTCTCTCCTAATTTAGGTGGGCGAAATCTGGGGAAACTTATCAGACTACCAAACTCAACAAAGATACAACAGCGTTGGCGTAATATTCTCTTAGTTATTGTTTAAGCAGTATATGCGTTTTAAGTACAGTTGTTGTTGCTTAGCTAGAGATGGATTGTATAAGATAGCTCGTCCTCCCTCGGTAACTTTCTTTATAGTGCGCAGTATTTCCGAAGTAAGCGTTCCAAATTGTCGGTCAGCAATACACAGGAGGGGTTGCAGCAAGTTGAAGCCGTGACGCCTACAGTTGTATGGTACCTTGTTCTATCCTACAGCTTGTTTCATGTATGCAGGCTTATAATACGCAGTACATATCCATATGTATCACAATATCAATATATCTTGCTTAAGTAATCATGCGATGCATTCAATCATTGATGGATGTTATCGCTATATACCTGGTAGGTTTTTGACGCTTATGATGATATTAAATTACCTAGGCCGGTCCAACAAAACTTTAAGCCTAGGAAGACTAAGGTACGGGTACTTACTGTAGGTAGGCAGACAGGTTCATCTACATAACTCGGACTATCTGTAAGTTTCCCCTATGCTTCGATCATTGATATTACCTTCCGATTCTCCTTCCGATTCTCCTTCCTACAGTTTGCATAGGTGCACGGAAGTATCGATGGCCTACGTGTACGTACATAGCTACCTAACTCCCCTACTTACATATAGTATAGACTATATGTAAAGACCCAGCCTAGACACTGACCAAACCCGGCAACCTCGATGGCATTTAAGAACGTTCTGGGTCAATTTCGACATAACCATCCACTCAGAAGCCAGCATTCATTTTACCATTTCCATCAATTCCATGTCATGCATGGCCATTTTACTTGGGCAGGTTCAAATGTTACTTAGGGCACTTGCGCTAGGTCACTTCAAACACGAGGCCCACATGCACACTGGTTACTCTAGGCCGCTCTCTTTTCTTCTCCCTCTATATTCTATTTTTTTCTCTACTAGGTATTCTTTAGTAACTCCACTCCCCGATCCACTTCCCACTTCCCACTTCCCCACCGCCCGGAGGAGACCGCGGGAGACTTGCTTGTACCCATCATCCCCATTCCATTCCATGCAAACTAGCGGTGCGCCGCTCGTGGTTCGTGGCTCTTGCAGCTCTTGGTTCTCAGTTCTTTGGTTCATGGCTCATTTTATCTGTGGCATCTCTCGTCACGGGGCTAAAAAGTAGCTAGGGTGGGTTTATACTGCTTCTAGATCGGAGCCAACTAGCCGACCTACCAACATAATGTTCTCCTGTTCTTACAATCGCTACCGCTCTGATTGCTCTCCTTTACTGCTCCTCTTCTTTAATCCGTAACCTTCGGGAATTCCGGTTCATCTGATTTTCTTCTTTTCTTCCTGCGCATTGCCAGCGTATGCTTGTGCAATTTTTACGTTGTTTGTCTTTCTAGCTTTTTTTTCTATTTCGCTTCGTGTGTTATATTGCCGGTAACCTCAACCCCAAGCCGTCCACCCCTCAAAATGGCATCTGGTGATGACGAATCGATGCATGATAACGCTTCAACCTCCATGCCTCAACCCGCCCCAGCGGCGAAACCTCGTCGTCGATTCGCTCCGCAACTCGTCGAGGAATCTGTGAAATCTTCCTCCAGTAAAAAGCAAGAGCTTCAACTCATAACCCCCCCGGATTCTACCGTGAACTCGACTAGGAGACCCACGCGAGATGTTTCTGTTCAGGTTTATGATACCGAAATGCCAGATGCGCCTCAGCCGGCGCCGTCTAAACCTACTCGGCGTTTTGCCCCCGTGCCAATTGAGACCACCTTCGACTCGTACAGAGTAAGCGGTAACAGGAAGAATCCTATGGGTCCTACCGCCGAATTGACCCCAGACCCCTCACCGACTACCCCACAACCATCCTTCTCTTTTAGAGTGGAAAGGCAGGGCGAGCACGAACATGCCGAGCAATCTCAGAATAAGCCGAGAAGGAAGTTCGCTCCGCAGTTGATCGAGACAACGCGAAGATCAAAGAAGGCCGATCAACCAGGTCCGGCTACGAAACCAATTGACAAGACCGATATCACACCTGGCACGAATCACATCTATGCCCCGAAGCCGAAGCGAAAAGCTGCCCCTCGTCCTGCCGTTGCCGGCGTGCCGAATGCCGCCGGCGACAGTGAAGGTTTGCTTACGCCGCGTCGACAACAATCCATGAAGCCACATCCGAACACTCGGAGAAGTACGCGGCAATCTTATACCCCCGACCTTGACACCATTCTGTCATCCGAGTCGGAGAAGTCTTCCGAGGAAAATGACGACGATGAGGGCGCCCCGGCTCTCAGCATCGGGGCCCCCGCCTTATCAACCGGAATTCCGGAGCAAGAAGAGGACGATGACGACGGAGATTCGTGGAGCAGTAGGCACTACCACCTTCGTGACAGAAGGGAGTCCTGTGACGAAGAATTTTCGGGTTACCTGCTAGCTGTAGCCGCTAGAGAGGCCCAAAGACAACGCGAGCTGGAGGCGGCTATGGCAGCCTTCCCAAACGGTGTGCGACCCGAGGGTGTGGAACACTTTCTTGTCAGAGATAATTCGGAAGACGACGATCCCTTAGACGAACGGTTAAGGCACGGTACTTCGCAGCTTCTACGCCGTAAGGAGTCTGACCCAGGTTGGGCTGTCAAAGAAATGCGAGCGCATGCAGAAAAGCTAGCTCAGGCCAGACAAGAGAGGATGGGCATGGACGAAAACCTAGATCCTATGGATATAGCTCCTCCACCTGCAGATCCGCTATGGACGACGTCTGCTTTCAGAACATCTTTCGACGAAGAGATGCGGGATGCTCCAAGCCCAGTAGTAAGCGCATCTTCGCCAGCCTTGCTAGCTAGGGTAGACTCGCACCCTCGCGCGCCCTCGCCGCGCGTCGCACCTGAGACTGGCCTCCGCGCCAGCCCATTTGGCATCCCCTTTGCCTTCCGCAATAATGAACCGGAAGATCCTCAAATGAAAAAGATGCGCATGGCAGCTTCTCCGCCCATGCTTGGCGGCGACCTGACGTTCCGCATTTGTCCCAGCCCGAAGCAGACGCGGATGGAGCCCAGTCAGCGGTACTGCGCTGATAACAAACCCGAAGAGCATCGGCGGGACGTTACGGGAACCACCGGGCTGTGGCGCGGGTACTGCTCCGCCAAAGCTAATATCACCGTAGAAACAGCGCACACGGGACCCAACCTTCTTATGACCCCTCAGGAGCAGGCCTCGCCAAACGATCCTTTCTCAGCCGCATTTACCGCTTCCATGAGCATAAGTGGTGTCATGACCGGTACACAGTCGCCCGGGGCCGCGTCTCCGACGAATCGTCACAGCCAGCAGAGGGGTCTATATATGCTCACGGGATTAGACGAACGATTGAGGAAAGAGAAGGCTCGCAAAGAGCTCGAGGAACGGATAGCGGCCGAATTCGATGATGCCTTTGTCACGCAGGTCTACAATTACATAAGTCTTGGATATCCCGCTACGGCACGTGCCTTCGACCTGGAATTAAGCAAGATCAGCGGTATTGACCTTGAGGAGCTGCGCAAGGACGATAATCTCAAGGTCGAGAAAGGTTTCATGCTGCATATGGAGATGAGCATCCATAAGGGACATGGATATTCGATGAGCGATTCCGACAGCGGCGAAGATGTCCGGTTTCGTACGCCAGAAGAAGACGAGAGAAGAACTCGGAGGAAACCAAAGCCACCGCGATGGATCGCGCTCAAGCTTTATATACGGGAATGGGCGCGCCAGCACCCAAGTCTTAATGATGCCGGTTCTGGCGAGATGGCTTGGGGAGTTAGGGCTAGGAGAGGAAGTTGGGCCATTTAGAGGGAGAGGCCATGCCGCGGATGTTGTTGTTTTTTTGGCCTGTTGCATAGCATTGGAGCGTTTGTTAATTTTGTTGTATGAGGTTTTTCATGAACATGAAAATAGGTATGTCCACATTGAAGACGACTTTGGAGCCGGAGCATGTAGGGGATAGCACTTGTTCAGAAGGTTATCGGGTTATTGCGCTCGTAATATGGGCTGGCGTTAAGACTTCACTTCGGAAAGACAGACGGGGGAGGAACAGTATAAGAGAAAAATGTTCGAGCCGGGCAAGACTATTTAAAGGAGGTTTGCCGACCTTAGAGGTGAACAAGGAGAAGAGATGTTTTAGAGCTTTAACTTCTATACTAAGATTTTCATATAAGACGAATTCTTGGTGTACTAGGTAGTATATGGAGCTGCTTAATAACTAGGCCTTAGACGAATATGGCAATACGACGGATATGTTCGATGCTACTCGTATATATGTAGGCGGGGTTGCTCTAATGAAGCCTAAGTACATACGTAGGTTGGCCAACTTGCCCCTGCTGTTGTTACCTTCCGGAATTGTGCTAATACTAGTATAGCCAAGCTGCCTTCGGGGAAAATCCCGACGGCCTCGTTAACCCTCTTATCTCCCCCGATTCTTTCTACAGTCCTATAACTATACATTCCTACGTACTACCTAGCAGGTGGGCAATCCACTTAGCAGCCATGCCAGGTTTACAAGTGGTGTAATCGTCTGCGAATGGCGGAAGTGCGGGGGATGGGTCAATACGGCAAGTTTTGATACGAGTAAATGGGTTGATAAGTACCTCTATATAATGGTGGTCAGCCATGGCACCTGGCGGTTTTATAATGCGAAGTTGCTAAGACCTCCGGCTCGACGGTATACGTTTTCAGCTCCAAGATGTCGCCGAATGGCTTTCAAGCAATCTTAAGACTTTCCATATTGATTCCGGTCATTCAAGCTCAATTTCCCCCAACGCCAGAAGGCGTCACCGTCCTTGAATCGAGGTTTGGCAATGGCGTCAAGATTAGCTATAAAGAGGTGAGAAGATGCTATAACACGACGATTTCATCTATTATGTCTAATCTTTTCTAAGCCGGGTATCTGCGAGACGACGCCGGGTGTTAAATCCTACGCTGGCTACGTCCATCTTCCACCCAACTCACTCGAGGACTTGGGCGAGGAGCAAGACTACCCTATTAATACCTTCTTCTGGTTTTTCGAAGCCCGGAATGACCCGGATAACGCGCCACTCTCCATATGGCTGAATGGCGGTCCTGGAAGTAGTTCATTATACGGACTTTTCACCGAGAACGGCCCTTGCTACGTCAATTCCGACTCCAACTCGACCACGCTGAGCCCATGGTCATGGAATACAGATGGTAAGCCTGGTAGAGAAGCCCTCTCAATATCTTACCCACTGACACGCCCAAGTCAACATGCTATTTCTTGATCAACCGACTCAAGTAGGCTTCTCATATGACACCTTACAAAATATCACCCAGGATCTTATCTCTGGGCAGATCTCCAAGCTTAATGAGTCTGACCCTATCCCCGAGCAAAATACAACCCTCTTAGTCGGCACATACCCAAGCCAGAACAGAAACCAAACGGCCAAAGGCACTCGTAATGCCGCCATTGCCTTGTGGCACTTTGCACAGTCTTGGTTTCAAGAGTTCCCCGGTTACCATCCTAATGATTCCAGGATCAGTCTAGCTACCGAGTCCTACGGCGGCAGATACGGCCCGGAATTCACGGCCTTTTTCGAAGAGCAGAACCAGAAGATCAAGAATGGCACTTGGAACGGTACAGACGGAGAGAATTACATCCTCAATCTCGATACGCTTATCCTCATCAACTCTTGTATCGACCGCCAGGTTCAATGGCCTGCTTACCCGCATATCGCCTATAACAATACGTACGGCCTGGAAACCGTCAACGAAACCATTTACTTGCAAATGGTAGACGCTCTCGACAAGCCCGGCGGATGCCGTGACCAAATTAATGATTGTCGCGCTCTGGCGCTTCAGTACGACCCCGACAACATCGGTATTAATGATACCGTGAACAGAGTATGTTCGGATGCCGAAACGTTCTGTTCTGATAATGTCAGGGGACCGTATCTTGAATATTCGGGCCGCAACTATTACGATTATGCATCGCTCGATCCTAACCCCTTTCCGGCCCCATTTTTCGGTCTCTATCTCAACCAACCCCATGTTCAGAGAGCGATTGGTGTTCCTATTAACTACACTCAATCTTCGAGCGCTGTAGCCTCTGCTTTCAGAGCTATAGGAGACTATCCCCGGCCGGGCTGGATCGAGGACCTCACATTCCTGCTCGAAAGCGGCATAAAGGTCCACCTCATGTACGGCGACCGAGACTATGCGTGCAACTGGATCGGTGGCGAGGCCGTTAGCTTGGCAGTCAACTACTCAGGCACCGAAAAGTTTCATGCCGCGGGATACACGGATATCGTTATAAATGAAACGTACATTGGAGGACAAGTCCGCCAGTACGGCAACTTTTCATTCTCGCGCGTGTACGAGGCCGGGCACGAAGTTCCCGCATACCAGCCCGAGACGGCGTATAAAATGTTCCACCGCGCCCTATTTAACAAGGACATCGCGACTGGCACTGTCGACCTCGTTGGGAACACCGAATATGTGACCGAGGGGCCGGCCGACACGTGGGCGATTAAGAACCAAGACCCACCGGACCTGTTGCATTTCTGTTATGTTTACGACACTTCCACGTGCACCGAGGAGCAAATTGAGAGCATACTCAACGGCACGGCTGTCATAATCAGCGGAATCATCAAGGATAAAAATTCGACGCAGCTGTTCCCAGAGATCTTCGGTAGTAACGGCACGCCAGGGGAGGTCAAGGCAATTCCTCGCCCCATGCAATATCCACTTCCATAGCGGTCGCTAGTGAGAGTTCCTCGGTAGCTGGAGGTTGTGTCGCGACTCGTATAAGGGGAATTGATGCACGGATTCTTGGGGTTTGGGCTGCAATGTTAAAATTGATACATATTTAGTTGATATGATTATGACGAGTTATAGATGGATTATGGTATATTAACTTGGATATTCAGTGCTAGGCATTTTATTTTTCAAGGCCTAAGTAGTATGTCTATTTTACTACCATAACCCCTAACCAGCCACCTGCTTCGTAACATCTAATGATTCGCCAATTAATGTAAGGGGTTTGGAGCAAAGCCACACCAGATCTCTCTGCTTTAAACGAAAACAAGCGTTGTTCTTATATATGGCACCTTAGAAGCTTCTCACGGGCGGGTGATGGATAATATCTTTATAGGCACCGCCGCCGCATAGAATAGTGACTTTTGCTGCCTCATCGGCTTTGGCTCGAATTCGACGTCTTCAACTGCAAAGTTGCGAGAGGCTGCAAAGGTTAGAGTATTCTATCTAAATTTGAACTTGTAAATACATACCGCACTCGTCTTTAAATACCTCGAACGTTTCGGCATTCCGGACGACGCTCGATATGATAACCTTAAGCTCCGGTCTCATGTTAAAGAGACTATAAAGCGTCGATACAAGAGCCGAAATAGCTATCTTATCATATGTCTATAGAGTAGGTTAGGTGCCATTTTCCGTCTCAAGACGACCAGACGGCACGAACTTACAATATCGGTGCCAATAACAATATCGTACGGATGGGTGCCACAGTCGTCTTCGACCCAGGTCCCTTCTAGATCACAACCCCATGTCAAAGTTCCAGTCCTGGCTCTTTGCGGGTTGTCCAGTTTGTTCAAAGCAATGTTTTCGTTTAATGCTTCAATGACATCTTCATCGCCATCTGTAGCAGTGACGCGTTTTGCTTGTAAATGCTTGGCTAGGAGAATGGTGAGAAAACCAGTGCCAGTGCCTAGCTCCAACACATTCTTATTACGGACAAAACTTGAGCCAGTATCTGTCAGTAGGTAAGAGGCTAGGTGAAGAGATGCCTCCCAAGTCCTAAATCCCGTCGTTCGTGAACCTGATACCAAGTGCCGCCGTTCGAGAAGCGTTACTGTACGTTCTGGCGCATCATCATAGCCATCGACGAGGTCAGGCTTTTCTGGTGTGCAGGTGAACGTCACATACGCTTTTTCGTGGAATGTCTGAAACTCGGGCGGTGCTCCTCTGGCAGCGAGTGACGCGAGGTGCGTCTTAAGCTCACATGAAACCTCCTGGGAAGGTTTAGATCATCATTCAATGAAAGAGGGGAAAGAGGGCTCACATGCTCATCCGTAGCTTTCTTAATCTTAGAAAGAAGCAGTTTCAAGACACGCATTTGATAGCCCTCGGGTGGCAACTTGGGATTTAGACTTGGGTCGAATAAACGTTTGTATAACCATTTCTGTACATCCGCGCTCTTGAGAAGACTAGATGGTGGCCAAGCTAGAAAATCGGGCTCAAACAGCTGCATGTATTGTCGGCGTAGAATGAGCAGTCGGGGGTCTATGTCATGATCCGACATGTCTGGACTTTGGAATTTTTGCATTTTCATTTAGTCACGTTCAGACAACAACGGTGATATTCTATCCGCCATCGCAGCTCGTTTCGCATTGATGCATAAAACCCAGTAGTATTTATTCTTTGTATTTACATATCATTATCTAAATGCATAGTTCACCAGCGCCCTTTTCGTTTAAAGAGAGAAAGAGAGAAAGAAAGAAACACAAAACAAGATAAATCGCTTCATACAATCCACGCTTGGCCATTCTTGTTGGTACGAAGGCTCGAGAAAGCCTTCTAACTAACCCTATCTGAAGCCGAGGCCGGACACTGCCTGTATTACACGACTCCCTAAGACAACACTACCTATTTCATATATATTCCACGCTTTTTCATCTTCAATAAGTCATCGTTGGTCAAAATGGGGCCAGTAGTACTAGGTCCCTCAGTGACAGCCGGAACATCGATGATAGCAGGGTAAGTTCTAATGTCAGGTAGGTTGTTCAGAGAGTCGAGAAGTGACTTGATACTATGTGCTGTCTAGTTAGCATACCTAATGAAATGGAAGAAGCTAGAAATCCCAAGCGTATCGCTGATTAGTTGACAACAATGTGTTTCATCTGAGTTGAAAGATCAGCGAAAAATTAGCTCTTTATAATTTACTTGATGACTTCTAATAGGAAGTCCGTGGCCATCTTCAGGCTTGACATGGTAGTGACTCTAGTCTTATGGTTTCTCTAGTTGTTTTGGGTATTTTGGTGATTATTGTGTTCTGAGGGCAGTGTTACGAGGCGGAACCAAGAAGCTAGGGAAGAACGACGTTGTTGCGCGAAGAGCTCTAACTAACCCCTTCCAGGGAACGCGGTATACATACATGAACCTTCCTTTGTCTATAGCTAAAGGCTAGCTGCTAACAGGGCGGCCTCGTACAGGCCGACTCCCGATACCTCTGACTACCAGCTCTCGTGGAGGAAGCTTCTGACAGGCAGTTCAAATAGTTGTAGAAAGGAGGAACGCATGATTGGTGGGAACGTCTATCTTCATGGTTGGCTGCGGTGTGTGTTTGTGTGTGTGTGTATGTATGTATTTATAAACTCGATATTAAAAGAGGAAGAATAGATAGGGATAGAATGGAAAGGGAAAGATCATTACTACTATAAAGACTGCCTAAGTCATTACTGAGAGGATAGCTGGCTATTTAGTTAAGCATCCCCGATAGAGGAACATATGGAATTTTCATTGTTATAAACTAAGAATTATTAATCATCAGCTGGTGCAAACCGTACTCACTATCATAATTCATATCATACATATGGATACAGATTATTTTTTGATATAAGATGTAGTGTTACGACACTTCAGCTGTGAAAGATGATCTGTTGAGGCCAAATCTTCATACCTATATATGGAGGTTTAGGAGACGACGACTTCTATCATGGCTCCTCAGCTCCACCGCGCCATGGAATTAGCGCCTACAAATCTGCAGCGACTCAAATTCTCGATTCGTCTAGTGGTTAGGATACCTGCTTGTCATTCTTTGGCAGAGTTCGATTCGCAGGTGGCCGGGGTTCAATTCCCCGATCGAGAGATTCATGTAGTTCTATTTTTATTGTTTGTTATTCCTCTTCTATTTGCGCCCATGTATCCGAGGACAGCTTATGGTTTAGCCTCACGCAGATTCCTCTATCGGCTGGTTAGAAAGAGATTATTCAATTCGTCACTGTCCTCGGCCGATGATATGGTATGTTCGGTAACTAGCACTCGCAATTCTGTTATTTCAATAGAATCGGCGGTGAAATTACATTATAAAACAAGAACGCTAACTGCCATATTGTATAATCAAAACCTCCTTGTAAGTTGTAACCAATGCTGTTGGTGGGTATAAAATGATATGTCACATCGAATAACCTATTTGTACTTAGTTCCTCCAATGCGTTGCATTCTATTCCAAAAAATCCACGGTTTTTCAGCCTGTATGTGGTGTCACCATTCATGCCACCGGACGTGACTGGTATCGACAACTATTTAGGGGATTCGTTCGGAACTACGTATTCCGAGCATATCGAAGGGGGGTTCGTGTTACTGAATACTGATCCAAAGCTACCTCGGAATATCGCTGGGCTCTACAGTTCAAGGTCGATTGTAATCCTCAGTCCAGTCACTCCATGTAGTAACAGCTACATTGGTGTAAATCGCATCGTAGAAGTGCCGACTACTTTACGAACGGGCTGCGTTGGTCGTAGCAAGTCATGGCTCCTATAACTCGACCGTCAAGCATCGCAGCTCTCGTTATCATCATAATCGCCGCATCAGCACCGGCCTTGTACCGATCCGCTCTCCCATATCTCACATCCCTATCCCCACATCTTGTCTCGTACTCCTCATCGATCTTAAAGACCTTCGGTCGAGATGTTGAACAAGCGTCATCGTCATCGTCATCCTTCAGCTGTATTCAGCATACATACACAACCGAAATCATATCCCTCGACCCCCTTCTCATCTATATCGACTCGTTTCTTGCCCCTGCCGAAGTCGAGGCCCTGCTAGAAGCTGGTGAGCTCGAATTCGCCCCTTCTCGTGTCTATAAGCGAGGCCGCAACCAGGGCACGTCGGATCGCACTTCCTCCTCTGCCGGTCTACCGCGCGACAACCCGGCCGTGCAATGTGTGTTAGAGCGGGCCGAGGGCTTCCTCGGCACGATGCTAGATCCTTCCCGGGACGACATTGGCCCGCCGCAATTGGTACGTTATACGGCCGGCCAACGCTTCAATAGGCACCGTGACTGGTACGAGCGCCCGCAACCTGCGCGGAAGGGCATGGGGCGCGGGAAGAGCTGGAACCGCATCGCTAGCTTCTTTGCCATCCTGCAAGACCAATGCACCGGCGGCGAGACGTGGTTCCCGCTCATTAATACTACCGTCCCCTCGAAGGCCGACGGGAAGGGGCGCCGATTCTGGAAAACGCACGAGGACGGGGGCTTGGCGTTTAGGCCTGTGGCTGGCAACGCGCTTTTCGTATGTAATATCTTATTTCTTTTCCTTTCTCCTTTCTCCCTATTCTCTTACCCGGAAGAGTTCAGAATCACTCGTCTTGTTATACCAAGAAGTGGCGGCTAACCCCTCGGTGCCGTAGTGGGTCAATTTATTCGCGAACGGCACGGGTGATGATCGGACTATCCATGCCGGCTTGCCGGTAGAAGAGGGCTTGAAGACTGCTATGAACATCTGGCCGCGTAAATTTTATGGCTGAGAAATGGGAACGTTCGGATTTAAACGGAAATAGTTTCTAATGCGATTACAGTATTAATCGATTGGGGGATTTCGCTAGGCAGGCCTGAAAGAAAGTTGAGATGTCTCTTGTCATGGTGTCAAATATACCTGTTTTTGACTATGTAGAGCTGTCCGGATCTACGGTGCGTACATGTTTCTGACTCGGTCGGTGCCACGCCTAAACCTCGAGCCGCACTATCTATGCTTGGACGATAATATGGACGTCCGTGACGGTCGCCCGTGCCATCTTCTTCAGAAGCGTCCTTTCGTCGGCTTCGCGATATCTCTCCCAGCCGTCAAGTCCTTCCTTGGCTTGGATACTCAATGTCTCGTAGCCCTGTTTTATCACTTCCGCTACCTCCGTGCTAGTGAGATTTCTTTTGGACCCGCCAGACTCGAGCATGGTCTTGTAATGCGCGCTCACGCTGACGAGGGTACCTATTGAATTTGACGGCCGACTTGAGAGGGCGTACGTGTCGCGGAACTTTATCAAGACCTCGCCGCTCTCTACAACTTTGTAGAATAGATCGTCGTAGGCGGCTGGAGTAGGAAGGAATGCCTCGCCGGCGGAGAGGGAGAGAGCCAAGAGGTTCACGACAAGATCCAGCAGAGAATCGAAGTGCGATAGGCCCTTCATATCGGCGGCGTAGGTCGTGAGGAATCGGATAAGGGACAAGAGTGAGCGGAACAGCTCGGACCAATGATACTGCAATCGGGTTCGGGACCGCGATAGGTATGATATGATGCGCAGCATAATACCAACACATAGGGTGTACAAACTAACGTCTAGCCTGCGACGTAGGTTGTGATTGATACCGTCAATCATGGTATCTAGAACACTAGTTGCCAAGATGCGCTCCCCTCGAACGGCCGGGAGGAAAGGCTGCCGCTGACGACAGAGTCTGACGGCGACCTTGCTCTCGTCGCTACATAACCGTTTACACAGAAGCTGGTCTTCAATGAGCAGCCGAAAAACCATCAGGCTGAGGTGCGCGTAGTTAGTAGCTCGGGTGGATAGGAAAGCATGTTGGAGAAGGTAAGAGGTCAACGATAAGAAACTAGAGATGGGCTGCTCTTCGCCCTTCTCAGCTGGTAGCGAGACAAGATTGAAGCAGAAGAGCTTGTTGGCGTGGCTGAAATCGTATGTTCCTAGCAGCACAGCAGCGTCTTCGCCCGGCCTAGCGGGATTAGTAACGGGTAGGAGGTGAACAGGAGGGAACTTACAATTTTGCGAACATCTGCTTAGCTTCCTCCGGATCATATGTTGGCTTCTGATTCGACCTTGGACCGGGAGCGATGGCTCCAAGACCAATCATGTTCAAAGTGTTCGCGATGGTCCATCCTTCGGGCAAGTCCTGTAAAATATCGATATATTGGCCTCTCAGATTTCGGCATGTGTGTCCAACACATCTGACAACCTTCTGTATAGTCGCCTCGTTGACGAAATCGTTCAGCCGAAGTTGATAGGGGTTTTGGAATTCGAATTTGTTGTAGTTTGCCAGCAGGCCCAACAACATGAACGGTTCTAGGACCCTATGCGGCGAGTCCGATTCTTGGATGAACTAAGCCGAGTCAGTCTCATGTACTGCCCAGGACATTAAAGAGGCAGACCTTCATGATGGCGGGGAAAAGATCGCGTTGTATGAAATACGTCAGGAGGCTTGTCTGGTACGCGCCCGAGGTGATGGATAAAACGACCTCAACGGCTTTCTGCCTAACCTCCACTATATTGTAGTTGTTAACCCCTTTACCAACCTTACAAGCATAGGTAACTTGGTATTTTTGAATGCCAACCTACTTGATTTACCGTTGCGGATAATCCCGTCCAGAGCGCCTACAAAATCAGTGAAGACGGCATCAACCTGATCCAGCCCTGCTAACACGGCTATTATATCTGAGCTCGGATTCGTATATTTCTTAGGGAGGACGGCGGAGAAGAAAGTTGTTAGGGTCTTTATACGAAAAAGGAATCATCCAGTTAGAAGTATGTTCCCTATATAGTATTTCTAGAACTAGGTCTTGGGTTTTACCTCGAGGGCGTGCGCGTCGGCTACTCCATTGCCCTTCTTCAAGCATTCTACGGCGCGGAAGAAAAGTTGCTGGGTTTGCAACTGTAGACCGATCAAGTCGTCGGGTCCAAGCCGGGCGAGTATCCTCTGCAAAGAGTTCCGATCGGGTTTTAGAAGGAAGAACTCGGTCCAGAAGCCCTCAGGCTTATCGGCGTCTGGATCAACGTCGTCCTACTCGGGCGAAAATTGACGATCAGCGACCTCACGCAGTACCCAACGCAGTAACTGCTGGCGTCAATCTACCAAGGGCCGACATACCTTTGGATCCCATGTGTCAGCTATTTGGCCAGTCCTAAGATTATAGGGGAAACCGATTGCTCCCGAACCTTGAATAGCGCCTCGTATAGTTGAACCACCTTTGGCTGGAAGGATTCAGGCCGAGCCTGTTGGGTCAGGGGAGAGGCAGAGGGATCCATGGCCGGCAACGGTGAGGTGCGGGAAAACGAAGGCACATATACGCGGTCCGTACGACTATTATGCTTCTAATACAGGCAAAGGACCATCATCGTGGTGAAAAGAGGGTGTAAGTGATATGGTGCTGTGTTGAATCTCGATGGTCGACAACCGGCAATCGTGGGATAAGGTAATGGAATATGTATGTATGTATGTATGTAGATATGATAAGATAACCTGACACGCGACCGGCGCATCATGAACGAATTAATTGAATGCGACTTGTGTACCTTGATCAATCATCTTTATTTGAATGTCTAGGTGATAAGCACATATCAGTATATACCATATAGTTAGATTGGCTGACATAAGGTGGAAGGTTTAGGTTGAATTCAACGTTTCAACAAGGTTGGAGGTCGCTGAGTCAGCAGCAGGTACTCAGCTTACCTACTATTGTCCGGAACAACCCATATTCCGTAAGAGCCATTTACCCGACACCATGGTTGACCAATAAGAACTCTTTGATTGGCTCGGCAAGAACCGGATGTCCCCTAATCGACCGATGTCATCAGATGACGATTTCAGTGCCGTTAGTTTCCTAATTTCTAATTTTGCCTCCAGTTACAATTACTAACAACCAACTATTAAACAACTAATACCATAATACACAAATCGTCTGAACCTACAAACGAACACAAGCACCTAGACATCGAAAATTGGTCTACAACAGTACTTTTTCTCCAATTTACCACAGGCGCGCAACCTCCTGTACCAAATTGCCGTACTCCACCGCGCCCATGAATTCGCCGCACATAGCTCTTTCACGAGCTTCGACGAGTGTGTTGGGTCGCCTCATCACCACCTCTGTCCCGAGGTCACGACCATGCGGAACCCTCCTACGACAATTCTCCCATTTCCAGCCTTGGCATAGCCCTTCAGATAAACTCCAAGCGATACCTTCGTACCAACCCTATCCTCTCAATCCAAACCCGCCCTCTCAGCCGCGCAATGAACCCATACCAGAAACTTCCATCGCTAGTCCGATACCGAAGGTTCACGAGACCCGGCCACCACCTCCGACCTCGGCTCCAGCGCAACGAGAAACAACCACAACTATAGCATCACAGCCCCATCCCACCCTCACGGAGCAAGAGGCGCAGAAGCCAAAACCAAAGCCTGCCCCTCCAAAACGCAAGTTCAGGCCGCGCAAAGCTGCGCTGAAGCTCACACCGTCAGCCGTGGAACGACTGCGGGTCTTGTTAGACAACCCGGAGCCGAAGCTTATTAAAGTAGGCGTGCGCAATAGAGGTTGTAGCGGCTTGTCGTATCACTTTGATTACGTCGACGAACCTGGAGCTTTTGACGAGGAGGTGGAACAAGATGGAGTGAAAGTCTTGATCGACAGCAAGGCACTGTTTAGTATAATAGGAAGTGAAATGGATTGGGTCGAGGATAAGCTGAACCAGCGGTTCATATTCCGCAATCCGAACATCAGTAAGTCTTCTCACTCACCCTTTTATTTTTCAGGGTTATCTTGGCATCGTTTCTTTACTAACATGCCATCTACCTGCAGAGGAGGAATGTGGCTGTGGCGAGTCTTTTATGGTGTAATGGCAGGAAGCAAGCGATGGTGAAGTAAGATACCACTCATATGCATCAGCCGGCGTTGTTCTGGATATATTTAGATCATACAGACATCATACAATTGGTGGTTCTGTTTGTTTCAACATCGTCTATTCGACTACGAATTCGATGGTCGGTTTATACCACGAATGGTTCGCTACCTCTGGATAGATTTCGAATGTTCACCGGGATTTGCTCAACAACCCGCCCTTTCTCTCTTGCCGATGACTGGTCTTATACGTAGGACCGCCTCGTCATTCGCTACTGGGAGATATAAAGAAACAAGATTACAAGCGCAGGACCTAATTATTGGCATGCCGAATTCAGTCACAATCCCTCTCAGATTATACGTCAGTAACGCCACCCATCGCCTCCCCGGCATTTTAACGGGTCTACCCCGTCTTCGGACAGATATACCATCATACCCACGGCGAATATGACGGCGGGATCCTTTCTGGCTCGATATCGACACTGTCATTAAGTCTCCTCTCGACAATTTCGACATGGACCTCCTCCATCTTCAATATGGGGCCGTTCGTTCTAGTTATATTAAGTTGGGTTGTGTCGTCGTTCGCCGTACCGCCTGAGAGGTTTGCTGTCTTGGGGCGACCAGGCGTTACCAACGAGGCGTTCATACCGCACACCCTACTCGCTACTTTCCGGGATTGATCTCTGATATACACGGCGGCCCATTCAAGACGTTTATTCATCCCTGTCGCTTCACGCACCAGTGCGCGGAGCACCGGAATCGACGCCGCCATTATTGTGGTGGCGATTTCTGCGACGGACCATATTGAGAGTTCGAAAACGTCGTCTGCATAGTTCATAGTCTTAGCCGTAATCGTTAAAGCGGTCTCGCCCGCAAGTCATGGGCTCAAATGATTTTGCTCACCAGCAAACTCTTCACTCCTAAGTACTTGAAACTTGGTGCATTTGATGATCGCAGTTACTCCCGCGCTGTGGCAACATGTAAGATAATCGTTGAACAATATAACGTCAAGTATCTCGTCAGGTTGTCGGGCTTACCAAACACCCATGCTCATTCCGACGGAGATACCTATTTTTTCACCAGTCCGCATCTGGAGGTTTATGATAATGGGCCACGGAAGAGCGGCTAGGACGAAATCCATGAGAGCGGAATATGCTGCAGCGTCGATGAGTCGTTCATCCGAGCCATTGGGGCTATCGTGGACATACCGGCAGCGAAAATAGTAACCCCGAGAATAAGATCCCTATTCCAACACGTTCCGTTGGCCTGTGAGTCCCAGATCAGCCTGGTCGGTCGGCATTGCAACCATCTGAGTACCACGCTAACAGACGTGATTCCATTCATGGAGACGATGATAATACGGAGCACTACTTTCAGCCGAGGCCCAGCAATCCTGATAAGGGTGATGGCGAAAGATGTCTTGCTCCATATTGCCGCAACGAAGAATAGGGTTCCTGTCTATGACGACGTAAGCATGGCTTATTATTAAGGACATGGCCATCTTACGGGAAAGCAGCTTGGGATAGATAAAACTGGAAGTTCCTTACTATAGTAGTGAGCAGGCCAGCATCGTGGACTCCCATTCTCTCGTCTTGGTCATGTTGAAAGAAAACGGTTGCGACACTAATAGTATTGAGAACGCCGGAAACAAGAAGGACAAGCTAAAGTAATCGTAACGCTATGTGAGCTCAAGCTCGTTATTGGCATCGACATATATATATATCGACAGTGAAGACTGACCCACGACGCTATCAAGACCCAATCATCCCACCAAAGGCCCTTACTCCTCTTGAGCTTGCAGAACACTCGAAGTCCTAGGAATGCTGTCGCGAAACCGATGAGGATCCACACAACCGTGTCAATCCAGTGACCAGCACCGGGCGTGTGCATGTTGTTCGTTAACCCTGATTTAGCATCAGCCATCTAACCTAGCTGAGTGGTGTTGCGTGGTCTTTTCACGCTTGGTAAGGGGAAACATCACTTCAAGGAAGATACTAGATGCGACGACTTCTCGGGGAGCATTTCATTATATTGGGACATTGAAGTTAATAACTACCTGGACAAGCAAGAGTGACTAGCTGCAAATATTTTGGTCGACGAAATTACGTGCTGGAGTGTCTATGGGGAGCACGTACAAAACATGGACGGTGGTCCCAAGCACCATAACGGCAAGGGGAATCCTTCGAAATCAATCATCAGATGTAGCCATGCAGCTGCGGTCCTATAATGGAACCCATCCCCAGGGCTCGTCCGCTTCACATAGTCTACGCGAGGAAGATCAAGTCTAGTTGAGGTAAGCATCAAATATTCGATGCAACATAACCATCCTACATTGGTCCCTCAAAATCACAGGATTTGTTGTGAAACCCAATATCATGAACAAGTTAGAGAAAAGACGTCTGGGACAGGTACCGGAGCAGGTCCATATTATAGGATTGACTGGTTGGCTGACCGGTAGTTGCCGGCATCACCATTCCTTCCCGTTATCCTGCCGTTCACCTCCCCCCGTCCTTTTATTCCTACTCCCGATTCATAGTGTCGGTCCTGCTATGTATTTCCCTTGATTCACCGGTAAATAGCTTAGATGTTTCGAAATAAGAACGGTAGCAAAAGAGTGCCGAGCGAAGGTATGTAATATAAGCCGCCCCAACCCATGATCCGTGTCGTAGAATTGTCTACAGGCTGACTAAATTACCAATGCCATTCTCCGTGGGAATTAAGGTCTGTAGTAATAGGAGAGGGAGGAGGTAGGGTCGATTGCAGATAAGTTTTTTATTTTTTATTTTTTCAATTCCCACCTCTGCCAGTAGGTAAAATCGATCCTCGTTAATACCGTTGGTAGATTTCAAATCCATCCGTTGGCCTGGTAGCTCTGGACGTAACCTCTTCATTCTTAAAACGTCGCTGAGCCACGGGTTCACAACATCCGTGCCTCTGCATTGCCTCATCACATAACCTCATCACCACATTTGTAAGGTATTACCAACACCAATTTCTTTCTAGGCCTAGGTAAAGCTCTTGGATGAGCGGTGACTCTTGTCTAGGTGAATCGTACCTCCGTTGGCACCCTTCGACGTGACCCTGAAATATATATCATACATGGAGTGTCAGTTTCGCACCAACAGCAAGCCCAAACACTTGAGTATGCATACATGAAGGATCTATGATCAACAAGGACGAAATCATCCAAGTTGCATCACCATCCCTCTTTTAATAGCGTCCATTTCTCGCTTGCCCAAGGGGTCTTTACCGTCGAAGCTGGCCTTCTTGCGCTGGGCGCTAGTCCACTATGATTGATGACTGTCAGCGACGAGCCCTTGGATGAATAGATGGGCGAATTTCCAGCAGGTGTCGGGAGTACCAAACCCTCGTTCTGTTCCGGGCACCAGCTAGAATGGAACAAAATATGTAAATCATCAGGTACGTACCGTGGTAATATCTAAAGCATCTCCGCCAATACCGTCAATACCGACATCTCCCTTCTTATACGTATCCTTGTATTTCTTCAGCCCAGCGATCCAACCCCACGGATCCTCCTTGCCTTTGCTGGGTAACTCTACCTCTCCCGCAAGGTTCGCGGTAAGTTCATCAATGTCTTCGGGGCCCCGTAATGTAACGCCACGCTGGTTGGCATAAGAAAGAATAGCATCATCGAAATGGCACTCTTCAAAGATCTTCTTGTCACCTCTCTCACCATCGAGTATGCCATATTGGCGCATTTCGGGGCATAGCTTCAGAAATATAGCCATGATGGTGCCAAGGCTCTTTACATCGGTAACGTCACCAAGTAGGTCTTGGTTATCAAGTTGAGCGAGCATATCGAGGAACATTCGGCCGGCGAGACGAATTGTAGCGTCGACGAGCTCACCATCATCAGCCCTAATCAGACAGAGAATGTTAGTAAGACGCACAGATGCAGAGGTACCCAAGGAAACGGGGCAGGTTGGGATGAGATATGAATGCCCACATCATCATGGCATCGCTAGCCGGGTTCAGCAACCAAAGAGCAAGACCCTCACAGACAGCCCACTGTTCCCTCCAGCCACGCTCTGCTGCTTCGACGTAGTCGAGAAACAGGTTTTGCACGATTTCTATGCAACCATAACTTGCATGGTCATTGAACGTGTACATATCGAAGTTATCGGGAACACGCAGGCTGAAATGGATATGCTGGGTAATATATTTCCGGTGGCCCGCCTTGCTGACAACCCACGGGTGGTCCGGGTTCTGCAGAGCAGGCTTGAAACATAGGCAGCGCTTCTTGCCACAATTAGGGCCATCCCGAGTCTCACCCTCGGCTTCGTTGTCGTCGCCATGAGCATCGTCGTCCTCGTCTTCGTCGTCGTCATCATTCTTCTTTTTACCTTCGCCATCTCCGTCGTCTTCGCCGTCTTCGTCCTCATCTTCGTCTTCGTCCTCGTCTTCGTCTTCATCCCGTATAGGCGAACAGATAGTCACGTACGCGTACCACCTATCGGGATTCCGCCATATCGTCTTATAATCAGCATCGGCATTAGCTGAGGCTGATACAGCGGACCATCGTTCGTTTCTTGTCCGCACGTTAGTCGGCGCAGCGGTTCTTTTCCTAGCAGAACCAGCTAAACTGGACGCAGCGCGTTTAGGAGGCATTCTAGTAATACTAAGTATATCGACTTAAGACTTTAGCACGAACACACTAGGTATGATGTTGTCAAGTTGCGCTTCGGTCATACATTAAGAATATAATTTCAAGACGAAAACTGGGAAATTGGGAAATAGGGGAATTGGCCAAGGCGCGACACGGCCAGTGACGCGCTCGCTCAACTGACGTCACAGTCCTTCGGAGCCCCCTAGTTTTATAATTCTGTTTGATTGGCTATAAAACTAGATGTTCGAATACGAACCCCTGATTGGTTGGATGGAAGAACTCCACAGTCAACCATATCATGATCCGTGGTCCTGGTCCGTGTGGTCTGTTATGTCAAGAAACTACTAGTACGATACGCAGGATACGATAGCCCTTGGCAATGAATGAGGAAGGGCTTTCGATATCTTCCAAGATTAACACAAACTCGGATTTCACCCCCTTATCTCTCTGTCAGCGATGTCAAAGATGGGGCCAAATCAACATCCACAACATGACGTACGGGAATATCATAAAACAGAGAAGCGATACATCTACTACAATAAGAGAATACGTTGACGTCGAACAGTTAATCCAACACCCGAATTGCGCCATGTGCACGTCTATCCTCCATGTATATTATATGCGTAGTCAGGTAATCCCCCATTTACAGTCGTGGCCTGCTCGACACATAGTCATCTCTATCACCGGTCCCTTTTATCTGGATAGGGGTGTCTCCCCCGGTGGACGAATCATACGCCGCAGGCCCAACCTCTCAGACCCAAATTACATAGTCGTTAGGACGTTTCTTAAACTTGAAGTGAAAGCTCTTCCATACGAGAATTCGGAAGACGGCAAAGAAGAGTCGTATTTTATCCGCTGTGACGGCCAAGCTGATGTACCCAGTGATGAAGTTCGCAATGCGCCAACACAGTTTACTACCACCCCACAGTTCATGATGAAATATTCGAACGAGACAGTTCCCGTACTCTGCGATATGAAGGAATGGGAAGTGTGTTTCTTTGATATACAGCTTCTTGGGAACTGGTTGAACCACTGTAGCGAGGTTCACGGGAAACAGTGCGTCAATTCAAAAGGTGAAAACGGTGCGTTGGTGCAAAATTCTTAATTCATCTGAAGCAAGCACGTTAATTACCATATATTAGATGTGCTTCCTACAGGCTTTCGGGTCATCGATACACACCACATGAAAATATTACAGCCCAACGACTTCGTTCGATATGTCGCGTTGAGCTATATGTGGTCAGGAGAACCAGGCAACGATACTCAACTAGAAAGATCCAACGTTGACGCCTTCGAGATGCAAGACAGTCTTAGAGCACTCAGGATCCCAGACATAATCGCTGATGCAGTTGCCTTATGTCGGGATTTGGGAGAGCGGTTTCTGTGGGTGGACCGTCTTTGTATCGTCCAGGACGATCAAGTCAACAAGCCAGGCCAGATCAACGCAATGGACAGGATTTATCACTTAGCAACTTTCACTATCATCGCAGCTCTCAACACACGTAATGGGATAGGTTTGCCGGGGTTTGCCAACCGACCTCGGCATCCACGATCCTCGGTCTGGGCCCATCCTCATACCGGAGACGTCGAGGCTCAAGGTCTTGATATAACAAATCATATCAGCAACGTTGTTGACACGTCACTTTGGAACAAGAGAGGATGGACCTTTCAGGAGAGACTGCTATCCAAGAGGCGTCTCTTCATCACCGAATACCAAGTCATTTACGAGTGTTGCGAGGGACAAGCCATTGAACTATTTACCTGGGATAATTCGGCCGTGTACGGGGCGTCCGGGGACCTTGGTTCTCAGACGCGAAGCAGCAGTTCCTCCTTTGATGAAGACGAAGACACCACCAACCTCCGGCATATCGACCAGGTTTCGGGATTTTGTATGGAGAACCAATATGTCAGCAACTCGTACGCTGTCAAGGAAACAGCTTCGATACGAGACTATTGCGTATGGGTGCAGGATTACAGCAGCCGCCAGCTGTCATTTGGAACAGACATATTGAACGCATTTGCCGGAGTCGGCAACGCGCTCGGTGCAATACTTGGCTCACGGCTTCTCCACGGTCTACCCGAAAAATATTTCACGCAGTGTCTTCTGTGGTCCACGTCGAGCGTTGCATCCCCCCGGGGTGAGACTTGTAGCATACCCAGCTGGAGCTGGGCCTCTTGGGTAAGTGCCGTGCGTTACGACTGGCATTATGATGATCGTGATGAGCTTTTCCTTAAAATTGCGAGCCTCGTCTACTTCTATTATCAAGATCCCGACTCGCAAGAGCTACGAAAACTCGATATTAAAGAGATGTGGATACGGAATGAGATCTCTATTGAAGAACTCTCTAAGCGAGAAGAGCTGCCTGCGCTCGCAGGCAAACATATCCCCGGGGAATGGAGGACTAATAGAGATTGGAAAGACTGTCCACAGAATCCATGGCAGACCTTTGACCGCCAGGATCTAGACCAGGATGCTTGCAAGATTGCAGCCATGTTCCCGGGCTCGCTCGTTTTTAATACCACCGTCGCTTTCTTGTCGATAGACCATCTACGATACGCCGACGGTATGTCCGCGAAGTATGAAATGTCCGACGCCTCTCTCCGTAATAAGTACGGTGAGGCTGTAGGAATCATGAGGACGTTGGAAAACAGCTGGATCGAGGCACGTCGTAGCACTAATGGTAACAAGAAGCTCTTCGACTTTATCGTTCTATCTGGAAAACTGCAGAAATCTTCCGTTAGGAATAGTTATTCCTTCTTTGACAGGTGGGGTGAGATGTGGCTCCTTGATGTGATGCTAGTCCATAGGTTGCCCTGTAAACCATTTGTCGCTAGGAGGGTCGCCGTAGGGACTGTAACGCTGTGCAAATGGAAGGACTGTGATCCGAAATGGGAGACCGTTGTTCTTTGTTAGTAGATAGCCTTGTTGGTAACGAGGAGCCTACGTAGGTAGTTGCCTGTGTATAAACAGATATATGGGGAGGTCGGGGTATTGGTCTTACATTAGCTTATTTGCTATCCCTAAAAGCAGTTAAAAGTGACACTCAACTAACACGTTGTTCCTCCAATAGTCCCTGGGTAGAAATATAATATCTAACCGCAACCTCAGGGATAGTTCATTGTCTATCATGTACCTATGTAGTCCAAGATGAGGGCCTCAGACATCCTCTCCTTATACTCAATATTCGTTTGGTGGCGTGTGACAATGCTAATAATATTCATCCCCGACGACCTAGCGAGCAACAGGAATTAATATATTAATTGATTCAGTATGAGCTTATCTTGGCCACTCGCGTGCCCTCGTCTACAAGAAAGCTCGCGGGGGGGATAAATATGAGACAATGAATAGACATATCATCTCTCTATAAACATTACTTCCTAGGCTTCATCGAATACATAGTCATGGAACTCCGTATTATGAAAGTTGTTGAATGCTCACGTCCACAGCCTGGCATGACGGGTTGTGGGGTGGCAACGTGGAAACCCAGGCGAGAGATTCATAATAATAGCCTCCGGTAAACTGATTGCAGACGTGGAAGTTCGTCAGGTTGCCTAAAGAAGGGACTGGATTTGGGTACGTAGCGTTGAAATGCGAATCATCATAGCCGCCGGTGATATATAGCGTGCCGTTATCGGGATGGAAGTATACGGGAGTGCCATCCTCGACGCTCGGATAAATGAGAGCGGTGAGGACATTGCTTCCAAAGTTGGGGATGAATCGCATCGAAGACGGAATCGTTATAGTGCCGTTGTTGCTACCCGCACTCAACAAGTAGGTAAGCCAGCCCGGCTGCGAAGGCACGCCAGTGTCCGAATTGTAGGCGGTGTAATTGAAGTAGAACTCGGTTACGCTCCCGGCTGTAGGGGTTGAGCCGGCTGAGTAGCACAATCCTTCTATAGCCGCACCTGCGTGACAGGCGGCAGCATATCCTGTGTCCAAGTTTAGCGAGCTGTTTCTCTCTAGACAGACACACCCACACATGTATGGATATGCGCAGCGTTGTGCTAAAGGAAAAGGAAGTAGTCACCGTCGATAGAGGAATTTGCTTTGCCAGTGATATGTAGTGCAAAAGGACCGGTAGAGTTGGAGGCTGTCGCTGTTGCGACAAAGGCAGCAAGGGTGGTGGAACGGAACAACATCTTGGATGTTCCTGTTTCTAAATCTAAGGCGACGATGTGACTGACGTCTTATAAGCGATAGGACGATGATGCACAGGTGGTAGGCGGTAGATCAGAGAAGAAAAGGCGAACTTGCGTTGTTTGGTCGACGGCGTAAAACCGCAAGCGGGAAAAGCGAGATCAAAGAAATTTATAACGATTTGGGGTATTCGCCTCCGATATGCCTATCATTACGCCTTTGAGGTTGCGAGCCAGGGCAATTGCCCGATCAGGTAGTAAAGCTATTCAAGCTATCAATCTAGCGTGAAGATCTTCTGCATCTTGTCGTTGCCCCGTCAGCCCGTTACACTGCAGCAATGGCATCGGCAATGATATAATACCAATAGCGTGTGTGGGGGGAGGATCGGGAAGGAGGATGGTCAGCGCAACACGATTACATCGATTGCCGCAGATCCAAGACTGTTTTCTCAATCGTGATAGGTCATCCTTCTAAAGGCTGAAGCGAACCGACCACTCACGTCAGATCTCGTGTATGCAGCGGAGATCTATATACCTCGGATTCTATGTTGTTTGACTGTATCTTCTTATGAAACATAAAAATATATATATGACAATGATAATTAAAAGGGAAACCTCGTATTTGCTTCGTGAATCCTGAAAAAGACTTCCATTTGTCATGATGTTCGCTACTAAGTAATCAACATTACTTACCGATTAGCTTTTGTAGTTCAATCGTCCAGAAATAAGGACATGGTTATATCTGACGTTATACAGCTAGCGCTCTGATACGTACCGTCCGTAAGATGACATACAAGTCACAGAAGTAAGTCAGTTACTACCGAGCCGCAGGTTTTAAGATTTAATTTCTTGATCTCGTTGTTATACAGCTCCAAAGCTTTGAGACGTTCAATTAACCCCGGGAACGATAAGTCGCGAATAGCGAGTTATGAGCACCTTTGGTGGTTACGGTTAACCGAACGAGGGGTTCGATTTTAATCTCAGCAAGCTAAGACTAGATTTTGGAACAAGCCACACCTAGCCACGCGCAGCGTGGCCAGCAAAGCCCGTGCTGATAGACTTGGCAGGCAGAACAACAGACAGTTGTAAGGGTAAGTGAGAATAGCAGGCAGGAGCAAAGGCAAGTGAGTTAAGCTTGTGTGTCAATAGTTTTGTAGCTAGTCAGCTCAAGCTAGAACTTATAATGAGACAACTTCAATTAAGACTCCAGGCTTCATAGATGGTAGCACCTCTACTGTCCTTTTCCATCCTGCTGGCATACTGGACTGGCCTAACGGATTCGATCGCGAGTTTGTTTCCGTCCCAGCCATTATTGCTACCCGTGCCCGCCCCACTTTTAATGGATTTGCTTAGGCTCACTAGTTAAAACTAGTGCTCCTTACAGTTTCCAACCCTTTATAAAGTATTATTAATTTTATATAATCTTTAATAACTCCACGAATATTATATATAAAAATAAACGGAAAATTAATTTAAATAATTTAAAGCTTAACGTATTTTTTAATGAAAATTTAATTAATAAAAAGTTTTTTTAATATTTAAAAATAAAATATTTAAAATTATTATTTAAAAAAATTATTTTTAAAATATTAAATTTTAAATTAAAATAATATAATATTTATTAATATTTTATTTTTATTATATTAAATTTTAATTAAAAGTAATTATAATATTAAATATATTATTATTATTATTTTATTTATATTTTAAAAAATTATTTTTATATTAAATTTTTAAATTTAAAAAAAATTAAATAATAAATAAAATAAATATAATAAAACTTAATTATAAAATTATAAATAATAATTAATTATTTAAAGTTTAAATTAATTAAAAAATTTTAAATAAAAAATTATTTATTATATTAATATAATTAAAATATATAATTAAATTAAAATATATATATATTTTATTAATTTTTTTAATTTTCGAAAAAAAAAATTATATTTTCGTAATTACGTTAATAAGTTTTTTAAATTTAATTAATATTTTAATTAAACTTTTATTAAAAATATAATTTATATATAATATTTTTTTTAAAAAAAACGGAAAATTAAATATAATTTTTAATAATATAATATTTAAAAATATAAAAATAATTTTAATATTATTTTAAAAAATATTTTAAACGTTAATAATTTTAAATTTAATAATATTAAATTTTTTTTATTATTTAATATTATATTTATTATTATTATTATTATATTTTATTTCGAATGTTCGTTATTTTATATAATTATATAATATATATTATATAAAAAACGTGCGGTATTATAACGGGGTAATTTTTTAAATAAAAATTATACGTTAAAAAAAATTTAATTTATTTTAATTATTAATAATTTATATTATATAATAATATAGATTATTATTTTTTAATTAATTATAAAAATTTATTTTATTAATAAAAATAATAAAAATAAAAAAAAATTATATATATAATATAAATATTTTTATATAATAAATAAAATTATTATATAAAATTATTATATAATAATTATTTTTTTTATTATTAAATAAATTTTATTTTATTTTATTAATATTACGTTTATAATTTAAATATAAATTTTTTTATTATAATAATAATTATTTTTTTATAATATTAAATTTAAAAAAAATTATATAATTATTTTTTATTAATTAAAATTTATATAAAAAGAAATTTACGTTATAAATTTATTATAAATTAAAAATTTTTATAATTAATTAATTTTAATTATATTATTAATAATATTAATAAAAAATTAATTATAAATTTTTTAAATTTTTTTTATATTATTAAATTAAAAGTTTTTTATATAAAATGTTTTTATTTTAAATTTATAAATTATATTTTTATTAATAAAATTAAATTAAATTATTTATATTAATATTTCCGGTTTTTAATAAAAATTTATTTTTATTATAAAAAAAATATTAAAATTAAAATAAAATTAATTATAATAAAAATAAAAAATAATTAACTTAATAAGTTTAATTAATTTAATATATAATAATTTTTTATAGTTTTATAAATTATAAAATTCTTAATTTAATATAATAATAATTTTAATTTTAATTTTTATAAATAAATTATTATAATTAATAACATTTTTTTTCGTTTTTTTCGGGGGTGTTTAATTTTTAAAATCCGTTTAAAAAAGGTTTATAATTTATATTTAAGTAATAATTTTTTTTTTATTTAATTACCCGTTTATACCGGTAATATAAATAAAGGAAAATTTTTTTTATTAAGAAATTTAAATAATTTTAATTTTTAATTATTTTTATTTTAAGTAATTTATTTTTTATTTTTTTATTTTATTTTTATTTAACATTTAATTTAATATTTAATTTAATATTTAATTTAATATTTATTTATTTATATTATATTTATTATTTAATTTATTTTAAGTTTTATTTTAATATTTTTTAAAATTTATTTTAATAAATAATATTAAAAATAAATAAATAAATTTTTTAAATTATTATTTTCTTCCGTGATTAAATTATTTTAATTAACTTAAATTAAAGTTTAAATAATTAATTATACTTAACCACGTTATACGTGGTTTATATAATTTATGTTATTATATTTATAAGGTAAAATGTAGTTTTTTTTAAACTTTAATTTAAAGTTAAATAATGTAAAAATTTTTATTAAAATTATAAATTAAAATTATTTTTAAAATTTAAATATAAATTATATTATAACCACGTATAATATAATTTAAAAAATATAATTTAAAGTTAATAATAAATAATTTAAAGTTTTTTAATTATTTAAAATATTATTTAAATTTAAGCTTAAAATATTTTAATTTTTAAAGGTCGAAAATTTAAAATTATAAAATTATAAAAATTATATTCGTTTATTTTAAAATAATAATATTATAATTAATAATCGGATTAATTTAAAATTTAATATTCGTATAAAACTTTAATAATTTTATATTTAAAATTATTTATATATTTAATAATTTAAATGGTTATTATATAAAAATTTTATTAAAGTTTATTTATTAAAATTTATTTAATAAAATTAAAATTTAAATTAAAATTAATATTAATATATTTAAAAATAAATTAATAATTATTATTTATATAAAAAAAATTATTTATTTAAAAAATAATTTTTTAAATTATATATTTAAGTATTTATTAAATAAACACGTTAACGCGTTTTAATTATTAAAAAAATTTAAATATATCGCGATTTAAACGTATTAATTTTATTTATTATATTTTATATTAAAAATAAAACCCGTATATTTAAATCGTAAAATATTTAAACTTTTTTAATAATTAAAACATTAATTAAATAAAAATTTATTTAAATTTAAATTATTTAAACGTGTAATTAAATTAAAGCAATGCTAGCCGCGCAGTATAATGTTGCTTATCTCCGCCGCGCAGTAGCGCTAAAAAAGCGCGTCCGAAAGAGGTATAGGTCGGGTACCTTTGCTGCCCTACAAACCGTCATACATTTAGTTGTACCTTTGTAACCACTCGACACGACTATTTCTCAGCCAACTTCAATTGATTATTCCTCGCTCAACTCATGTCCAAATCTCTTATAATTACAATAGTTTAAAAGCCTTCAATCTATTTTATATTCAATCCAATTCGCAGGGTCTAAAACGAAGGTCCGGAGGAGATATGGCAAGGTTAAAATGGAGCAGTGATTGAATCGGGGTCGCAAGACTTGGAATTGCTTCAATCCGACCGATCTTTTCAACCATCAATATCTCAACTGTTCCAAGGTTGCAACCTTCAAAATCAGGATGATAGATTCTTCAAATCAAGGGCTTTTGAGGTATTCTAATTATAAGAGATTTGGACTTGAATTAGGCGTAGGATAATTGATTCAACCCAATTGCAACGTTAGAGGGTGTTCTACACACCGTTCGAACGCGCTAGCGCCATTTTAGCGGTACTGCGCGCCGGAGATAAGCGATTGCATACTGCGCGGCTAGCATTGCTCTTAAATTAAACGTATGGTTTTAAAGGAAAAAAACCACCATTAGGTTTTAAATTAAAAATCTTACTTTTATATGCGCACATTTAATTAATTAAAAACTAGTATGGTTAAAAAGGTATAAAATAAAAGTGGGGTTTTAATTTAAATTCGTTAAAATAATAATTAAAATAATTTAAAATAAATAAAAAATATAAATATTATAAAAAAAAATTTAATTTTCATTTATATTTAAATATTAAAAAAAATAAATTATAAACTTAAAATTATAAATATTAATTAAAATATAAAA